TGCACGACGCAGACGTGCAGTACCTCAAGCATCCTTCGATGGGATCCAAGCAGCTAGTCGCCTTTGTGGCGCCCACCGAAAGCCGGCCGGCTAACAGAGACATGTCTGCACGCGACGACGAGGCTGCGATGCAGCTGTGCGTGCAGCTCGAGCAGGAGGCTTCGAAGCGGCTCGCGGCTTACATGGTGCCGACGCACTGGATCGTCACGAGCAAGGCGCTCCCGCTCACGCACAATAACAAGACGGACCACAAGGCGCTCGCTGCGTTCTATGAGAAGATCGACGCGGCGCTCTTGCGCTCGCTTGGCGCCAAGCGCGAGGGGGCCTCGTCGAACCACGCCTGGACCGAGACGGAGAAGAGGCTGCGCAAGCAGATCGCCGAATACTGCGACGTGGCCGAGGACGAGGTGACGCGCAACACGTCGTTCCACCGTCTGGGCATCGACTCGATCTCGGCGATCCGGTTGGTCAAGCAGCTGCGAAAGCTCGGCTACTCGTTCACGGTGGCCGACGTTCTCGGCACGCCCAACATCGCGGCACTGGCCGAAAAGCAGGCACAGGACTCGGATGTGGCGGTCAACGGCCACGCGGGTAGGGAAGCAGGCCTCAAGGAGTGGAAGCAACGCGTACAGGAGACCGCAGCTGCTGATGGCTGGAAGCTGTCTGCCGGCGAGTCGATCGTGTCCATCCTGCCCTGCACGCCGCTACAGACCGGAATGATCGCGCAGTCGCTCGCGTCGGGCGGCAGCCTCTACTTCCACCACCACGCCTTCGAGCTGCGTGGCCTCTCGCCCGAGCAGGTCTCGGCAGCGTGGACCCAGCTCGTTGAGCGCCTCGACATTCTGCGCACCTCGTTCCATGCTGTCGAGGGCGAGCATGCGTGGGCTCAGGCGGTACATTCGCGCATCGAGCCGCGCATCGTCACGCACACTGGCAGCATGGCTCGTCGCGACCTGCACACGCTCGACGGTCAGCCTTCGTTCGAGGACGAGCAAGCCTTCCGCCGACCTGCGCATGTTCTGCACGTGTGGCCGGCTCAGCAGGACGACCCGCTTGGTCTTGTGCTCAGCATCCATCATGCGCTGTACGACGGCACGTCTCTGCCGCAGCTGCTCGACGACTTTGAGTGCCTGCTCTTCGGCGACGAGCAGCGTCTTTCCCCGCGGCTGCCGTTCCACGAGCTCGCGCCGTCGCTTCTTTCGCGCCAAGAAGATGTGCAGCACTGGTCGCGTGCACTCGCTGGCTTCCAGCCGTGCCTGCTGGCAACGCACAGCAAACGCGGCAGTGCGGTTCTGGTCGAGCGCCAGCTGGGCGTGACGTCGTCCGAGCTCGAATCGCGCTGCCGGGCGCTTGGGGTTTCGCCGCAGGTGCTGTGCAACCTCGCCTTTGCCAAGCTGCTAGCGCTCGAAAGTGGCTCGCGGGACGTGTGCTTCGGACAGCTGTTCGGCCTGCTCGACCTCGTCCCCGAGGCGGACACCGCGGTTGGTCCTGCATTCAACACGGTCGCCACCCGCATCCGGTTCGCGAGTCTGGACGAGCCAGTCAAGACGGTGGCGGCGGCGCTGCAGACTGCCAACGACGCCGGACGCGCGCATCGACGAGCGGCGCTGCGCGACGTGCAAGCGGCCGTGGGGCGCGGACAGCTGTTCGATGCGCTGTTTGACTTCCAGCGCGCCTACGACGATGCGGAGACCAAGCTGCAGCCCGTCGAGCTGGAGGCCGAAGACGAGGCGGCACAGTACACGCTCAACGTCGCGTTTGTGCAGGGTCCCAGCCGCGTCTCGATTGTCGCCAAGGCTGACAGTGCGCGCTTCGACCGTGTGGCCCTCGAGGAGGTGGTGCAACGTCTCGAGGCGCTGCTTGAACACGCGGCTACGCGTGCCGACGAGCGCGTGTCGGCGCTGCCTGACGCGTGCGCGCTTGCATTCCCGCAGCACCTGCCCGCTGACACCAACGGAACCAAGGCGGCTACAGCCAACGGAATCTCGAACGGAAAGCACGCCGAGCTCAGCGAGGACGGCCAGAAGCTGGCTGCGATCATTGCACACGTGGCTGGTATCGAGGCGCATGCGCTGCACGGCGAGACACAGCTGGCGTCGCTCGGGCTCGATTCGGTGTCGGCGATCCGCATTGCATCGCAGGCGCGCCGCGCCGGCCTCCGCCTCGGCATGGGCGAAATCGTCGCTGCGCCGACGATCAATGCGCTGGTGTCGCGCTCGGCCCCGCGCACCGACGGACACGGTGCAAATGGGGCTGCAAGCAGGCCACACGTGTCTCTGGCGCTGGCCGAGCGCGTGGCAGCCGAGCTCGGGGTGGCGTCATCGCAGATCGAGTGTGTGCTGCCCGTGCTGGCGGGGCAGAAGCTGTGGCTCGCCGCCTGGGCGCACAACTCTGGCGCGGACGGATTCAGCTTTGCGTACCGGCTGCCGGGGCTGGACGCGGAGCGTGCCCGGACAACGTGGGCACATCTGCGCGCGAAGCACCCGATCTTGCGCACCGCACTGCTCGTGGGTGACGGAAGCGAGGCGCAGGTCGTGCTGGCCGCCAAGGCGCTCGGGGACGCACAGCACTTTGAGGCGGCGCATGTGGGCGAGGAGGATGTGGATGCGGTGGTTCGGAAGGTGGTGGCACAGCAAGCAACGGCAGGGTGGAAGACGCTGCGTGTGCCGCCAGTGAAGCTCACGGTGGTGGACGATGTGCTCGTGTTTTCGCTGCACCACGTCGTGTACGATGCCTTTTCGATCGAGGCGCTGGTGCGCGACTTTAACGCACTGTACCACGGCCGCTCGCTGCAAGGCACAGCGTCGTGGATCGAGGCAGTGCAGCACATTGCTCGCGAGCAAGAGGCACTGGTGCGCTCGGGCGACGCACAGCGCTTCTGGACCGAGGCTCTTTCGGGTGGCGAGTCGGCGGTTCTTTCGGCCAGTGCGGCGGAGGCGGGAGGAGAGGCGTTCGAGTCTCTCAAGGGTGCTATCCGGGTGTCTGGCGATGTGGAGACACGACTGCGCGCGGCACGCGTGTCTGTGCCGGCGCTCGTTCTGGCAGCGTGGGCCACCGAGCTGTGTGCGCGTCTCGAACTGGAGCCCGACGCAGCGCCGCTGTTTGGGCTGTACCAGCTGGGCCGATCGATCTCGTTCGAGGGCATCGATAGCGTGCAGGGGCCGCTGCTCAATATGCTGCCCGTGCGGCTGCACGGTACGACGCTGGTGGACCGCGCGCGGTCGGCAGTGGTCCAGCTGCGCGAGCGAGCGCGCTTTGAGCAGACGCCGCTGAGCGATGCACACGCATGGGCCGGCCTGCCCATGCACGCGTACAATACCGCGGTGAATGTGCTGCTCGACTCGCCGGGCGACGGCGCGGACGAGATGCAGCCCGTCGACATCGGCGTACCCACCGAGTACGCTAGTGTCAAGAAGCAAAGTGCAGGGGAGGAGGTGGGGCGGCCCAAGGTCAGTGTGGATGCAGTACTGACGCAAGAAGGCGTGGATTTGGCCGTCAAGGCTGCTCGCGACGCGGTGGAGCCCAAGCAGCTCAAGGGGTTGCTCGTGTCGCTGGCGCGTCGCATCCAGCAGGCGCTTGACGAGCTGTAACACTCCCAGAGACCGAGACAAAGAGGCGTTACGTGGTGGCAGGATAGTTGTGACCATAGATGGTTGGAATCAAAAGACTTGTCGCAAAGTGATGCTGTGTAGCCCTTTTTTGTGCAGGCAGGGCTGAGACGGTGTTTGGATGAAGGTGTGGAGCTGAGATGCCGAGTGCGGTGGACAAGCTACTTGGCTCTGCGACTTGCACACCTGGAGGCCTTGTGCGAGCATTCCGTTCTCCGGTTGCGCGCATTCGCCCGAAGTTGACTGTGATCTCGTTTACGAGCTTGACCCAAGGGCGCGTGTGGTCGCAGTGTGCTGGAAGAGCTGTGCGGCATGACTTTGTTCAAGCGCCGCATCCACCACATGGGCATATCAACTTGCATTTCATCAACAAACGAGGCGTGGTTGCCAAATCCTCCATGGGACGCCCGTTTTCATATGGGCGGTGAGGACATGCAGTCCATCCCGCCGACGTGGGTCCAACTCGCCGCAACGTCGCTCTGATCCTTACACTACAAGCGACTTGGCTGGTTGGCAGAGTGTGGTCAAGAGACTGCACAGATCGATCCTTTCTTCTTCGTGTTGAAAGTTGGAACTTTGTCATTGCAGAATTGTCGCCATTGGAAAATGCGGTTGCTATCGTCGTTTCGAGCTGTGACGGCGTTTGGGACTCAAGCTCGCCACAGACGCCACAGACGATGGCATAGCTGCGCATGCTGTGTGGGGATGAGCTGGTACAGATAGCTGCTTGTTCACAGCTTGCATCAGCCCGTGTCGTCGTGAGTGAGTGCTTGAGCAGTGCGAGAGACGTTGGGCAATGATGTATGGTCAAGCGCGCAACTTTGGAGGTGCAATCGCTCAGAGTTTGATCTGTGGCGTTGATCTGGTGAATCGACAAAGTGATGGTGCCAGCTCAGCTCGAACCAAGCACGACATGGACAAGCGGTGCGCGACTAGGAAAGAGCGTCTGCGCTGGATCCGGTGCAGAGCATGCAGAGCGCGTCTTGGCGCACAAGATCCCACATGTCGTATCTGACTGGGAGCGAGCTTATGTGGCTAGTCAATCATCATGCCTACACAGCGTCAAACCAAACCGACGCCAAACATGATGAGCTAGATCCACGTGTTGACAACCGGTCCATGGCGGTATTCACAACAAGACGAGGACAAGTCCGACTAAGCATGGCGTGATGACCTTGTCTACTTGAACATCCCCGCTGCCTCCTCCCTGGTCCGCCCTGAGAACGATATGCGACCGCAAGATTGCAACCATCCCTTCTTCGCGCTGCCACCCACTCTACCACGACTGCTGTCCATACTCGCACCCCCGCCACACCGCTCAAATGCACCCATCCAGCACACACTTGAAATTCTTGGGCGGATATGCAATTGCCTCTAATCTGGGGAATCGGGCTAGAACTGGAGCAGGTTGGGCTGGGCATCGCTCGCGAGCGCCTTGCCGAAATCGCTCGATGGCTGGAAAGGCCTTACGCCGGAAGTGAATCCCGTTGCCTGCGGTACCACACCCTGCCCCTGCTGTCCCTGTGTCGAGTTGAAGCCCGAGGTGAAGCCCTGCTGCCCCTGCCCCTGCTGCCCCTGGGGGTTGGGGTTGAAGGCCGAGTTGAAGGCCGATAGCGCAGTGCCACCCGCATTGGCCGACGCATTGGCACTGCCAGCAGCGTTGCTTCCAAACCCAGAGGCAGTCGAGCTCGCACCGAAAGCGGCCGTCGAGCCCGTGCCAAACGCCGATGTGCTCCCACCTGCACCGTTGCCAAACCCACCAGCCGTCGAGCCTCCGCCAAAGGTGTTTGCACTCGCAACCCCACCGGCGGCTGGACTAGCGACCCTGGCGAACGGGTTGCCCGTCATCTGTGGCTGCACCGCCAGCTGGGGCTGACTGGCCAGACTCGCGCCAAACGCACTCTCGGGCTTGAACGGGCGCACGCTGCTACCGCCCATCCCCGTCGGCTGAGGCTGCACCCCAAACGACATGCCACCCATCTGGCCCACCAGCTCCCCCTCCTGTCCCCCCACCTGCTGCTGTTGCTGCTGCGGTTGCTGCTGCTGTTGCTGCTGTGGTGGTTGGTCGCTCTGTGGCTTGGCCGTGAACTCGGACGCAACACTCCCGATCAACCCGGTCTTTTGCGGCACCAATCCCTGCTGCGGGGTAGCTTGCGGTGCGGACTTGGTGGGATCGGTACCATCCCACGCATTTGCACCCAGCCCGTAGTGTCCCCCACCGGGCGCGAAGGCGTTCATGGCCAGCTGGTTGAGCGAAGGCCCCCGGGCCGCGGGCGGCGAGGCAGGAGGAGGCGTCGACCCGGGAGGTGGCGCAAACGGATTGCGCGAGCCCGTCTTTTGCGCCAACACCGGCTTGGGCGTCGCACCGTTGACCGAGGGCGCGCCAAAGGCAGAGTTGAACGAAGACAGCGCTGACGGTTGCGACGTCGAGCCAAACCCGTTACCTGTCTGCGAGGGAGGCTGCGGCTGCGAAGGCGTCGCCGTGTGTTGCGGCTGCAATTGCGGTTGCGGCGATTGCGCTTGTTGTGGCTGCTGCTGCTGCTGCTGCTGTTGCTGATGTTGCTGCTGTTGTTGTTGGAACTGTTGCGGCTGTTGCGACGGTTGCATGAAGCTGGGCTGGGCGTCGAACGTGCCAAAGGGCCCACCGAATCCAGTCGGCTGCGGCATGAGCGACTGGCGGAACGGATTGAATCCGGTCTGCTGGGGCTGCAAGAATCCCGACATCTGCGGCGCCATGCCCATGGGCATCCCTGTCTGCTGCTGGGCCATGAACGGGTTGTAGCCGGTCATCTGGGGCTGCATCATGCCCATGCCCGTATGCTGCATGCCCATCGCCCCAAACGCGCCGCTCATGCCCATCATGCCAGTGGGCTGTGCCTGCAAGAAGAAGCTCTGCTCGGCAGGCACATTCGAGAAAATGTTCTGGCCACCGTCATTGTCGATGCTGGCGAAGAAGTCCTGCAGGTCCTGGTTGGCGGTGGGCGGCTTGAGCTTGCGCTCTGGCTTGTCGGGTTCCTGAATGGTGATGCTCTTCTTGGACTCGCTCTTGGGCACGCTGCTCGAGATGGTGGAGATGGGTCGTGCGGTGGATGCAGACGGTGTACCGTCGGCGATGCGCTTGTTTTCCTTGTACTCCTTGCGGTTCTGCTCGAAGTTCGGATCGCGCAGGTACTCTTCGAGCGCGCCGGCGAGCGAGACGGGCGCATGCTTGAGCGAGGGGATGGCGAGGTTGAGCGAGTGCGACGCCTTCTTGGCGCTGTTGAGAAAGGCGACCACATTCTCAGTCTGCCTGCAGAAGCGACGGTAGAGTTCGAGTGCACGCTCTGCGTCCGACTTGGCCATCTCAAAGTAGTGTTCGAGGATGTTGATGACGCCTTCGTTGATGGCGGTGTAGATGGCGAGGAGGTCCTTGAGGGTCATGCGGAAGGCGGACATGACGAGGTCGTCGTTGAGATCGTCAAGGAAGAAGGAGCACTGCATGAGCACGCTGGCGACCTTTTGGGTGGACGACACCTCGCGCAGCAGGCCCTTTTCCACCGAGAGCTTGCGCAGGCGGTTCGAGTTGCTCGCGCCGTTGGCGTGGGCGCGCGAGCGGTCCGAGGAGCGAATGACGTCGTGCTTGAGCTCGCGGTAGGCGCGCACGCGCTCGTCGAGGTACTGCGCATAGACGGAGAGCGTCTGGGGCGCCGAGACGCCCGACCAGCTGTTGGAGGCGACGTTGCGCAGGCGGATGTTGCCGGCGTCCGAGGCGAGGTGCGAGAGCACATTGTCCACCTCGCCGTTGCGGATCATGGTGTGGAGGATGACGAGCGACTTGAGCACCACCGTGGCGTTTGAGTCGCGCAGCCGCGTGCCGAGCGCACGGCACACATCCTGGAGCGACCCATCGGTGGCAAAGGTGGTGGCGATGATGGGGTCGATGTACTTGGGCTTGATGCCGCCGGACTTGGGCTTGGTGGCGCCTTTGACCACCTTGTCGTAGCTGGACATGGCGGCGGGGGCGGCGGCGGCGGCGGGTGGAGCGGCCGTGCGGTGTAGATGATGGAGGAAAGTATGGATGCATGAGCGGGCGGACCGGCCCCAGCAATCTCACACGCTCCACAGCGCTGCACAGCCGAGCGAGCCTTTGAGGGCGAGCGAAGCATCCGTGCGCCGCTTCAGCGCCTCCGACCGAGCTGGCGGTGGGATTTCGTCATTTTCGCCCTTTTAGCCCGTTTCGCCCTCTTCGCCCACAGCTTCCGCCCTCTCCGACTCGCGTCCTCTGCAACTTCCACATCGGACGCCGGTCGGTCGGCCGGTCGGACCTTGATCTCCCGATCTGACTCCCTCTTCACCATGCTCACCTAGCCTCCTCATCCTTTCTCTCCAATGCGTTCTGAGAACAAGTACACTATACAAATACATTGATACCTCGCTCTGCCGCGGCACTCACAGCGAGCTCTGCACCTTGGGCAGCAGCGTCTCCTTGAGGAACTTTTCGAGCTTCGTCGCGCTCTTGGCGTACGGCGACGAGGCCGGATTGTAGGCGCGGCAGTTGTCAAAGATGAGCTGCGCATCCGCGGTGAGTTCGTCCACATTGGCGTACTGGTTGTTTTCCAGCTTGGCCTCCATAGTAGAAAGATCCATGGGGTTCTTGATCACGTCGTAGTAGTCGGTCACCTCGTCGCCGTTGACCGGATTGACAAACGGCCACGCGCTGCCGTGGCCGTTGAGCTCCACGAGGATGTGGCGCATGACGGCAAAGTGCGGCCCGCGCTTCGGTCGGCGGCTCAGCTCGTCCATCTCGGGCGTCCAGCCGCTCTCCTTGAGCCCCGGCACCTCGCTCGGTTCGACGAGGAAGGTCGCCGTGGGGTCTTCTTCGCCATTCTGCTGGTCGCGCTTCGCCGCACGCTCCGGCTTGGCCACCGTGCCGTCCGGATTCTGGATCAACCCTTTGAGCTGGATCAGTCGCTGTCGGTTGTGCATCGCCTCGAGCCCCTTGTGCACCACGTGCGAGCGGCTGATGCTGCGGATCTTGGCAAGCACCATCTCCTTCTGCTTGGCCAGCATATCCTGCACCTCGAGATACTTGACCCTCGGCACCATGCTGCACTGCATCAACGTTCCGCCCTCGTAGTCCTTGATATATCCCACCCACATCGACCGGTCCAAACTGATCTCCTTGGTGAAGCCCTGCTTCTTGAAGTAGCCGATCGCATAGTTGTCCGCATACGTCAGGAAGTGCATCACGGGCGACGACGCCTTGACGTGGTCCTTGACGTGGTTCATCAGATGCGACCCGTACCCCTTGACCTGCTCCGTGCTCGTGATGGCGCAAAACACAATCTCGGCAAACTTGCGCTGCTTGAACGGACGGTACGTGATCCCGCCCACCACCTGCAGCCCGCGCTTGACAATCGCCACGCTCTGGTGGTTGCGGTCAAACACCAGCCGCGAAATGTACTCGCGCGGCATCTTGGGCAGCTGCCGCTGGAAGATGTTCTTGAGTCCCGTCAGCAGGATCATCGACTCGTGGTCGTCGTCGTTCGACACCACGCGGAACTGGATCAGCCCCGTGCGCTCCTCGATCACCGCAGGTCGCTCCTTGCGCGGCGCAACCCCTTCTTCCGCCGCCGACGCTGCACTCTTTGGTGCTGGCTCCAGCTGTTCCTCCAAGTCGATCGCCTCCTCTTTCACCTCGGCTTGGCGCTCCTCCGCGTCCTTGGCCTCGGTCTCTTCCTCTGCCGGCCCTGTTCCGCCGTTGGTGGATGCTTGGGCAGCAGCATTGGCCGCATCCTCGCCGCCTTCGCCCGCAGTAGCAGCGTCAGCTGCGTCGGCTTCCTCGCCCGACTCGTCGCTCAGATCCGTCGACACGTTGGCATCCGCCGTCGACTCGTTCGCCAGGTCCGAAGACGCCAGCTTCCTCCTCTTGGCATCGTACCGTCCATTCGATGCAGCCGGCGAGGCGTGGCGCGACGCCGCATTCGAGTGCGCCACCGTCATCTCGGGGCTCGACAATCGGCTCGACGTCGCCACTGAAGCTTCGCGATCGCGCGACCGCGACCTTGAGCGCGAACTCTCGCGCAGCTTACGCTTCCGGTTGAGGCTCTGCAGCAGAGGTGTTGATGAGTGCGGCGCTGCAGGTAGCGACTGCGACGCCGGGTGTGGGCTCGGAGTTGCATCGGGCGCCGTGCTGAGCTGCGAGCCCGGGCTCGACGCCTCGATGAGACCGTCCGCACCGACGGGCCGCATCTGCTTGCGCAGCGACTCGATGTCGGCGTCGACGTACTCAAAGTCGAGCAGCTTGTGCTTGTCTTCCAGAAGCTCGTCGAGGCGCACGGCTACCTTGCCTCTGCGCGTCGCCTCCTCGTCGTCGGTGTCGCTGAGCGCTGCGTGCTCCTCGATGCTCCGCCCGCACGTGTCGCACGCTACTGCACCCCAGGCCGCCTTGAGCTTGCCATCGTCGACGGCGCGCGTCTCGTGTCGTGAGCTGCGCGAGACAGGATCCTCCACCACCTCCTCGTACTCGGACGGTTTGAAGCCGGCGCAGCTGCGCACATCTGAGCTGGTGCCTGCGGAAGCGGAAGACGATGGCGTGTGCCTGGCGATCTTGATGAGCCGCTGGAATGGTGTGAGTCGATGCAGCGACTTTGCGCCCGATGGGTATAGAAGAGGCATGGCGGCGATGGCTGCGGGCGCAGGGATGAAGCGTGCCTAGCCGACACGCATGTGGCAGATGGTGTTGGGAAGCAAAGATGCAGGTTTGGTGTTGGTCTGCATCTGCAAGAGCGCGTCGGCTCGCCAGACGCAATGCCCGCATCCCGATCTCCCCAATCCGATTCGGCTCAAATCGGCAAGATTTCGAGCCAACTGTCACGCGGCTGGAGCCTCACTTTTGTCTGCCCTCCAACAGCTTCCGCATCACTCTCATCCACACTACCTCTCTTCCTCAACTTCATCCTTTGGTGCGGCTCAGGATCTACGAGCACGATGTACTGTCTTCGGTGGTGGATCCCGCTGTTCCTGCTGCCGTTCCCGCACGCGTCGCCTTTGTTCCTGGTGCTGTTCCTCGTGTCGTTTGCACTGCACTCACAGCCATGCATCTACTGCGCACTCATCCTAACGGGTCTCTTCACCACCTCGTCCAACTGGTACGGCCCCACATCCACCATTGTCCCCGCCATCAATGCTGCAAATCACACCGCACAGCCACGCGCGAGCTATGGCTGGATCGACCTCGGTCTCTCCGGCGGAAACGGCTTCTTTAACCCCCTAGCACGACCACGTGCGTCAACACCAACACCACCTGCGAATGAGGATCAAGTAGACGACGGGCTCTTCAGGCTGGCGATACCCTGGTCGGACTTGGAATGGAACGTGCCCAAGCGGTTTCATGTCGGACCGAGCAAGCACCAGGGCTTGGGGTTCTGGATCGACCTCGGCCCAAAGCTCGATTCACCAGCTCAGCCGGCTATGCAAGCAGCATCCACACTATCTCCAACCGATACCTCGTCGCAACACACAGAACTCTGAACGAGGCAAGCTTATGTGCACTGCAATTATACCCGTATCAACCTCACCGCACGCCTTGGCAATGCACACTCTACGTCGTGGCCATGAGAAGAAATGCCGATTATGACCATTGCCGTGATGGCAGGAGAGATGGAAAGGAGGTGTCTAGTTTGCTTCGTCGGTGTCGCTGATCTCTGTGATGTCGGGCGAGGCAGCCTCGCGCAGTCTGGCAAGCAGGGTCTGGGCGACCTTTTTCTGTTCGGCCTCGTCGGACTCGGTGTCATCTTCGCCCGAAACGCGGTCTGCAAGTTCGAGCTTTCTCTCGCCGAGCGCATGGATGTCTTCGTCGATCGTACCGCGGCTTAGCAGCTTGACGACCGTGACGGGCTTGGTTTGACCCATGCGGTACGACCTGTCTGCGGCCTGCTTGTCATTGTGAGGGTTGAAGTCCTGGTCGAACAGAATCACCCAGTTGGCAGCAATCAGATTGATGCCCAATCCACCCGCCTTGGTCGAGAGCAGAAACACGGTAATCGAAGGGTCGTTTGTAAATTGATCCACCAGCACCTGCCTGTCTTCGACCTGGGTGGACCCGGTAAAGCCGACGTACTTGATGCCCATGTGCTCGAGGCAGACGCAGAGGATGTCGAGCACCATGGTGAACTGGCTGAAGATCAGGATGCGGTCTCCCTGCGCCTGGATCTCGGGGATGAGTCGTTGGAGCGCCTGGATCTTGCCCGAGTCCATCCACTCGGGTGCGGGGAGGACGTGCTTGCGCGTAGCCGGATAGGTCTGCGCCGAAAACGACAGCTGCGCATCCGTGTTGATGCGCAGATCCTCCTTGATGTGCTCGAATGCATAGTCGGCATAGTCGGGTTCCTTCATAAGGTCCCTCGCCATGGCGTCGATCTTGGCCTCGTCAAACAGCCTGCGTGTTAGCAGCGGATGGTTCGCCGCCTTGCGCAGCTCCATCAACACATGGCCGCTCTCCTTGCTCCCCGCCGCCTTGGTCGCTGTCTTGCTCCGCGTCGCAGCGGGCTCGGATGCTTGGGCTGCTGCGACGCGCTTGGTTCGCGCCACCGCCTGCGCATACACCCTGCGCTGCGACGGCGTCATGTCGCAGTACTCGACGCGCACCGTCTTGGTGGTCAGCTCGGTCAGCACGCGGTCCTTGAGACGACGCAGCACAAACGGATGCATCATCTTCTTGGCGCGATCCACCCGCTGCTTGGACAGCTGGTTCTGCTGCGCGCCCGGCTTCACCTTGAAGATGGCCGCGAGCGCCTCCTCGGCGTCGGAAAAGTAGGCGGGCATGATAAAGTTGAGCAGCGACACCAGCTCCTGCAGGTTGTTCTGCAGCGGCGTGCCCGTGAGCAGCAGCCGCCAGTTGGTCTTGAGCCGCAGCAGCTTTTCGTACTTTTGCGACTTGCGGTTCTTGAGCATGTGGCCCTCGTCGAACACGCACACCTCGAACCCGCCGGCACGGCAGTCCTGTTCGTCGCACCCGGGCTTGCACTCGCTGCGTCCACAGCCCCTGCGGCCGAACTTGCGCAGGAAGTTGTGGTCCTGAGGCCCACCTGCTGCCATGTCGTACGTGGTGAGGATGACCTCGAGCTCCGAATCCGCCGCGAGCTCTTCGCGCAGCTCGACGCGATCCTTCATGGAGCCGTAGTACTTGCGCACGCTGATGCTGGGTGCAAAGAAGCGGAACTCGCGATCCCAGTTTTCGAGCACCGAGCTGGGCGCCACCACCAGATGCGGGCCGCGAATCCCAAGGTGCTTGAGATGCGCAAAGAACGCGATCACCTGCGCGGTCTTGCCGAGCCCCATCTCGTCGGCGAGGATGCAGCTGGTCTTTTTGCGGTAGAGCAGGTTGAGCCAGTTGACGCCGACGAGCTGGTAGTCCTTGAGCCTGACACCGTCGGCGAGCAAGCGCGGCTGCTCGTCGAGGTACAACTTGTCGGCCACGCCCTTCTTGATGCTGGCGAGGTTGAGTGTGCTGGCGGGCGTGCCCTCGCGCGAGCCTGCAGCCGAGGCGGGCTGACTCGCATCGGGCAGCCAGGAAGCCATGGCGTCGGTCAACTCGCGGCCGATCTTTTCGCACTTTGCCAGCACCTCGTCCACCTCGTAGTAGCCGGCCATGAGGTCCTTGCACTGGTGGAAGAGGCGCGGCGTGACGCCCTTGGCGGCCTTGCTGCCGAGCTTGTCTTCGACGTCGTCTGCATGGGCGAAGGGGCGCAGCGCGATGATGGTGTCGGCCTGCTGGGCGTTGCAGTTGGTGGTGTCCATGAGCGCATTGGCGTCGGCGGTGTTGAACCACTTGACGGCGGCGCGGTCCTCCTTTTCGGCGCGATCGTGGCCGTCGGAGTTGTCGTCATCGGAGCTGAGCTCGATCGTCTCTTCCATGCGCTTCTTGGGCTTGGGCGGCTGCGGAGCCGCAGCAGCGGCAGGCGCGCGTGACGATGCCGGGGTGGAAGAGCGCGAATTGGAAGCGACCACGCTGGACTGCCTCGACCTGTCGGAGGCTACAATGCTGGCCGTTGCGGGGCGTGAGACAGCATCACGCGCGGGCTTGAGGCTGATGGTCTTTGTGGTTACGACGCTGGGTCGCGAGGCGAGGAGCTGGAGCGTCTTGTCGATGTTGCCTCTTGTTTGGCGCAGCGCTGCGATGATGCGTTTGGGCTCGAGGAGCGGTTGGATCTGGATGATGCGTCTTGCCTTTTGCTTCAACTCCTCTTCGGACATCGTCGGCAGTTGCGAGTGTTGCGTCGCTGCGGCAGACTTTGTAGGTGATGGTGTTGTCTTTGTCGCCGTGACGGTGGTGGTTTGCGGCCGTTGCGGTGCGACCTCTTGGACGTCGTCGTCGCTGCTGTCGCGACCGTTGGCGGTGGTTGCATTCTCGCGCTTGCCGCCGCCGTTGCTCATACGGCTGGTGTCGGCAGTGGTAGTCGGGGAGCGGCTGCGTGATTCCTCGGACGGCTCACGCGAGCGATTGCGCGAATTGCCACCTCGCACCAAGCGGCGCTTCTTGGGTTTGGGCTCGTCATCTGCCGACGACTCGGGATCCGAGAGGCCTGAGCTGTCGTCGTCGGACACTACAATCTCGCGCTTGGCGTCGGTGCCGTTGTACTTGAACTGCTGGAGGCTGGAGCGGAAGGAGGAGGAGCCCGGCTGGGAGGTGAAGGCGGTGCGGCTCATGGCGGAGGCGTTGGTGGCATTCATGGCGGAGCGGAACGGGTGGGCGGACATGGTGGGCGTGGGCGATGCGACGATGGGGCTCGAGTCGAGGCAGATGATGCGGGGCGCCGTGGCTGAGTTGGCATGGGCTCGAGGCGGAGTGGCGGGTTCGATGGGATCGTCGGTGGTTCGGCGTTGGTGGTGCATATGTGGGAGAGTTGGACGTCGTGAGGCTACGCTTGGCTGAGCTGCTTGCGAGCGGGTATCGATGTGCACAGCGACTCCAGAATGCAGGAACGGAGGCTGTCCAAGCTAGCGGTGCGGGAAGAAAGGGTGGTGGTGGAGGTGCTGGGCGGACGCCGTGTGGTGTTCGTGTTTGGCAGCCGCCTCCAAGCCGGCCGAAGTGCTGCTGCCCAACATCGCCCTCCGTTACCGGAATCCTGCCGAGCCGCGAACCGAGGAGCGACTCGAACTTTTTACGCAACGCGTGACGCACCTCTCAAAATGAATTTTTCGAGCGCCGCGCTGTCCGACGTGTCTTGAAGCCTCTCTACGCGTAGATTTCATTTAGCCGCGCCGGTGCAGCATAGACCCCTCCTCCAACGGGCATTCCAATCAATACACACGACAACGACACCACGCTTCATCGAGAGACATGCATTCGGAACAATCACATTGCTAATCACTTCAAGCTAGCCACATCACTTGCGCTGGCCGTACGCCTTGGTGGCATAATCTCCACCCTCCACAATGATGTTGGCGGGGGTCTGGGGCTTGCCGCTAAAGTAGTTGGTGAGGATCTCCTTGACACCGGCAGCGTATCTCGCCTGGGCGTCGATGGAGGTGCCCGAGATGTGGGGGGTCATGGCATTACCGCCGACGCCGTGCTCGTACTTGACGGCGCTCTTCATGTGGTAGAAGTCGTGCGAGGGCTCGGGCGGCTGTCGGTCGGTGACGTCGCCGCCGTAGCCTGCAATGTGTCCGCTCTCGAGCGCCGCACGGATGTCGGCAGCGTTGACGATAGCACCACGCGCAGTGTTGACGATCCAAGCGCCCTTCTTCATCCACGAGAGCTTCTCGGCGTTGATGAGGCCCTTGGTGCCCTCGTAGAGCGGGCAGTTGATGGTGAGCACGTCGAGCTCGCCCAGGAACTGCTTGAGGTCCTCGACGCGTTTTGCGCCCGTGTCCTTCTCGAGCTGCTCGTTGCGCTGGTAGTCGTAGTACGTGAGCTTGGCGCAGTCGAACGGCTTCAAGCGCTGAAGAACACGCGAGCCGATGCGTCCCGAGCCCAGCGTGCCCACCACCTTGCCCTCGAGGTCGTACGACTGGCGTGCCACCTCGGCGACGTTCCAGCCACCCTCGAGGTACTGTCGGTTGGCGGGCACAAAGTTGCGCACGAGAACGAGGATGGTCATGACGACGTGCTCCGCCACCGACACTACGTTGGAGCCCGTCACCTCGTACACCGAGATGTTCCTCTTGTTGGCCACATCCAGATCGACGTGGTCCGAGCCGACGCCGGCGGTGATGCAGCACTTGAGGCTCTTGGCCGACTCGAGCACCTCGGCGGTGAGGTAAGCCGGGTGGAAGGGCGTCGTGATGACGATCTCGGCATCCTTGACGTGCTTGCGGAACTCCGAGTCGGGCGTGTCCTTGTCGGCGGTGACAACGAACTCGTGGCCCTGCTCCTTGAGCCAATCAGCGATGCCGAGCTTGTTCTCGACGGTGCCGAGCAGACGAGGCTGCTCCTCGCCGTACTTGCCGGCGGTGTAGAGGACAGCGAGAATCTAGATACGGGTGACGCAGTATGGACCGTCAGTGTCGGGAACCGATGTAAGCAGAGCAGCAGACAGAACCCAAGAAGGGTGCTTGTCACCTACCTTGACCATGTTGGGCTTTGTGGTGGAAAACTGTCGAAGGTTTGAAGTGTAGCGGGGGATGGTTGTGCGAAGAAGGGATGCTCGAGCAAGCATGTTGAAGGCTTATATCTAAGAGGTGCGGGGCTGTGGGCGCAAAGCAGATCCTCGTCAATCAAATGAACCGTCCTCTCTCTCTCAAACGACTGCGAATGGGCAGGCAGCCGGGCGGGTCGCCCCGAGGCAGACACCGAAAGAGCCATGGTCAGTGCGGACAGCGGCGGTTCGTCTGTTTGGCTTTGGCTTGGCTGGCTGCGGCAGCGGCGAAGAACGAGCAAAGCCAAAGAGGCGCCGAGACAGCGTGGTGCGCTGCGGTGCGGGGAAGCCGAGAGCGCGTTATGACAGCTGCGGCGCGCCAGCCGAGCAGCGGGGGAAGCCAGGCTTCCAGTGTGGAGGCAGATTCCAAAAAATTGCCCGGTGCACGGACGGCGGCCGCGAAGCGCTTCTGGAGCTGTGTTCTTTTTTTTCGGAGCTTACGGCCGACGTCCGAAAGTGCCATCCAGTCCATGACATCTTGCCGCTGTTTCTCCACTCGGCCTCCCCGGCGCTCGTCAGAAGCACGTCCAAGCCCACTAGATGCGGGGATCCACGCATCTACCGCCCCAAGCACGGGGAAATCGCGGCAAACGTCTGACGCTCGCAAGCAACTATTCTTGGAGCCGTCGGTCAATCGTCGTTGCGCACCAGCATCTTCCGGAGCTCTCCGGTGCCTCCGAGATGCCTCTGACGAGCCAAGGCTGGTTTGGATTAGCCGCAACACGGACAGCTGTTGCCTGTGCCGCGCCAACCATCCCATCGACGCCTGCAGATGCCTATGTCGAGCGACTATCGCCGAGATGCCAGATTTCGGGCTGCTGTGGGGCTGCATGGCAAAAGCAATGCACACCGCTGCAAAGACCATTGTGACACGGCTTTGCGTCCAAGGCCGCCCGGACAAGGGCCTCGGACATTCCGCCTGCCCCACACCCCAAGCTAGACATGCCTCCTCTTTCGGGCCTTTTCGGACGCTCGGTGCTGAACATAGCGACGGCCAGCCATCGTAGCACGTGTCTGGTCTCTACTTACAATGTGAAATCTCGACTTGGAGATGTCGAATCGTTTGTATAGGTCCAGGACAACTTGCAAGGTCAGAGAGTCAGGGAGAGATGAATATGAGATTGGCTTCATCGACGGAGTCTGTCTATATATGCCCTGTCATGGCTTGCATGGGCAGGTCAGCCGATGACGGGTTGCGAGCAAAAGACCAACGCCACGCACAGACTTGTGTATCGGCTGGAGGTCAGCCGTTGATCGCGATCGTGGCATCCAAGCGGAGCATTCGGTGCTCGCTTGGCCCGTCGATACCACCCAATGTGACTTGTGCGCTCGGACCATTGCATCGCGAGGCATCGCGAGGCCCGCGAGCGATGAGTGAGCGTGGCATTGCAGGCCACCGCCTATCGCCGATTCCCTCAGGCTCATCGGAAAAGTTGACTTTCCAAATCGGCGATTTGGTACGGCTCGGTGCGATGCGGGATGGCTTCATCGTGCAGCACGAAATTTCCGACGTCCGCACTTTCACCCGCATGGCTGTGTCCCCCACCACATGGTGCTTGTTCGCACCTTGAACTTCTGCCATCATCATTCACATTGCAACGCACAAAAATGACGACGACAACCAAACCAGTTCCATCCGTAATTCGTCCCGGAAAGGCACCCGAGGGTCCACCGGGTTGGGAGGAACGTCGTATTGAAAAGCAGATCAACGACCAACAGGCCAACGAGAGACGCAACCACCGTCGTGAAAGCTCCACCGGCCTTGCGGGTATCAAGGAAAAGGTGCACAAGATCGGTGAAAAGATGCACCTCGTCGAGCCAAAGGACCCCACACAAAGAACCGCTGCTCAACTACAGGTATGTCTACACTAGCAACCGAACAATTTTGGATAGGATTCTGACCATGCTTGGATGTCTTTGTGCGCGAATAGGACGCTTCAACCATGCCGGAAAAAGCTCCTATTGATCAGTGATCTTCAACTTCACTACGGACGATCATTGCCCTTGGACAATTGCCTGATAATTCCACATGTATTTGTATACTTTTGCTTCGGATGTGGCAAAGGGGTGAATTTAGGAGCGATAGATGGCATCGGAAGTGACTGCGACGTCACGGATCTGTTCGACGTCGTGGACTCTCAGCACGTCGGCACCGGCAGCGATGGCAGCAGTGCATGCAGCAGCAGTGGCGTAGACGCGCTGTTTGGGATCCTGCTTGCCCGTAATGTGGCCGAGGAACTTCTTGCGCGACACGCCGATGAGCATGGGGAACGACACAAGCGAGCAGCACGGTCTCTGGCTCAACTCTGGCGAGCCAACGGGTGCGTCGCGCGCCGGAGTCGCTGCACCAGAGTAGGCATTTCCCCTGCCCTTGTTCGACTGGGCCACTGCTTCGGGTTGCGTCAAACGAGCCAGATCGCGCAGCAGCGTCAAGTTGCCCGCACTGTCCTTGGCAAAGCCGATGCCCGGGTCGAGCACAATGTTCCATCGACGAACGCCGGCTCGCAGTGCACGGTCGAGTCGCACCTCGAGCTCGGCACGCACCCCGGCAACGACGTCGCCACCCTCGTAGGAGGTGAGGCCATTCATGCTCTTGCTGTCGCCGCGCATGTGCATCAGGATGTACGGGCATCGTGCGCGCCGAGCGACCTCGAGCATCAACGGGTCGCGCTCGCCGCCCGACACATCGTTGATCATGTCCGCTCCAGCCGCGAGGGCGGCCTCGGCGACCGAAGCGCGGAACGTGTCGACAGAGATGGGCACGTTGAGGCCCGCAGTGCGCATGGCTCGAATCACCGACACCACGCGCGCCGTCTCCTCGGCCGCATCCACCTCGACCGCATTCGGTGCGGTGCTCATCCCGCCCACATCCAGCACATCCGCGCCCTGCTCGACCATCTTGACCGCCGACCGGACCGCATTTTCGGCGACCAGATTGTCGCCGCCGTCCGAGAACGAGTCGGGCGTGGCATTGATGATGCCCATGACAAACGTCTTGGATCCCCACGTCCACGTCTTGGTGTCTGTGGCTGGCTGGGCTGCGCGCGTGCTGGGCGATGGGATGGGCAGCACCTTGCGGATTCCACTGGGCACGTAGTCGGGCGACTTTTGAAGCATGACGAGCAGCTGCGACATGGTGCGCGAGTACGTCGGATGCTCAAAGTCCGGCAGGATGTCCTTGAGCGGCTCGAGCACGAATTCGCGCTCCTTGATGCCCGGATGCGGCACCACCAGCCGCGGCGCATCGTCGATCTCGAGATGGTCATACAGCAGAATGTCGAGGTCCACCGCGCGCGGGCCCTTGTCCGGCACGCCCGTCTTGTCGCGTCCGAGCTTGACTTCGATGGCCTGGGTGAGCGCGAGCAGCTCGTGTGGACTGAGCTTGGTGGCGATGCGGCACGCGGCGTTGAGGAACTTGGGCTGATCCAGCACGTACATGGGCGCCGTCTCGTAGAGGAAGCTCGTGTCGACGAGCTTGCAGTCGGCAGCCTCGCTGAGCGCCTGCACCGCCGCCTCGATGTTCGCCGCGCGATCGCCGACGTTGGAGCCGAGCGCGATGGCGGCGACGTGCCAGCCCGATTCCGAGTCGAGCGCGGACATGGACGCGGCACGCGGCGACGTGCCGTTGAGCGCCGAAGCGATCTGGGTATGGATGGATGCGGAAGATGGCGAAGCGGTGGGAGCAGCCACTTGAGCGGCGTCGGGACGAGTGTGTGCGCGGATGCGCTGCTCTTCGAGCGCAGCCTCTTGCTCGAAAAAGGCGCGCGTGCGCTCCACTTCGACTCCGGCGCTGCTGGCAAACATGATGGCGCTGGGCTTGTCGACGCTGACGCGGATCTTTTCGACCTTGTTCTGGAGCACGGCGACGCGGGCTATCGAGGTGGCGAGGCTCTCGACGGTCTTGTACGAGCTTGCCTCGACGTAGGCGGAGATGCTGCGCACGATGGTGCGGTAGTTGTGCTGGCGATTCACCACGTCGACGACGCCGACGGTGGAGTTGAGCGACTCCTTTGCGCGCGAGAGGCCCGAGTAGATGACGAGGTTGAGCTTGACGTTCTGCTTGTCCTCTCTCTCCCACGGATTGACGCCGATGATGGTGTTGATGATGAGGTCGCGCACGATCACCTTGTCCTCGAGAGCGAGTGTGGACGACGGCACGAGTCGGAGCTCGTCGAGGTTGTGGGCAGCAGCATCGAGGTCGGCAGGGACAGGGCTGGCATCAGCGAGCATGTAATCGTCACGAGTGCGCGCAATCTGCACTCCGGCCGAAGCGGCATGTAAGAGAGAGCGCGGCTTTTCGACGTTGAGCGTCACCTTGGGTGCATGGAGCACAAAGAGGCAGACCTTGGCGAGACCCTCTGCGAGCGCCTCGAGGCTGCGGTAGCGATGCGCGGCGCAGTGAGCCTCGAGCTGCTTGACGAGGATGCCGTAGTGGATGCTGTGGGGCAGGTGGTCCGACTTGCCGGCCATCGAGACGTCGGTGTGGACGCGCGCATCGATGGTGACGGGCTGTGCCTGGACGCGCTCCCAGTTGTCGACGCCGACGATCATGCGAACCTCGAGCTTCTTGACGACGATGATGTCGGGGAGCGACATGGATGCGGTAGATGACGCCATGGTCGAGTGTCGGCGGTGGCGCCACGCAGACCGAGCTGCGTCGGAGAGATGGCGCTGGCTGGATTTAGGAGCTGCTAAGACGGATCGCCCGGTGACGAACGAGAAAGAGGCAGAGTTGAGGTTCAGAATGGCAGGTGAGATCCGCATGCCCTCACTGCTGGCGCATACTGTCTCGAGCCGGCTGATTCCGATGGGCGCGCAAAGCAGCAGCGACAGTGGTGAATAGTGGTCAACAGTGGTGGAGCTCAACGTCGGAAGCCAGCCGGAATCCTTCGCACGAGCCGCGTGATAAAGTTGGCTCAGCTCCCTCGCCCTCTCGGCCCTTCCGAGCGCGGAGGAGGCATGACTTGTGCGTCTGATTCTGCCTTCTCTCTGGGCCCTTTTTTGAGATGTTTTTTTTTTTTCTTTGGCTGCTGCCAGTGTGTAGAGCGCCGCAGGGTCTGCTTTTGCTCGCTACCGCCCCCGCACCCGCCAAAAGGAAAAAAGCCACACCAAAATCCAAAAAAAAAATCGAGCCCAAAAAAAGGCCCTAAAAAGGCAGAGGAGCTGGGCTCGGGCAATTTCCAGGCTCGAACTGCCAAAGCGACTGAGCAACTGAGCATTTCTACACGCGGCAACGGCAGTCACGGCGGCCAGGCAGCATCGAATGAGCCTCACCACACCTCCATCCAACTCGCCAGGCTGCCTATTTGCCATGCACCCTTGACCCCCGATGGCTCAGCCTCGCCGCCATTCAAAGAAGCGTGCAAGCTGACGATAGCAAAGCGTCAGGCCTCCTCTGTACATTACGCAGCCGCTACGCTCGCTCTTGGCAGCGCCCATCTCCGCCTCTCCACGGCGCTTTCACCACGATTCGGCGACATGGTCCTTACGGCTAGCTCCATCTACATCGACTACAAACGAGCACCATCCTGGTAGCTTCGCCACCCAGCTCCTCTTGAGCGCGCTTCGGCGCTTCTATACCACAAGCACACAGCGCCCAGCATGCCGTTCCAAAGATCGAGCAGTGCTGCCTCCACACAGCTGCTCTTCAAGCCAACTTCGGCACTCGGCCCAAGTGACTTTGCATCGTCTTCTGCAGCCATCGTACCCAGCAAGTCGGCTCTGGCTGAATCGTCTTCCAAGCCACGCGATCCGATTCTCGGCCAAGACGCCGCTCCAGCTCGCAAGCAGCACCACGTCTCGTTCCAAGAGCAACCGGAACATGCAGAGCCGCAGCCAAAACCAAAGCCAAACAGAAGGCGCGAACGAAACCATCGCTCGTCGCAGTCAAGCTCGCGCCCCCATGCCTCCGACCTGATCACCAAGGGCTCCGAAAACGGCAGCGCAAAGCAGTCCGCCTCGCGCGCTTCTTCCCGTCACAGCCGCAACGATCCCAGCGAACCCGAGTCGTCCAAATCCGCCGGCGCAGAGAGCGCGCTCACCACATCCACGCGCTCGCGCAGGCAAGCACGCCGCGGCAACGACAAGCGCTCCGATCGCTCCCAGCGCACGCCCTCAGAGGCAGCCACGGCCACCACCGATCCCACCTCGGTCTCGCGACCCAGCTCCAGAGCAGCCACATCCACAAAGTCCGAGGCGTCCACCTCGGCTTCCAGGCGCGATCCCCGATCTCGCGAACCCAGCGCCTCGGGAAGGAGCAGCCGCAATCACTCCAATCATGCAGGCATCCTCCCCGACCTTCGCCTCCAAGACGCATCCCGCTCAGAGTCGGCGGCTCGCTCCCAGCACTCGGCTTCCAGCCGCCGCGACCGATTCAGCACCCGCTCGCACGACACTCGAAGCGTGCCCGGCGACGCTCCCACCGCTCGCGATGGCCGCCAGCTCTTCGATCCAAGGCGCGACGATCCTGTCAGGTTTGCGTCGCAGCAGAGACTGCAAACCGACGAGCGAGCCCGCGCCGGCTCCAGCGTCTCGTCGCCCCGCCTCGCTTCGGCGTCATCCTTGCAGCCTCCGATTCCCATGCGAAGGGATCCGTCCGAGTCTTCGGGCGCCAGCCTACTTGCGCGCAGTCCAATCATCAAGCCCTCCATCGCCGACGTCGCCTTCGCTCCGGCTATCGACCCGGCAGATCCGCGCGCCCTCCAGGCGCACGTGCTCGAAATCAAGAAAGTCTACCGATCCATCTCGGCCATGGAGACCGCACTGCAAGAGGCGCACCACGCCGAGGCCGACAAGGCTCGCCTCGCCATGGCCGAATACCTCCCTCCCGACGTGCGCGATCCGTCCTACTGGATCACCATGATCAGCCGCCATCGCAGCCTCGCCGATCTCCACTCTTCGTTCTTCGAGATGACGTGTCGGCCAGAGCTTCCTCGCTCAGTGCAGGAGCTGGCCGAAACGTACAACCTGCCCTCGCGCCTGTGGCAGAACGCCTTCCACCTCATGCTAGAGAGTCTGCGCTCCAATCTGGCGTCTCAGCCTCCCAACCAGCCAGCCAGCCGCAAGACCGAGCTGCTCGACTACCTCACCGAGTTCATCTACTTTGCCTACTCCTTCTACTCCGCTCTGCACGAATCAGAGAGGTACAAGAGCTTCGGCAGGGCTTGGATCGAAAGCCTTGGCGATCTATCCAGGTATCGCATGGCCGTCGCAAGCCTCGCTGCTAGCATGGCCATCGATGGCGGTGGCGAAGAGATCAGGAACAAGGCCCACAACGACCGCAGCCCAGTACTGGCGATCGATGCGCGCATCGATGACGCCCAAGACGATTCGGATGCAGATGCTGATGACGATGACGACTCGCTCGATGAGCACCGCGCCGAAGCCGACGACGCCGAAGCTCGCCGGCGGCACGCACGACGTAGAAGGTCCCGCCGCGGCCATCGCGACGATTTGCACAACGTCGACAAGGCGAGTATCGGCAGCGCGGCGCTCGGCGACTGGGAATGGACCGAAAAGGAGACCTGGCGTCAGACGGCCAAGGACTGGTATGCGCTCGGGATCACCCAGGCTCCCAACATCGGCCGGCTCCACCACCATCTCGGCGTGCTCAGTCGCGGTGAGGACGATCTGCGTGCGCTTTACCATCTATCCAAGAGCCTCATCGCTGCCAAGCCCTTTTCTTCGGCCAAGGACAGCGTCGTCGCGCTCTTTGACCAGGAGCGCCAATCTCGTCGCATCCGACGCGGCAGCTCCGTCGAGGAGCTCTTCCTCTACTTGCACGGCCTCCTCATCACCCGCGTCCAGCTCGACGACTTTGAGCCCGTATTCGAGCGCTTCGTGAGCGAGCTCACCGCGCTCGTCGAGGAGCACGGTCCGGCAGGCCTGCCGCAGTCCGTATGGACCATGATGGCAACCGTCAACATTGCAGGTCTGTTCGAGCACGGATCGGACGACTCGATGCTGGCGGATCTGCTGCTGCAGCAATCGCACAAGTCCGGCAAGCGGCCTAACCGCACGGAAAGGTCGAGGTCCCAGGTGCCCACCGCCATCCTCGTCAGCTCGAGCGCGACCAAGACCGACGACAACTTGCTCAGCGAGCTGCCGCGCGATGCGGAATGGGACGACCCCAGCGACGACGAAGACGAGGCGGGCGAGCAAGAGGTGCAGCTTATTGCGCTCGATGCGAAAGCGCGCGGCGACGAGGCCGAGGCGGAGGCGGCCAACGATCTGCCCGACACGCTCGAACGCGCCGCCAAGCTCTGCTTCGCCATGCAGGCGCTCACGTTCGACCTCACCAGCGCCGATGCGAGCCTGCGGTCCAATCCGTACAACACGACGATCGGCACGTTTCTGCTGTCGCTGTGCCAGTCCAAGCGGGCGTTCCGCCTGTTTGAGCGCTTCGTGCCCTGGGATGCGTGGCTGCAGCGTCTCGACAGCTCCATCGGCCTGGCGGAGCGTGGCTGGCCCAAGGTGCTCGCGAGCCCGTACATCACCGCCCCGCTGCTGCTGCCGGAAGACTACTGTCTGCGCGGTATCCTCGGGCTGTCGCGCCATCTGTACGACCGCCATCTGTGGCGAGCGACGGCGAACGAGGGCGGCTTGTCGGCGTCGCATGCGTTTGCAAACGAGGTCGAGGTGCTCGATGCCGAAGACGGCGAGCTGTATACGCGCATCGAGTCGGCGTGGCGCACGGCGGCTGCGCGCAAGGGAGAGCGCGACGAGCCATCGCCGACGCTCGACACGGTGCGCGTATACCGCATGGCGTTTGTGGCGCGCAAGCTCGCCAAGGCTGGGCGCGGGTTCGAGCTGGACGGCAAGACGTCCAAGCTGTCGCTGTCCAAGATGCTGCAGACGCGGCTGGTGCGGCGCAAGATGGAGGAGGAGCAGCGCGAGCTCGAAGCGCGCATCCAGCAGCTGCGTCTGCAGGCGGCGAATCGGGAGCCGGCATGGGCGCGCTCTGAGGAGCCCGCTTCGGCTGCATACCAGGAGGCGGCGCAGATGGACGACGACGACGATTTTGACAGCGACTGGGAGGAGGACGAGTCGGCGGCGGCGCGCGAGCGCGTGCATTCGCTGGACGCCATCCTGCCGACGCCCGAGGGCGCCGACGCGAGCGACGAGATCCAGGCACTGCATGCACGCAGCTGCTACCTGCGCGACGTGCTCAGCAGTGTGCGCAGCACGCTCACTCGCGGCAGAGGCGGATCGGCGGGCAAAGAGCGGGGCACGCAGGCGGGGCGGGCCAAGACCGACGTTGCTGCGAATGCGTGCGAAAACATCGTTCCTGGATACACGGTCCTTGTGGTGGATACGAACATCATCGTGACGCCGGGCGAGGTGATTGCGCAGCTGATCGAGTCGCAGCGCTGGACGCTCATCATCCCGCTGGCGGTGATTACGGAGCTGGATGGGTTGCGGCGCAACGATAGCGAGTTGGGGCGGCATGCGGAGCGCGCGATCCGGCTGCTCGAAACGCGCATCCGCACCCACGCCAAGTTCGTCAAGGTGCAGACGAGTCGCGGCAACTACCTCAGCGATCTCTCGTGTCGATCGGAGGACATTGATTTCGCCTGGCAGGGCCAGGGTGCGGGTGCGGGTGCAGCGGTGCGCGACGAAGATGCGGCGGATACAAAGTCGGTCGCCGCACGCAATGTGGATGAGGTGATCCTGCGCATCTTGGCGTGGCAGAGGGACAACTTTGTGGACCGCAGGAACTTGTTGCAGGTCGCAGCAAAGCACGACGAGCAGCCAACAAGCATAGACTCGGCGCACAAGAGTGTCCTCCTCACGCTCGACCGCAACCTTCGACTCAAGGCCAAGAGTCGCGGTCTGCCCAGCGTCGACGCTAGGGCCGCAGCTGCGCTACTCGAACTGCCGTAACAGCCGCATCGGCTTCAATGATACCAGTCTTGTCACCACCACGCGCACGGACAGAGAGAGAGAGAGGAGGGAGAAATGCGACGTGCGAAAAAAGAGACAGTATAAATGCATTGCGGTCGTGAATCGTGCGTAAAGAGTGCAAACTAGCCCATCTTCCAGTGGAACTGTTGGCCGCCGGGGAAGCCGCCGAAGCTTCCACCTCCGGGGAAGCCTCCTCCGCCACCGGGGAAGCCACCTCCTCCCTGTTGGAAGAACATCTCGAACGGATGGCCTCCTTGGGCGAAGGGGTTTCCGTATCCACCCTGCTGACCGCCCATGGGGTCGTTGGGATCGTCTCCTGCATCGTACCTCTTTCTAAGCTCTTCATCGCCGAGTACGCCCCAAGCCTCATTGATGGCGGCCATCTTTTCCTGACTTCCGCCCTTGTCGGGATGGTTTTCGCGGGCGAGTTTACGGTACGCCTTTTTGATGGTCGCGATCGCATCGGTTCGTTTGACGCCCAGCACCTTGTAGTAGTCCTTGCTCTGGCTCAGCTTGAGACGCTTCTGGGCCGTCTGCAGCTTCTGGTGGATCGCTCGGTCCGTTCTTCCACTCGCTTCGAACGCTTTGGTGAGGTCGCGAACCGCGTCTTCGTACTGCTCGTTCTGCAGCGCCACTTCGGCACGCGCGAGGATCGCAGTCGCGTCGTCCGGATCGCGAGCAAGAACCAGGTCGCAGTACTTCATGGCAGTATCCATCGCATTGAGCTCGGTGTGCGCCTTGCAGTACATAATGTACAGCTCGTGCAGCAGCCCCGACTCGGCGACCGGATCCCGCTTGTACGTGGCTGGAATCAGCGCCTCTTCATCGCCTGGCGACGCCTGGGTCGCAGAGACGATGGCCTCTTTGATCTCGTCCACCACCGTCGGCCCGCCGACCTTGCCACCTTTGAGTGCCGAGAGCACGGCGCGGTAGGACTGCGAGTTGTGGAAGTTGCGTGCCTTCTTCAGCGACTTTTCCAACGCCTTGACTTTGCGATGCAGGCGCGCACACGCCTTGTTGTCCGGATCCGAGTGCAGACATGCTTTGAGATGGTGCAGTCCCGCATCGCGGCTTTGCGATCCTGGCTCGCTCACGATAAAGTACGACAGCACCGCCAGACGGCGCAGCAGGAAGGGCGAGGGCGACAGATGCACCACGCGCGTCCAGTCCGCCATGGCGTCTTCGAGGTTGCCCTTCATGGTCTGGCAGCGTGCACGCACAAGGCGCGTATCGAGATGCGACGGCGATACCTTAAGCACCTCACCGGCCATGTGGATGCAGTGGTCGACCTTGGTGGCGTCGAGTTCCTTGCCCTTGCCCTTGGCCGACTGCGCCTGCGCCTTGTCGAGCTCCTTGGCGAGCTGCTGGAGCGACCGGAGCGACGCCTGGACGAGCGTGAGCTTGGAGCGCACGCTGGCGCCCTCTGTGGTTGCAGCGGCACCGTTGTCGGCGCGCACCTTGTCGTACGTGTCGAGCGCCTGCTTGGCCTTTTCATGGTCGCCCTCCTTGAGGTAGACTTTGGCCTGCTGCAGGTAGGCCTTGTCGAACTTGGGATTGAGGTCGAGCAGGCTCTGGAAGTCCTGAAGCGCGGCCGAGGTGCGGCCGAGCGAGAGCTGTGCGGTGGCCCTGCGGTAGTAGGTGAGCCACGACGACGGGTCGGCCTGCAGCGCAAGATCGAAAGACGAGAGCGCCTCCTGATAGCGGCCGGACTGAAGCGCGGCGTTGGCGTGGGTGAGGTGCTGGTTGGCCAGCCCCGGGTCGATGGCAGATGCAACGCCTTCGGCATGCACGAGGAGCCCAGAGGTGGTGAGCCCCAGTGCGATGCACAGCGTCCACAAAAACGGAAGCAGGCTGCTCCTCATCGCGGCGACCTAGCTGTAGCTGAAGGTGTCAACCGCCAAGACAGTGTAGGAGATGTATCTTGGAGCGAGCGAGAGATAAAGAAGAGTGTGGCGTCGTTGACCAGACGAACGGCCGAGGTATATGTGTGTTTAGCGTGGCGAAGCGCTGAGCCGGATGGGTGAGGTGGAAGTGTGAGGACAGGGGTGGCAGCTGCGTTGGATTTAAGGTGGTGGAGCATCGAAGCTTCCAGCTCATGCAGCCGAGCCCCGCCACGCCCACGCATCCGCCGCCGCCGCTCGTCTGCGTGAAATTCAAGTCTCCGCTGCTTGAGCGCTCAGGTCGCCGCAAATGGGCTGCTGCTGCCAACGTGGAAGCCCACCAAGGCTGCATGCGGGGGTGCACGCCATCTCGCACGGAAAAGCTGCCCATTTTTGGTGTTTGTTTCAAACAACGGCGTAACACTTTTGTACCGCCCGCACACAGTTTGACAATACCCTGAGGCCACATCGTCCAAGCAGGTCGACTTCCGATCCATGACCGTTGCACTGGGATTGCGAGAACGACTAGCGAGAGATACAAAGCGAGGGCAGCTATATCAGCAAGCCCCAGCGCGCCAGCGCGGCGACCATGATGGCGAGGCCAAAGAGCAGCGAAGCGTACGTGGTGGTTGCGAATCCAAGGAATGGCAGCGATGTGGCCCAGAGCGACGAAACGATGGTGTGCAGCACAAAGAGAACGAAGAATGTGAGTCCAAACCCGTCAAAAGGCGGAAGCAGCTGAAAGTGCGGCGAGAGGTCGAAGCGGTCGTGCGAGAGGTGGCCGAGCGTTCCTTGTGCATGCGTAAACGACGACGAGAGGAGCAGGCTGCTTCCGATGCTCCACAGCATGGCGTCGATACGCCACAGCGCACACAGCGCGACGGGAATCTCTGGCAGAGGCACGCCCAGCACCGCTTCCACCTCGGAGCGCTCCTTGGCCACAAGGAAGCGCTCCACCTCCTCTTCGAGCTCCTGGTCCAGCAGCGAAATCGTTTCGGAGGAGAAGCTCGATGCGCTTGCCTGCGAGTCGGTCTCGTCGCCCGTAGCGATGGCCTCTTCGTCTGCCTGCTCGACAGCCTCGTCTAGTGTACCCATGGCTCCGTACGAGTTTGTCGTACTTGCATCGCCCGCAGGCTGTACCAAGCGCTGTCGTGCCTGTTCGAGCGCTCTAGATGCAGACATGCGTCTCGCCTTGCCATTCCCGCGCCCGCTCGTTGTATTTGGCTCCGGAGCCGATTCAGGGCCCCGTCCCGAGAGCATGCTGAACCCCGACTGCCCCACCGCGGTCCGATCCGGTCGCAGCACATCCGAGTCTGGCCATTGCATCTCTGCGGCAGGATCGATGTCAGCGGGCTTGTACAGCGCCACCTGGTGCAGGATCTGGAACGCGCCAAAGCTCGCCTCGGCCAGGGCCCAAGCGATGGACGACCATGCGGCAACAAAGAAGCGCGGGTCGCGGAAGCTTAGCCGCCACGCCCAGTCGGGCCCGGTGATGGATGCTGCCGTGTCGATGAGACCGGCCGTGGATGCACGATGCGCGTACTTCTCCTGGATCGGATACAGGTATAACGCGGTGACGAGGATGCAGCATGCCCAGTAGAACGAGAGTACGCGCAGCGACTCGCCGATCAACGCCTGCATCGCGATTGCCACGGTCACAATCACGCTCTCTCGTCCCGTACCGTTCTCAGTCGTGGGCAGCTGAAAGCGCGGCGAGCGGGACAGCAGACGCGATGGCGAAAAGAGACGGGGTATAATGCGGTCCGCAAATGCAAGGCACGCCTTTCGGCTGGTGTATGACGCGAGCCAGCCCACCACACCGAGAGCGAGCGTCGACAGCAACAGCTGCGCATCGAGAATCTTGCGGCACCGACCTCTTTCGTATCCCGACTGGAACGCCGAGTCTGGTGAAGCAAAAGCATGCGGCGCGTCTCGAGGCGAGTCCTGCAGATGGCAAAACTCGCGCACCTTGAGAGAGCCGAGAAGAGCTGCGACCAGGATGGCGAAGGTAGGCACGAGCGCAAGCACGTGCAAAAAGAAGAATCTGCGGTACGAGGAGCGAAGCTGGCGCAGGTTCGGTGGTGTGTGTCCGCAGCCTATCGATACGGAAGACGACGAGAAGTCGGAAGCGTCGCCGGTGTTGCCAGTGATGCCGCGCTGGGCGCCTTTGCGGAGAGGCGCCGCCATGCCAAAGATCCTCGCGGCGCCGCGGCGCAAGATGCGTTTGTGGTGCGGGCGCTGATTCCAGCTGCTGGCCGCTGTGATGATGGTGGATGTGTTGGAGACGAGACGATGCAGAGCAGGCGATGCATGCGGTTGGTTCAGCCGAGGTGTTGGGAGTGTGACTGCGCGGGTCGGCGCATGTGTGAAAATGTGGATCGGGCGATAGCATCGGGTCGAGTGTGGAGGCATCCCGAAGATTTGGCTGCAGCCGCCCAGGAATTTTGAAGAGGAGGACCCTTTTTTGGCACTCTTGTCGGAAGAGCCGCGCCCGCCATCCTTCTTTCCCTCGAGTTCCAGTCAGCAGAGCACCATGCCCAAGAAGAAAGGCAACCTCAAAGCCGCCCTCAACGGCCACTTTGCGCAGCAGGAGCAAAAGGCCCGCGAACGAGCCGCCCAGGAAGCTGCGCGGCGCAAGGCTCTCTCCGTCACCCGCTCAGGCGACTCGCGCTCCAAGAACGCCAAACGCAAGCACGCCAGCATCGAGCACGATTCGGGCATCACTGATGCGCTAGGGCAAGCATCGTCCTCGGCTGAAAGGAGCGCCGATGCTCCCGGCAAGAAACGCAAACGGCTGCCGCAGCCGTTCGCGCGCGACGATACAATCCTGATCGTGGGCGAGGCGAATTTCTCGTTTGCCCTCTCGTTGCTTCTGCCTCCTCGCTCGCATCCTCCATCCCAGATTTTGGCGACGGCATACGATTCCGAGGAGGAGTGCTACTCCAAGTATCCAGATGCACGTGACATTGTGGCGCAGATTCGCCGCTTGGCGGGGCGAGACGATATCGTTCTGTTCGGCGTGGACGCGGGTCAGCTCGACAAGTGCAAGCACGTCACGGGCGCTGCCAAGGCCAGAGCCAAGGTCGATTCGAACCTCATCCATGGCGCTGATGGCGGGTCGTATTCGACCTCTGCGAGCGCAGGCAAAGCGCAACGAAGGTGGAGTAAGGTCTGGTTCGGCTTCCCGCATGTGGGTGCGGGCCACAAGGACGAGACGCGCAATGTGCTTGCCAACCAGCTGCTGCTGCTGCGATTCCTCGTGTCTGTAGCACCGTACCTCACCTCGGGCTCGCTTCCAACATATGCTCCTGGGAGCAGCACTGGGCCCAAGAGACGCAGTGGGTCCGATGACGAGGACGAACCAGAAGACGAGGATGTTGATGACGATGCGGTTGATCTCGACGGCACGAATCTCTCTACTGCCACCACGGACGCAGATCAGGCCGTAGTCGACGAGACTCGTGCGCGCATCTCGGCGCTGCAACCGCTGCAGCCACCATCACGCCAGGGCTCCGTACTAATAACATTGCGCAATGCCGCACCGTACACGCTGTGGGACGTGGCGAACCTCGCCAAGCGTCTGCCGCAGATGTTGCCCGTGATTGCCGCCACGGCACCGGCGCTGCCCAAGGGCGTCAAGAAGCCTTCGCTCAAAGACCTCACCGCCAGCGGCCTCTCGGTACACAGTCCCAACAACCTGCACTCGAAAGCGGCCGATGCCAAGAACACCTCGCACGCCCGCGAACGAAAGTACCGCAGCTATCACCTGTGGCGCAGCTTCGAATTCGATCCCACCGAATGGCGCGGCTACCAGCACAGGAGGACCATCGGTTGGATCCAGGGCGTCAGCACGGGCGGCAACGACGATCTGCTTCGCTCGCGCTCAGCCCATCGCGCAGAAGACGGCAATGTCAGAGCAAGCAAGGCAGGCGCAGGTGAGTGCCGCACGTGGGAATTCGGCCTCTCGTAGTCGCATGTCAAAGCCATCTACAAAGCAATACGACATTCCATTCCGCGACCACTACAATCTAGTCAAAGCCAAATCGGTCTGGCACTGTCGCGGTGAACAGAAGGTGTGGTTGCATGTCAGCGTTCTCAATCTTTGAAGGGGTCGCGCAGATTTGGAAGATGGGGTGGAACTTACGAATCACGGGCGCCACGAGGCTCCAGGTGTAGATGGCGATGCAGAGCCAGCTGCTGACGACGCGCATCCACATGGCAGTGGTGCTGCGGCCGATGTATGCGATAGGTGCGCCGTCTTCGCTCGGATCGGGCGACGGCCCACCGAGGCGCACAAACCGCCAGTCGGTCAGCAGCATGGCGGTATAGCACGCCGCGATCGCAAACACAAAGTGGAAGAAGCTGTAGTTGTAGCGTGTTCCCTGGCGTTCGTCGTCGCTCTCATCAGCCGCACCCAGCTCGGAGCGCGTCTCGATCTCGTCGTCCTCCTCCTCTTCGTCCAACGCCGACGCCGGGATCGCACCCGCCTCGACCGCCGCCATCAAAGCCTGGATGCGCAACGAGTCCTTCTTCGTAGGCTGGTCCGAAACCACGCCTGTCGACGAGTAGTCGAGCGAGTCGCGCGTTGCCAACGGCCCGTAGCCCGATGGTGGCCGGCTCTCGTTGAGTGCGGCGCGGCGCTTGCCCACGAGCGTCGTGGATTGCGTCGCCGCGCGCGACGTCGAGTATGCAATCGCAAGGAAGGTGAATACAGCACCGATGACCACCGTGGTGGTCTTGGCGCTGCCGCCGCGCCCGCGCGTGATGGGGTTGCACTCGGCATTGTCGCGGTTCATCACCGCCGACGCGATGAGGTACGTGCAGTAGGCAGCCACCATGCTGCTCTGCGCCAGCCCGCTCCTCGGATTCGCCTCCTGCACCTTGGGGCTGATCGAGAGCAGCGTGAGCACGACGATGAGTCCGAGGTTGAGGCTGATGAAGAACTGGTTGAGCGAGCACCCGCTCGACGCAAAGAAGCCGTACAGCACGCCCGTCAGCGCGATCGTCGCCGCATACATGCCAAGCGTACTGCCGATGAGCGTAAACTTCCAAAAGTCCGACTCGGTCTGTTCCCAGCGGTCGAGGCACGTCTCGGACCACGAGTGCGCAAAGTCGACCAGCAGCACCAGTCCCACCACGATGAACACCGACGCCAGGATGAGCGAAAAGTAGTTGGCCCAGAATACGAAGAAGCCGTTGGGGATGAAGAACATTAGCAGCGTGAGCAGCAGCCACAGCAGCACCTTGGGTCCCCACCAGCCATTCTGGATGGCGGCGCGCTTGGTGCGTGTGTCCTTGACGCCGATAAGGAGCATGCCGAGGATGAAGTGGAAGAGCGAGAGCGCAAACGTGATGCGATGCACGGCAAGTACGCCGTAGCAGCGATCCTTGTCCTTGCAATCCATCTTGATGTAATTGTACGACCACTCTTCGATCTTGTGCATCATGAAACCCGTAAGGCTGAGCCAGGCGAGTAGCGCGTCCAGGCAAAAGATGATGGCGAATCCCACGCGCGTGGCGATCGACGACTGGCAGTTGCACGACTTGAAGAATGCGGATGCGGCAGTGCTGGTGCAGAAGAATGCGAGGCCCGCGACGCACGAGCTGGCGATGGATGCCAGGCCGCCGCCGAGGAAGGGCAGCGAAAGTGCCACACCCATTGCGACGTGGATTGGCTCAGTGGCGCGCGAACGAAGGGCACGTTTGTCGAGGAGGCAGGCTCCTGTGGTGATGAGAGTGACGCTACCGTCGATGTAGCGAATCGGCGGCTATGGTGAAAGGGTCGTGGCTGGCTGGATCGAAGCCGACGGGGATGAGATGGAGGAAGGTGAGATGGATGTGGGACTATGTGGAGAACCACAAGCGAAATGCGCGCCCGTGCTGCTGCTTCAGGGTCGCCGCGCGCAATCTCGGATCGAAATCCGGCGGTCGCAAGATTGCTCAGCCAGGGGCGCGTGCCTACTCGCTCCTGACACAATTCTGGCACGACACGACCACGGCTCATGTGCAAGGCTTTAAAGGAAGGTTGGATGCTGGGATGCAAGTACAAGGGAGTGATTGGGATGGAAACCGGTCTAGTCAACGCGAATTGCCGAATAGATCCTGCGCAGCGCGGCGTAGGTGGCGAGGAAGCCGATGGCGCCAAACAGCGTGAAGAAGAGGAGCGAGAGGATGGAGAGGTATCCGAGGAAGAGCACCTTGTTGGCGAGTCCTGGCAGCTCGAGTCTGGTCGCCCAGAAGAAGAGGCCGTAGACAAAGAACCAGATGGCGCCCGAGCCGCCGGTGACAAACGCCCTCCAGTGCCAGCGGTAGTCTTCGCTGCAGAGGTGGAAGTAGGTGAAGAGGATGGTGACGGTGGCCGAGGTGACGGCGGTGATGATGAACGCGAGCGCGAGGAAGCCAAAGGCATAGTAGATCTTGGTGCCGAACATCGAGTTAAGGATGAAGAGGATCTCGAGGAACGCCGAGGCAAAGATCAAGATGCCGGCGATCAGGGCGGATGGCAGCGGGCGCAGATACCACGTGTGCTGGTAGGGGATCTGACGCGGGATCGAGTTGGGCTTGACCGGATGGGTGAATCCGCCGGATCGGATGCCGAGCATCGCGCCGACGGCGGTGAGTGGCACGTTGATGAGGAACCAGAGCGCGACGAGCGCCAGCAGCGTGCCAAAGGGCACGGCTCCCGACGAGCCGCTGAAGATCAGGAAGAAGTTGAGCAGCAGCACGAGCGAGAAGACGAGGCTGGGGAAGAGCATGGCGGTGAGCACGATGTTCTGCTTCCAGTACTCGCCGCCCAAGCTGGCATACACCTTGCTCGAGACAAAGCCGGCGATGCTGCCAAAGAGCGTCCAGGTGACGATCATGACGGTCGCAAGCGAGCCGCGGTTGGACGGGCTCAAGAAGCCGAGGAGCGCAAACACGAGCGTGACGGCGGCCATGGCCACGAGCTGGGATCCGGATCCGATAAAGATGGAGAGAAGCATGGGCCTGCCAGGCGGACGGAAAACCTCGCCGTGGACGAGCTTCCAGCCAAAGTCCTCCTGGACGTCTTCGTTCATGTCGATGGCGTTGTAGCGGTGAATGTCGCGGCTGATGGAGCGCGCGACGACGATGGCGACCATCATGCACAGGAAGCTGACGATGACGATCGAGTTGATGAGCGCAAGCCAGTGGATCCTGGGGTCAAACACCTTGAGGTAGGCGTCCCAGCGCGTTGCCCAAGGTGTGGAAGACTCCCTCCATCGGATGCTGTAGGTGTAAGCGACGCCGGTCGAGGTTGCGTCGCTGAGCTGAAGAGGGTTGGCTGCCTTGCAGTCTGCCGGCTGGCCCGCGGCGACACCGGCGAGCGAGTCCTTGGAGAGCGGATAGATGCGTGCGCCGACGACGCGGTACTCATCCGGACCGCGCTTGTGGTAGTCGATGTAGATGTCGTAGTGGTTGTGCAGCGCTGGTGGGTCGTATGGCTGGAAGTGCTCATCCTGCAGGCTGCCGAGCGCAAATCCAAGCGAGAGGAACTCCTCGTGGGTCTTGATCTCTCTGCGCGACTCTGCGACGGGCAGACCGTCGACCATCCAGTTGACGGCATATTCCTCGCGTATCCTGTCGTTGATGAAGGCGGCGTTCTCAGGGGTGATGGTGATGCGGCACATTTGCTTGCATACCTCGTCCTTGAGCATGACGCCTTGGACTGGGCTGCTGTAGATGCGGTCGCCGAAGAGCACGCTTCCGAGGTTCTCGCTCTGCGCCTCGGGCCCTCCGTCAGGTGTGCAGAATTGGAAGCGCGGATCGTAGTAGTCGTACTTGAGCACACCCTTGATCTGCGAGGTGAAGGCTTTGGCCTGCAGAGCGTTCACCGAGAACGGCACCTGGTCGCCCTGCTTGTAGGAGTGCGGTGCGCTGCCCGGCAGATACCACGCCGCTGCCTGCAATGGCAGAGCCAGCGCTACAGCGAGCGCCGAAAGCGCTGTTGTGCCTCGCATCTTGTGAGCGTGATCAAAGGGACGGACGTGCCGAAGCCGCTCGAAAGCCCGGAGCCGATGCGATGATAGTCGTGGGAACCCCTGCTACGGCCTCGTCCCGACGTGAGCTTATCGATTCGACTGCTGCGCTGGATGAAGTGGCTGAAGGCGGGTGCCACTGCGTCGGTGGGGGTGTGTGGCGCAGAGGGAGGTTCGCTGTCGGTGATGGATTGAGAAGAAATGAATCTCGCCGACCGGCTCAAAGTCAAAGTGCAACACCTGGCTCGGAGCTGCAATCGGGACGCGTGCCCAGTCGGATCGCCCGACGGCTCCACCTTTGGCTCGCGCTCGGACCCTGTCCCGCTTCATCCAGCACCGTCCATCCTCACCTCATCCCGGCGCATTTCGAACATACAACCGCTCTGCGAGCGCAGCGACTTCGAGGAAACCGCTCAAGGAATTCTTTTGGCGCCGCGCCGCAGCCCGGTGACTCAACATGGCCAAGGTGAGTGTCAGGCTGCGTGTCGACACGGGTATCAGAAAGTGGCTCTGACTCTTATGTTCTTTCGCTTTGCTAGGTATACTCTTTCTGGGTGTTTGATCGGCACTGCAATGCGGTCTACCATCAGGACTGGTCGCATCTTCATGCTGCAGTGTCGGTGAGGCCCGGTGGACCAACCAGCCCGACGCCGTCGCAATCATCGGGCTTTGCCTCGCTCGGCGCCTCGATCCAGCGCGCCACCGCGAGCGCACCGAGCGTAGCGGCCAACGACGTGCCCCTGGCTCCGCAGCGACCGGGTGCACCGTCGCTGCCGGGCGTCACACGAACCACAACCTCCACGGACACTGCTGCGTCCACATCCGCCACTACGACTGCGGGGCCATCAGCGCCCCGAGCTGCTGCGGAGCACCGAAGCACGGCCACCGCGGCGATCGACCCGGCGGCAACCGAGCTGCTTCCGTTCGACGAGCAGGCCAAGCTGGTGTACGGCGTGGTGTTCTCACTGCGCAACATGGTGCGCAAGCTCGGCGGCGAGGCCGAGACGTTCAACAGCTTCACCACCTCGACTTACACGCTGGCGCATCTGCACACGCCCACCATGTACACGCTTGTCATCGTCACCGACCCCGTGCCGCCGCCCTCGTCGATACCGAGCCGCACGAGCGAAGGATTCGCGATCGGCAGTGCCTCCGCCGCCCTGTCTGGGCGCTCGTCGTTCGGCACGGGCGGAGGCATCCCCGGCACGGGCGGCATGAGTCTCAAGGGCGTGCTGCTGCAGATCTACCGCGGACCGTGGGTGGATGCCGTGGTGAGGAATCCGCTGCTGCGCGCACTCGAGCGCGAAGAACGCATCGTCGAGCCAGAGTCCGATGCCCACAACCCCACCGAAGCAGGCGTTACCGTCGTCAGCGAACGAAGGCTTGATCGCACACACGGTATCGACACAGACGCCTTCCGTGAAGGCCTCGAGAAAGGTACGTCCCCCACGTCTCGCACACTCATGCTGCTTCGCTCAAAACTGACACATCTTGCCCATTTGATGAAATGACCGCAGTACTGGTGCAGAACAAGCTCTCGGCGCCGGCGTCGTAATCCACTGTCGCACACGAGGTAGATTGAAATCACATGGTTCTCCTTGGGATAGATTCAAAGCACACTGTATGGTGCGCGCTGATTGAGCACGCTAAACTGACGGATGAATGGCACTCATGCGCGCTTGGCACGCTGCAGACGGAGGGGCTCGCCCTGTTCGGTGAGCAGCGACTCGGCGCCGAGGCCGCGCTCGAGCACGCGCGGTCCGTCGCCCACCTGGGTGTGAATCAGACGGCGCACGGCACCCGCCTCGTGCACGGGGATCACGTTGCTGTTGAACGCCGCAGGCAGCGATTGCGGCAGCGCCACTGCATCCTGTGCACCGCGGTGCGACGCATTAGCACCCTTACCAAGCAGATCGAACTATTACACAGACGCCCAGGAAGAAAACAAGTCAGTCTCGATGGCCATTTTATCCGCAGAGGCGATCGAGTCTATACGTACGGTGTCGTCAAAGTCGGCGTTGGGGAAGTAGTGTCGGATGGTCTGGAGGATGGTAGGCATGTTGGCCTTGGGCGCGTACAGCACGGCGTTCGGGCCGGCGTCGTAGGTGTATGCCGCGAGCTTGCCCTTGTCCTCGGCCTCGCTGGCGCGGTTGAGCTCCTCGGTGAGCTGCACGATGGCGCGGCTGACGTCGTTCATGTAAAAGATAGGCGGGGCGGTGTCGAGGCAGCATGCGTGGAAGTTGTTCGAGTCGGCCATGGTGATGTTGGCAAACGTGTCAAAGTCCTTGTTCTGGATGGCGGCCGAGATATCCTTCATGCGCTGCGGCACGACGTCCTTGATGCGGTGCTGGAGCAGAGGCGAGGTCTGCACGGTGCGCTGCATACCCGCCGTCGAGGGCGTGCCCTTCTTGGCGTCGCTGACGACGCAGATGAGCGCCTGCAGGTCGGGCCAGTGCGACTGCGGTGCGACTTCGACAGCCAGACTGTCCTGACCCGAGGCCTGCTCACCGCCCTGCCATGCGACGTAGCCGCCGAAGAGCGAACGGCAAGCCGAGCCACTGCCCTGACGAGCGATGCGCGAGAGCTCCGACGTGGACACCTCGGGCTGCAGCTCGTACAGCGCCGCGAGCGAGGCGATGAGCGCCGCAAATCCGGACGCCGACGAAGCAAGGCCTGCCGCCGTGGGGAAGTTGTTCTCGGAGCACACGCGCACCGCCCATTCGGAGAGCTTGGGCAGGCTCGCATCGTTGGCCTCCTTGGCCTGACGCAGCTTCTTCATCTCGTCGATGCATCGGCGCAGACGGCCGTCGGCCTTGATGACCTCCTCCTCACCGTTGAGCCAGAGGCGGTCCTGGCCGCCGAAGCTGGCATCGGCGCGCGCGGTGGTGACGGAGCGCAGGTGGTCCTGGTCGAGCGTCACCGAGAGACTGTCGTTGGTGGGCAGAATGAGCGAGGTGTCGCGCTTACCCCAGTACTTGATGACGGCGATGTTGACGGGTGCCGAGCACGTCGCCTGGTAAATGGTCGAGCTCATGATGCTGATGGGTGGGTGGTCGATGGTGTCGGTCAAGAGCAAAGAACGGCGAGGAGAAGCGTGCCGATGCCAACGCGCCTTGACTTCTGCAGCGCCCGTTCTCGTATGATCTGCAGCGCAGCCCTGCGTGCGTTGGAATTCCTCCCTCCGCCGTAGAAGCGCGTGTGCGTCGCTGCGTCGCTGCGTGTTGGACTTTTTCTCGCCTCGCCAGGTCTGCAGTTTTGGATTTCTTCTCGAGCTCGGATCCTCTCGATTTCTTCCCACCCACTGTACGCGTTGGCGCCCTCAGTCTGCCGAACCCCTCTGGCTGGCGTGCGCAAGCTACATCCTCACTGCTCTGAGCTATTCTCAGCGCAAGCGTTTCACAATACAGACACTTGCAAGCCACGACAACAGGCACAACTGGATGTAGATGATGCAATGGTACGGTGCCATGAGACAGATGCAATGGAACAAGGATGGTTGGTATCGATACAGCGCCGCGTGCAAGCCCGAATCCTCAGGCGAACACCTTGTTGCGACTGAGAGCGTCCTCCTGCGGCTTGAGGCGGTCCTTCTTGGTGCGGAACGACTCCTGCTGGTTGACACGGTCGGTGTACCTGTTGCCCTTCTGCTTGCGCACCATGTGGCGGATGGCGTTGGGCGAAATGTACTCTGGGTTCTCGAACACGGTGGCGCCGCCGAAGCTGCCCTCGAACACGCGGATGGGCGAGAGCACCATGCGAGGACCGATCTCGACCAGCTTGGGCTGCTTGTTGGTCTCCTTCTTGCTGCCACCCTTCTTGCCGTCGCCCTTCTGTGCCTCTTCGACCTGGGCGATCGCGGTGGCGCCTGGATCCGACTCGACAATCTGGTAGTTGCGGAACCACACCTTGTTGTCGAGGATCGAGAAGGAGATGACGTGGTCGACAAACGGCTTGGACTTGCGCGCGCCGCGGGGCACGCCAAACATCTGCGTGAACATCTCCTTGATGAGCGTCCAGTGCGGCTTCTCGTCGAACTCCTTGTCGAAACTGAGAATAGGGCGCGATCCCTTGAGGCAGTTGCCGGTCATCTTGAGCTCGTCCATGGTGTGAATGTTCTGCACCTGGAACTTGGCCGACGGTCCGTTGGGCGTCTTGGATGCCCACATGTACAGGTCCTCGCGCTTCCGTGCCTCAAAGTAGAGCGCGTTGTTGCAGTTGTTAAGCTCGGCGAGCTCGTTGAGCATGTGCAGCTGCGACTTGGAGTCGAACTTGCTGTCCTTCTTGGTATGTGGCATGAGCGACTCGAGGTCGTTGATGAGGTGGCGCATGCGCGACGTGACGCCTCTCGAGGGCAACATGAGCACCCGCTGCTTGTTCCTGCGGATGGGCGCCGCCGTTGCGCCGTCGTCGTCGTGGCCATCGGCCTTGCGCTTGCCCTTGGCCGCCTTCGAGGCTTGCTGGTATACGGACGCCATGGTTGCTCTGATCGAATGCGCAGATGCTGTCGTTCGTAGCAAAGCTGGTGGCTGCAACAGGTGGTGATGCGAAGGGTCGCAGGGTAGGAACGTGGAGAAGCAGAAATGTGGAGCTTTGCTCGAGCCGCAAGAAGAAAGAAAAATCCTCGACGGCTGGGCCCTGGACGAAAATTTGTGGTCACGTGTTTTACCGCAGATGTCAGCTCCACGACTCTTACATTCTCCTTTTTTTGTGGGGGAGCTCGTCTTAAATCTTGCGGTCTAACAGCGCTGGGCACGCTTCCGGCTTCGATTGTGCAAAGACGACCTCGTCGAAGCTCGGTTGAGCCGAGGCGCCAATCGGATTGTGCGCTTGGTTGTCGGTCGAGGCTAGGCGAGTCGCTCAGAAGGTGTCAATGCTTGCGCCACCGCTTAGGGATCTTTGTTGCCTTGCAGATTCGATCGCATAACGGCATGTGGCGCCGACACGGCTGCATACACAGTCGTTCTGGCCGGGGACGTCGTGTCGATCCCAACGGAAGCGATAACCGGCTGTAATTTATCTGTTGCATGCGCCGCTTGCCCATCGTCGCGGAAGCTTCATCTTCGGCTCACTCTGCAGTCAGGCAGACAGCATCGAAACTAGTCGGTCTGGTCGGTCTGCTCGGCCGTGCTAGCTGATCGCTCTTGCCTTCCATGAGGATGAGGCGCCGGTTGGGCCGCGCGAATCGCACGGCGGAAGCTCGGGGCAGAGAGGGGCTGGATGAATGGACGTGGGGAGGCTGTCGCTCGGTGCCGGCCGCCATGCATGCACGGGCAAAGAAGAGGCGAGGCGAGGCGAGGACGAAGCGAGCCGTGTCAGCCACCGACGAGCGCGTGGGCGGATGAACATTTCGGCTGCAATTTCGAATTGATCCAAATCCTAACTCCAAGGCTTCCACACCGGCATGCCGGCAAAAAGATTTAAAAAAAAAATCAAAGGAAAGGAAAGGAAAGGAAAAAGAAAAAGAAAAAGCGAGGGCGGAGTCGAATACAGTAATCCAGGCACGGGTCAACAAAAGGCACGTCAGCTTTTCAACGCGCGCCCACGTCGAGATTCACGTCGAGATTCCAGGCTCTGGAATTCGAGAGCGGCTTTAGTCACAGTCGAGGTGGCATGCGTTGGCTGTCGCTGCGTGGCTGCGTCGCTCCATGGAAGTTTCATGCCGCCAGCCGTCGCCGGCTCTTCGGTCGTCACGAGGGAGAGTCGACAGCAAGCCATCCTGAGTTTGGTGCCTAGCTAGCTGAGATTGATTTGCCTCCTCGCCTTTTGCCGCTAGCCGAGGTTCGAGAAATCTCATCGTCTGCGACTATTGTCTGTACGGTATCCCTCCGATCCTGCGCGTCGACGGGAGGCGCGATCCGCGGACCTTACCGTTCGAGCTTCGAGTCGACTGCTGGGTTCGAATTCGGACGCATGCGATCATGCCTCCCGGCGCCGCAGAGGCTCCGACGATTTTCGCATGGTGGGATGCACCGCGTCTGGGCTGCACACAACCTTGCCGGGATCCTTGCCGGTATGATTGCCAGAATGAAGCAGGCAGTGATGAAATGACAAGCGAAATCGATTCGGCCAGGGGCAGAGCGGGAGAGTGGACGATGAACCGCGGTTCTACAACGCTGCCAGTGAGTCTCGCTACTGCGCGTCGCTGTACGACCTCATAGCCGCCCTGCAAAGCCTAACGGAGTCCGGCATGGTTCGGGAGGCGCTTACGGCGAGCCTAGCAGACGGGCCGAGGCGGCGAGGATTGTACGCCGCGTTCCATAAGCTCACGGCAAAGACGCAACGCTGATGCCAGCTGATGACGAAACTCTGCGACGTAAGATAGGCAGGCTTCGGTCCATGTAGGTCGCTGGTCCACCGAGGCTCCCGAGACCAAGATGCTGTAGTTGACGGAGATGGTGCACGGGATTGCACACCCGAGACGAGATCCAGAGAAGAGAAAAAGAAATGAGAAAGAAAAAGAAAAAGAAATAGCCGGAAAAATGCCAAAAAGTAGCCGACAGAGAGAAAGGACAAACAGGTGACGAGGCCGATCGGAAGATGGCCGCCGACGCGTGCGGTGCCCTAAAGCGGGCGGGGCAGGACGATTATTGGACAGGCGTCGGAGGCTGAAAGTGAGAGGGGGTGGGTGTTGTCCGCGGAATGCGTGGCAAGGCTCGAGGCCCAGTGCCGGCGAGGTGGCGTTGGCAGCGCCTCGGACGGAAAGAGGCGAGCGTCGGGGCTTGAAAGCCACGCGCATCCTCTCGGAACTCGGACAGACCCATGGCGTCTTGGCGCGACCGCATGGTTTTCGGAAGCGCTCCTGGTTCAGGCAACATGCATGGATGCATGCATGCACTGAATGCATGCAACGCATCCACCCGGCCAGCGCCAGCCCTGGCACTTGCAAAACCGGGCGCGCACGCCGCGCTCCCGTTTTCATAGCCGGCCAACTCGCTCCACCATGCCCTCCCCTCCGCCTCTCATGCTCGTCTCCCGAGACGCAACGCAATGGTGAGACAGGTGTGCGTGTGTGTGTGCGCGCGCGCGTGGGCAGCTTCTGATGAATCCATGCCAGGATATCGTGCTGGCTCGTTCGTCATCGTGGCGACGATCTGGCACCGGTCCATTCGCCGCAATCCGGGTGTCGTCGACGGTTGTTGTACGAGGCGAGACAGCGGACAACGGCACGGGCACGGACGCAAAGATTGGCAACCGCTGTTCCCGACGACGAGTCGAGCTCATCTCGTTCATGCTCGCCCCGCAGAATCCGGCAGAGCCGACAGATCCGCGCTGGATCTTTAGTCGAGCGCCTAGCCCAGCATGGAGTGTATCAGTGCCACAGTGCCGACGGGTCATCGACTTGGCAGGCTGTACTTTTGGTGCAAGCTGCAAGGCACGTCGAGCTGGATCGGAAACGAGCATGAATCGGAGATCCAGCGAGGTGTCGGACCAGCCGGGAGGCAAGCCAAGGCATCCAATCGAACTACCAAATGAAAAACCGGCGCAACCGGCGTGAGGGGAGGCTCTGGCGTGCGAGCTTGGCATGGCGTCCATGCATGCCGGCAATATCTGCGCGTGTGTCACGCCACAGAGTGGCACGCAAGTTGGCTCGTTGGCACAGCCTAAGCGAGCCACGATTGGGTCGTCGAATAACAAATTAGGCACGCCAGCCGCCGATGCCTAGCTCGGATAAGTGGACCATAGCGGTGGAATCGATGCGCACTTGGGCTCGAAGCCAGGCTGGGAAAACCGAGCACATGGCACGAGGCGGGCGCATTTTCGACGGTGAGACAGCTCATGCGCAGGCTGGTGTTGTGTCATCTGCAGGGTACAGTCAAATACGATGACCACGCGGTGCGGAGAGAGCGCCAGGGCGAGGAGCGCGATTCTGACGTGGCATGGTCGGGCATGGCCGGGCATGGCCGGGCAGGGCTCGGAGGAATGCATGCGTGTGCGATGCTGGCGAGACGCAGGAGCGACCACGAGCGTTGGAAGGGCCGCGGCGGCGTTGGAGCGACGGCATTTGGATTTCGTTGCTGCATGGAGCGTTGCTCGGTCCGAATGCGAACTCTCGCTTGTGGTAGGGCGCAGCCGAACTCCGAAGCGTGGTTCCAGATGCGTTGCTCGCCCTGGCTCGCCCTGGCTCAGGAGGTGGTACAAGTTCCACACAGCATGCGTCCCGTGTTGGGCCGTGTCGGCAGGGAGGTTGGACAAGCGCGGGTCTGGATCGCATACGGCGCGGGCCTGGCGGAAGATGGAGGGCGAAGCCAATTCGGTGCGTTCCGTGTTTTGCACTGGTACGCACGCTTGCAGCCCGAAGCGCGAGTTTCGATGGCTCCTACCCGAGCGGTGATGCGATCAGGTTGTTGGGTCGGAGACCAAGTGGTGGAAGCCACATTGTGTGTTGCTGATACCGCTCCGGCCCGCGAGGCGTTGCTCTGCGCATGGAAGAGGCACAAGACACCATCGCCTCCCGTCACGGGTCGGGTTCGATGGTGTGGAGCGCAGCGGTTTCTTTTGATGTCGATTCATGCGTGGAAAGCGCGCGTGGGTGCGGATGCATCGATAGAGCTTCTCGCCCGCGTCTCGCCAAGCCATTGTTGGCTCTGCGAGTCGAAGCGTGGAGAGAAAACGGGACGGATGCCGCCAAGATTCAGGGGGCTCGGCGTGAGCGTGGGGKGTCCAGTTCCCCCCCCCCCCCCCTTCTTTCCCTCCCTGGACGTCGTGGCGGCGTTGTCTATCGATTGGCATCGAGACGCATGCTACGCTCTCAAGCGACGATGGAGTGCGGAGAAGAGCGAGGGAGCGAGTGGGCGAGAAAGAAAGAGAAAGAAATCAAATCAAATCAATAAATCAATAAAAAAAAAGAAGCTTTGAAGGAAGGAGACGAGGATGCCGGATTTGAGAAAAGGAAAGGGGGAAAAATGGGTTTCATCCTCGCCTCCTTGCGCAGCTAGCTGTCTCGGGATCTGCCCGATGTCATCAGCGAGCTCGGCTGGCTCCGCGGAGTAAGGGCTGTCAGCCTCGGCAGGAGGGGCGAGTCGAGAGTCCGCTCGAGCTTTGCGGCTCGCTTAGCGCGAAGGGTCGTTTCTGCAGATGTCGGGCGGACTTGGGAGAGGAGGAGGGAGGGGAGGATGGATTGGGGGATGCAGTTGGCTGATCGGAGCACGGGTGCAGCGGGCAGCGGAGAGAGCGGAGAAGGGACCAGCGCAAGCGAACAGAGGTAGTGGAGCCCTGGCTATTTTTGCATCTCGTCTCGTGGCGACGTGCATGAATCGGTTGTTTGCGTCCCACTCGCCTGTTTCTTGTAGGCGCAAGCTGAGCATTAGCTCAGCTGTGGTCCGGTGCAGAGCAGGCGGTGTCGACTCGGTGACAACAATGCGTGTTGAGTTAGTGTCCTGTGCCGTTCAGGCAGCTACAATATGCTCACCGATAGAGTAAGATTAGACGGAGCGGTTGCAGTTGTGAAGCACGGATGGGGGCATCCGGGCTCTGGCAGCACCAGCACCAGCAGCGGCGGCGGCGGCGGCGGCGATGCAATTTGTTGTTGTTGTTGTTGTTGCGGCTGCTGCTGCGAGTCTATCCGAGACAGAGCGAGTTCCATGAATTTTTTCGTGCAGCACCCATGTGCTTGACCGGCTCGCTGCCATCCCGCCTAAGCGTCGTCGGTGGGTCTGCGCAACGGCCGAAATGCAAAGCTGGTTACTGCATCACACCGTGGCGTGCCGTGGCGCCAAGCCCATGAAAGCCAGAGACAAAGAGAAAGAAAAAGAAAGAGAAAAAGAAAAAAAAATGTCACCAATCCATTCGCTCGGCTCATCTAAATTTTCAATCAATCAATAAATAAATCAAAACTTTGTCATGAGGGTGGGCGGGCGCGTGAGTCGTGTGTGCGGCGAGGCTCGGCTAGGGCGGTGGTGCGTGGTGCCGATGCGGTTGGGGTGCAAACGAGCTTCTTCTGCTGCGACCCTTGGGCGGGTGCACCATTTTTTCCGAAACTCGCTGCCCGTAGTTGCATGCGCTCTAGGTCACTGTGACGAGCAGCAGCAGCAGCGGCAGCGAAATGCCACGAGCCGGGAAGAGCTGCAGCTCCCTGCCATGCGGGCCCCTTCCGACAGTTGGGCCGCTCCAGCTGGAATCGTTCGGCTTGTCATCTGCTGTTGCCTCGCGTTTCGCTCGGCACATCCGGATGGCCGCATCAAAAGAGCGAAATGCACGCTGTCTCGCGCCCGTCTCGCCTGCTGGCCCGCTTCGGCTGCCTGCCTCCTGTACTGTACCTGGACGGGCACCTGTACCGTAGCGTTGCTCGCTCAGCTTGTTCAGCTTGCTCAGCATGCTCAGCCCGTTCTTGGGTCTGGGTTTGGGTTTGGGTTTGGGTTTGGGGAAAAGAAAAGAAAAGGAAAAGTGCCCGGGCAGATGAGCGGTTGCGTCAGTCAGCCTTGGCTCGTCCTCGGGATCCGTAACAATAAGTTGCCGTGCTCGTCGGTCGGTGGACAACGACTCAACTCCTTTCAGCCTCTTTGCCCTCCTCCTCGTCTTGGTCCACGCCCACGCCCACATCGAAAGGCTCGGCTTGGCTTTGCCTTCAACCCAAGCCCCTCTCTCCAACTCTCTCTGGCTCGCTCACAATACGCTTGTCTCCCGACCTCGTCCCTCCTCCTTCTCCTCTCTCTCTCTCTTCTCTCTCTCCCTCTTTCCCTCCGTTCCGTCACGGCCCCTCCATCACGACGCCGCACGCTTCGCCTCTTCTCTCCACCACCATCACATTGATCACCTTCTTCTATATCACCTCATCACCTCGGTCAAGACTACTGTACTACATCCCATTCCACGCCCACCTCAACCGCGCCTCCGCCTCTGCAAAGCCGCGCTCATTCCAGCCGTCTCCACTCTCCATTGCTTCTCTCGCTCTCTTTCGGCTTTCGGTACTGGACATCGAGTCTCTTCTACCCTTCATTTCCGCTCGGTCCGTTCGTGCTTCAAACGCTTACAACCGTCGCGGCGCCACACTGCCCGCTCGGCTCAACTCGTCGCACCATCCGTGGTACCACTCGTCGCATCCACGCGCCTCAATCATCCGCGACGCCAACACGACCGAGCCGCCTCCGCGCCACCCCTTGGCGTTGCGCTACACCGTTGCAACCGAGCCCAGCTCATCTGCCCTCCCTTTCCTTCCCCCTCCTATCTCATTGTCCTGCCTTGACCCGCCGGCTACCCTCTCCGGATCCGAATCACCTGCACCACCACCACCACCACAACCACCACAACCACCTCGCAAACGCTCGGCCTTCGGCGTCGAATTAGCATTGTGCGGCCCCGCCCCGCCCCGTCCCGCCCGACACTCCACCGACGCATCGGCTTCACTAGAACGGGATAAGCTTTCGACCGCCTTCATCTCGCGCACGGCATCTGCCGGCCAACGCCCACCGCAGCCGAATCCTCTCGCCTTCCGCCCGTCCCAACCCTCTTCCGCACACGCACCTTCGTCTGCAAGCAAGCAAAACCTCGCACCCATTTTCATCCTTCCCCACCACAGGCTCCCATTGTTGTCGCTGGTGCTTCCTTCCGCGGGCCTTTTCCAAGCGTCACAGCATTCCGCCGCCAAAGCCACAAGCCTCGGGCCTCCTGCTTCTACTATCCCCTGCGCTTGGTCCACCCACAACCCGCCCTTCATGCTCAGTGTTCGTCGCTGCACCCAGTTCATCACCACTTCCTTATAGCATTCGCTACAAGTCACGATCCCCATACACCTGCTCCACTGCAGCCGAGCAGCGCCCCGCTTCCACAAGCGCTCCTAGACACCCTCCCTCGCCCCTCTCCGCGTCGGCCCTCCCATCCCGACCGCACCGTTTCGCGTGGCTGGTATGATGAGCACAGAACGTCGTGCCAGCGCACTTGCTCCCTCCCTCAACGCCGCCTCGCCAAGAGCTTCCAACGACGCCGCCGTTCCGCGCGACATGCAGCGCAACGCTCCCGACGCTTCCTCGTCCGCCAAGTCCCCCAACAGCCCCGATCGCAAGCGCCCACGATACGAGCCTGCGCTCAGCCGGCCCGCCCAAGACGACATGCGCTCGCGCACCATCGACGACGAAGACGAGATGGACGAGCTCGACGAGTCCAACGAGGTCAAGCGCGTCCGCGGCGAGTCCGACGACGCCATCCACGACCGCAAGCCATCCGGCACAGACATCGCCAGCAGGCCTTCGTCGGCAGCCGCACACCACGCTCATTGGACCAACAGATCCGCCTCGGCCGCAGTAGAATCGCGCTTCCAGTCCCAACATCAGCAGCATCCACAGCCCCGTCATCGCGACCCGCCCACCGACTCACGCCGCTACGACTACGACCGCCCCATGCCCTCCAGATACGACGGTCCGGCCGCATCCAGGGACGACGCTCGCCATGCTGGCGGACTTCCGGGCGAACGATACACCGGCGAGCACGACCGCGACCCACGCGACCGCATGCCGTTCGATGCCAAGCAAGAGCATGGCAGCGCTGCTTTGCGCATGCCGCCTCCCAACTCGGGCGAGCCCGGTATGGGCTACCGCAATCGCGCCGTCTCGCCGCCGCCGAGGCTACCAGGCTTCGCCTCGCTCGAGCCCGACATGCCCGCACACCGATCGCGCGACGAGGCGTCGCTCGCAGCGCCCTATTCGGGCTCGCCCCGCCGCAGCATGCCCTTCCATCCGCCCTCGTACGCCAGCTATCCGCCGCCGCCGCACAGCCGCACGCCGCTCATGCACCATCCAAGCCCCACTCCGTCCACATCCTACGGCAACCCACCCATGATCCACCCGTCGCTCGCCGGTCTTCCGGGCGCGGGCGGTGGTCCCGGCGGCAAGCAGCAGCCGAGCTTTGTGAGCAAGCTCTACTCGATGCTCGAGGATGCCTCCATCTCGGACCTCATCAGCTGGGGCGCCTCGGGCACCGTATTCAGCGTCGCCAATCCGGCCGAGTTCTCTAGGCTCGTGCTGCCCAACTGGTTCAAGCATTCCAACTGGCAGTCGTTTGTGCGCCAGCTCAACATGTACGGCTTCCACAAGGTCAACCACTCGTACCAGGGCAACCCCACCGACGAGGTCCAAGTGTGGGAGTTCAGGCATCCCTCCTTCCGCCGTGGCGAGATCGCGCTGCTCAACGACATCAAGCGCAAGAGCTCCAGGCAGAAGCGAGCCGGATCGCCGCGCGGCAGCATCGGCGGCGCCGATCTGCGCGCCGACCGCAGCGGCGGCAGCTCGACGCCGTCGCCCGAGGTGCCGCTGGCCACCATCCCCGGCGGACCGGATGGCATGCGCGGCATGGGTCCTGGTGCGGCAGCGGTAGGCATGCCCATGGGGCCAGGTGGCCACCGCGGCGGCCGCGACTTTGCGTATGGCGACGAGAGGATGGATCCGCACTATGCTGATCGTCGTCCCGACGTGCGTGGTGGATACGGCCCCGAGCGCGGCTATCCTGCTGGGCCTGCGGACGAGTATGGCTACATGCGCCCCAAGATGGACGGTCCTCCTGGCGGCATGCCCAATCCAGCCGGGCATCCTGCGGGCGCAGCTATGGGTCCCGGCTTTGCTGGCGACTCTGCGCGCCGCGGCGAGCCGTATGTGGAGCGTGCCGAGGCCATGGCGCGCTTTGAAGACCTTTCGGAACGTACGGACGCCATCATCCGACACGCATCATTCCTCGAATCCCAGATCCGCATCCTCTCGGACCAGCTGGCCGACTCGAGAGCGTACACGGTCCAAGTCGTGCGCGACGAGATGGTCCAGATGCTCGACCGACTCGAGCGCGCGCTCACCGCTCCCGCACAGCCGGGCACCGATCCCACCGCAAGGATGCTCGACGCAGTCCGAGCGCAGCTGGCCTTCTACATGCGTGGACCCGGTGGGCCTGCCGACCGAGGCGCCAAGCAGGTGCAACCATCAGCAGCTCCCAAGCGTCCGAGCGTCTGAGCGTCTGCGCCTGGCCGCCCTCAAGACTCTCACTTTGTGTACTGTATGCCCTTGTAATCGATCCGACCCGTCTTGGCCGCTCTTAATACCAATCGTTGCTCAGCTTTTCTGTGCGTGCGAACAAGTGCGAGGGAATGCGGATTGGAAAGCGCAACTTTTGTTGGTTGAGGGGGTGGTAGTGTACAAATGTGAGAGGCAGTGGAAGCTAGACGAGACGAGGTGCTGGACAAGGGCGGGAAGAGGAACATGCGACGGAAGCGTGGCTGAGCGGGAGTTAGCCCGAAGCCTTTCAGTGTTTTGATGGCAGGAAGGAGACTCGGAAGGCGATACGATGGAGGGCGACGAGAGCGAAAGAGAGATGGGCGAATCACCACTCAAACTCTCCGTTGCACTTGGCAAAGAGGTAGTCTCTGCCGTCGATGGAGGCGACGCCGTCCTTGAGCACGCACTTCCACTTGTTCTTGACTCGCTGCACCTTGTCGTACAGGCAGAGCACCATGTCGTCGTTGTCACCGTCGGCGCCGCCGTCAACGTCCTCATCGTCGGAATCGTCAAGGTCGCTGCCGATCTCGTCATCGTCGCTGATGCGCTTGCGCTTCTGACCTGCCGCAGCATCGTCGCCCTCCTGCTTGGCAGCATCATCTGCGCCTTCGTTGGCGCCTCGATCGGGGCCACCGGCTACGTCGGTCGAACCATCGCCTCGTGCAACTTTGGAGCGATGCTGATCGGCACCGTTGCCACTCGAGCTCTGTCCGTTGGCGCCGTTGCCGTCTTCGGTCTTGACCTCGGCCTTGGGCTCCTGCTTCTTGCTAGACCGCGACTTGGCCGGAGGAAGCGCAGGTGCGCCTTCGAATTCGGCCACCTGCGTCGCTACGATCTTGGCTTCCCACGACTGTACATGCCAGAACCCGAAGCTGTCGTCAGACCCTGCGATTATTTGGGCCGATGGTCGTGCGGACTTACTCGTTGCAACTCCTCTAGCACCTCCTTTTCAATGCCCATCTCCTCAAAGTCTTGGCGGACGTTGTTGATGACATCGTCGATGATGCCTCGATACACCTGCGACTGTGGATGAGCAAGCACGTAGAGGCGTTGGTCAGTGTGGTTGCCGCATATACAGGCAGTCGAGGAAGATACAGATGCATGGACACTTACGACCACTTTGTTACTCATGATGGTGGAGCAATCTCTTCAAGCACAAAGCTGGCGGTGCAAAGGCGTGTCGATGCGCACGGTCCCTGTCGATGAGATGCGATCAACAACCACCGTCGAGAGTTCCAGACTGATGTCCGCACGAAGCTCGTACGTCGCTCAGCGAGGCAATACCGCAGTCGTGATGTTGAGGCAGCTCGAGCAGGACCAGGAGCGAACCAGCAGAGCCGGGCGATTCGGCTGTAGACTTGGGCCGGACCGGAGATGAGCGCGTTTGCACCTTCGAACAAGGATGCCCAAGCGAAAAGCCGGAGTAGTATCGATACGATGGCTTGACAAGCGCCAGCAGGATACGCCCGGGGAGGTGTGCAGGCCAGCGTTCCTCAGAGGCTCGAGTTGATGGTGAGAAGCGAAAAGGCGTATATATACTTCCCTAGCGATGAGCCGCACTGGCGGGCGAGTTGGCGGGCTCAGTCAGAAGGCTCACTCGCACGATACCCAATCGATCACGACCCAAACCCTGCCCCACTGCACTGTGACCTCAAGCTGAGGCTGAGAGGGTGAGGCAGGCGGCGTCGCGACGCGCAAAAAAAAGGGTGCGAAATTGCCAGGGCGCAGCTGCTGCCAGAGTGTGTGAATTTTGGCACTCCTGCCCAGCTGACCGTGCCCCGCTGCAACTCCGAGATGAAGCTCGATCTGGCTCGCTCGCTCGTTCGCCCTCTCGACGCGCGAAAGCGTTGATGGGCCTCGCAGCTCCACTCTCAACCCGCGCTCACACACGCTGCGCGTCTTCGCCCGACCGTGCCAGATCGGGAGGTGCCTCGCGGGGGCACGGCCCTGGTTCACAGACGCGCCCAGAATTCTCAAAGTAGCCCAGCTGAACAGAAAGGCCTTGTCTGGTGGCCCTCCGCCCGCATCCGTACCCCGAATATTCCACAGCCTGGTCCCACACCCAGCTGCCCATCCACCCTCCACCACCACCACCATCATCATCATCGTCTCCTGCACCCATCCAACACTTGGACGCTCACGCATCTGCCATCGTCGGCTCCTCACGTCTCACGCTATCCACGTCCGGACCACCCGGGTCTCTTTCCGCCTCAACGGCAGCGAGCAACGAACCCCACCACACACCTCGAGTCCAGACCGCCGTCCTCCGGCCCCGCACTGCTGCTAGCGCGCGCAGCATTGTCAACACATCGTATTCCTCGTCAAGCACTCCCCGCGGCTTGCTCTTGAAAACCCCACAATGTCGACCACAGAGAAGAAGTCCAAGGAGAACCAACTCAATCGCTCCTCGCACAAGTTGTAAGTTGGCCCGCGTGCCGTCGCTGCTCGTGTGTCGGGCCTGCCATGACTGACACGCATGTCTCTTGCTCTCCTCCCTCCGCGATGATGTCGACACAGCCAAGTGAATGATGTCGTCCTCGCCAAGATCCGCGGATTCCCAGCATGGCCCGGTATCGTACGTACAACCCAAGCAGATGCTCCGTCAACTGCATCCAGGCACGAACGCTGACAATGCCTCTCTTTGCTACCCCTCAGGTGATGGACGATGCCAACGTGCCTTCCGCCGTCCTCAAGGAGCGTCCCAGCATCAAGCATCGCGACCTTTACACCATCCGCTTCTTCCCCGCCGCCGACTAGTAAGTTGCTGCCCACCAAGCGCATCATGCCAACGGTGCCCTTGAGCTGACTCCGTCTTCCCGCATTGCCATCTTCCAGCCACTGGGCTTTCTCCAAAGACCTCGAACTGCTCAACGCAGACAAGATCGACGCCTTCCTCGCCGGCCCGAATCGCAAAAAGGGCGATCTCAGACAAGCCTACGAACTCGCACGCGACCCTACCAGCTGGAACGAAGAGCAGAACACCATTGTCAAGAACTACGAAAAGTCGCTCCAAGACGCCGCCGAGGAGGAGGAGGAGAACCAGGACCAGCTCGAGGAGGACGAGGAGGACGAGGGCGAGGAAGAGGAGGCATCGAGCAAGAAGAGGAAACGCAGTGCCGAGGGCGGCAAGGTGCGCGAGAGTGCCGACAAGCGCAAGAAGGTCAAGGCGGCCGAGGCGGCGGGCAAGCCCAAGGCGGAAAAGCCGAGCAGCAAGGTGGGCGCAGGCGCCAACGGCGAGGACAAGTCGGAGGAGCTGTTGGATCCCGAGACCAAGAAGGTCAAGGAGTGGCGTCACAAGGTGCAAAAGGCGTTCCTCGCCAAGGACAGCACCATCCACGCCGACGACATGCCCGCAGCAGACGCCACCTTCAAGGTGATCGAGGAGTTCGACGGCATGACGGCCGAGCATCTGCGCACCACCAAGATCGGCAAGGTGATGAAGAGGATCATGCAGCTCGGTGACATTCCGCGCGAGGACGACTTCCGCTTCAAGGAGCGCGCCGAAAAGCTGTGCGCCAGGTGGGGAGCCATCATGGCGGGCGGCGGCGACGCGCACAAGGATACGCCAGGCGACGACTCGGTCGCGGAGCCCGCAAAGGAGAACGGCGATGCCAGCACCCACGCGCCAGAAGCTGCAAAGCCAAAGCCCGAAGCAGACGACACGCCCTCGGCGCCCGCTGCGGAATCGTCCTAAGCAGTCCATCAAGCAAAAGCGGCATTCTACCGTCAATCTCGCTCGTCTTCCGCTGGCCATGCCGGGCGTCCAGATCATCTTGGCCCCGCAAGGCTGCGACATCCCCGGATCCCAACCTGCCCACAACCACACCTGGTCGTGTGGGCACTTGTAAGAACACCGTCTCACCCTCTTTTCTTCACCCCTCCTTGTGTAACAATCGGCTCGATACCGTTTCTCTCTCTCGCTCTCCTCTTTGTTTCGCTCTGTTTACCGGCGGGCGGTCACGCACATTCACCGGATATCCATGTAAAACGCGCGCTTCCAGCCAGCCATGTTTTTGTGCGTAGTACTGTCTCACTGAGGCTGAGATTGGGAGATGGTGGTTGAGATTAGAGTGTGTTGTTTGGCTGCTGAGGCGCGTCTGCGGGTAGTGAGGTGGGTGTGGATGCTGCGACGGACCTCACGCGCGATTCGTTGTGGTTGACTGTAGCTGTCCAGTCTCGGGTGAGGGTGGCGATACGTTGCGAAGCGAGCGTCGAGGGTCCGAGGATGTTGTTCCTCAACACGGCCTCAAAGTTGCGCTTGAGATCCTGGTCGAGACCTTCGGAGAAGCGCTGCCAGTCCTGGCGAAAACGGCGGCGATACTTGTTGTACTGGCCCTGCATCCTCCATCCGACGAGCGTGAGTGTGAGCAGTCCCAACCCCAGACCTGTGCTTGGATCGAGCGCCAGTGATGCAGCTGTGGCATCTAGCGATGCTCCGAGCACGCTGGCCGAGCCTACACCTGCTGCAGTGACGGCGACTGCAGCCGAACTCGTCACCGCCAATCGACGCGACTTGGTGGCCAGCTCGTCAATCGGACCGCCCACCTGGAGGAGCTGCGCACGGCGGCGTTCAATGGGCTCCATCAGCGTCGATGGCTCAATGGTGCGCAGCGACGACCTTCCTGCCTCGGCCTCGTTGGTGAGCAGCGCCACGTCGCGCGTAACCGCGGGAATACCCGGTCCAAGCTCGGACGCAATGCGACGGAACTGGTGCAGCAGCTCGTCGGCCGCGCGCACGTGCTCGCTCTGCAGCGTGGCGAGGCGACCCGACTCGTAGGCGAGGTCCGACTCGAGCGAGGCGGCAAAGTTGGCACATGTTGCCTCGAGCTCCTTGCGCAGGTCGTCGACCTTCCAGACCAGCTTCCACCACTGCAGCTTGGAATCAAAGGTGGCCTCGATCGATTCGTCCGTCTGGCGCATCGCCACGTCCACGGCGCTGTTCGAGCCAGGAGCGGCGGGACGCCACACGTGGACGTCCTCGCTGGCGAGCTGACCGGTGTAGGCTGTGGCAGGCGGCCAGATGCGTTCGAGCGACTGCTTGAGAGTGGCCTGCTCGCGTGCGGACGCCTCGGCGGTGACGGCGTGCAGCTGGTAGAGGCAGGCTCGGTTGCGCCTGACAGTCGCCATGGCCTCGTCGAGACAGTGTTGCAGCAGGAAAGCAGCCGACTGGGCGAACAAAGCTTCGCATCCTTGTCGAGACTCGAGCGACTGGACGACGTCGATGAGCGAGCCGACGTTGGAGCGCTGAAAGTGGCGGCTGAATTCGTCCCAGAGGAGCGTTGATGCGTCGGTGCGCACGCCGACTGACTCCACGGGCTGATTGGGCTTGGTCAACGCCTGGCGAAGCGCCGCGTTGGCAGCCAAGGCGTCAGATGCGCGTACCGAGATGAGATTGGGAAGAAGGAGGGCGCCGACAGCTGCGCCGGTGGCAGCTTCGAGGCCATCGACGATGTGGGAATGATCCAAGCCCAGGATCGAGTTGACGACGAGACGTACGTTGGGCTTGGCAGCAAAGCGGCAGAGAAGATCATGCAGCGGACTGGCGTGCGCGTAGGAAGATCGTTGCGTGTGAGCGGAACGACTGAGAGCGTAGTCATCGGTGATAAAGAACGCTGCTTCGCAGTCGTAGACGAGATCGTAGGTGGCTTCAGAAGGCTCTGGATCGACGAGAACGGTGAGGTGCAGGTTCGCACTCTGAAGCCAGTGCCGGTCGAGGCTGGCTGTATCTGCGGAGAGCTGAGCTGGGCCGGGCGCGTATCGGATGGTGAAAGCGGTGGAAGGAGGAAGGCTGGCTAACGCCGTGGAGATGAGCTCGGCCTCGTTGACCTGGTGGATGCCTACTTCGCGGAGGGGCTCGTCGATCATGGCGGCCACGAGCTGGCGTGTCTGACTGAGCGACGAGCCGACAAGCACGACGCGTGTCGGGCATGCAGCATGGCCAGCGGCTTCGTCGAAGTGACGCGCTTTGCTGCTGAGCTGTTCGAGCCTGTTGACCCATTGTGCGGCGAGGACGGGATTGCTGGCGTTCGTCAGCTGACGGGCGCGTATCAATGTATCCGACAGGGGCTCCGAAGCGGCGACGGCGGATGAACTGGAGCTCGCGATCACTGTATCTTTTGCCCTGCTGACGGCCTCGACGGCCTGTGCGCTTGTAGAGGTGGTGTGAATGAGGCTGGCGCCAAGAGGACAGGAGTCCCGACTGGATGGGGGTAATTGTCTCGAGCCGATTACTGCTGGCGAGCTCGCCAAGCACCTGCTCGGAGGGCATGCTGTGGCTGCGCTACTTAGACGCAGACGGAGGCCGCGCTGTACGCTGCGAGAAGGCGTAGCGAGCGACATCCTAGGAGGTGGCCACAAAATGGCTCGGGGATGGCTTAATATGCCTGGCAGGCAGTGCGAGCGTCGTACTACCGGAAGACGAAGGCTGGCTAGGGTATAGGATGAATAGATGGATGGTCGTGAAGCGACGAGGCGAACGAGCCATCGGAAGTGTTCCTTTTGAGATCTTTCGGAAACAGGCGGAGAGACGAGATAAAAATGCTCAAAGTGTGAGATCGACACCAACTCGATCTGCTCGCTCAGCTCAAAAATCGGTACCGAATTTGCGCGCCGCCAAAGCAGCCAAAGCAGCCAAAGCTTGAGAGAGAGGCCTAAAGTGCGAGTGCGGTGCGGACTGTGCGGATCGTGGATGCTTTCGAGTTTCGACAATTTCCACGGCTTCACACTTTTCGAGGCCCTCAGCCATCATCGCCTCTGATGTCGCTTTTCTTCCTCCCACCCATCCACCACCACGCTCGCTTCTAGCACACCCTTTTCGACAGCGCCCGGCGCTTTGCTCGGCTTCCTGTCTCCCATCTGATCGTCATCCTCATCCGACCCTTGTGATCCGGTCGCATCAAAGACGACATTCCCTCTCTTGTCCTTTCCTCAGGCGCCTTCAAAGCGCTTGCCCTGCCAGCTCGCTTTTGCTTTCTCGCAGCTGCAGCGGATTCACACTCCACACGGTGCATAAATCGCCAGTCATTACCAGGCAGAAGGAGCGAGGTTGTCAGCCTATTTTGCGTCCCTTATTCGTCGCTCTTCCTAGGTTTATCGGTGGTCTTTACTTTGCTGGCATATTCCGTCCACCCTTTCCTATAGAGACCACGGCGGGTCTTTGTCACTTGATCATCCTAGCTAGCTCCTCCATCCGGCGCCGTCATGCTCCAATCGATGTCGAGCTCCGAAGACCGAAAGCGCTCCCTGGTCGCATCCGCCGATGACGGGCCTCGAAAGCGTTTGCATTCGGACGAGAATGCATCGCGCTCGCCCGTTGGTGCCAGCGACGACCAGGATGACGAAGCCCTTCATCCCGCTTACGCCGGCCTCGATGCTTTCAGAAAGGAGGCCATCTACCGCAAGATGCTCGAGGCCAGGAGGGACTTGCAACGCGTCGAGCGCAGAGCAGCTGCATACCACGACGACCTCGCTGTCTCGGAAAAGCGTGCCGCCATCCTCCAGCGATTCTGGGGCCTGCTTCTCACCGATCTCGCCAACCGTCTAGCCATCCGTGACCAGCAGGCTCTGGCTTCCCTCGCCTCTTCCGAGCGTCCGCTCGAGCCTTCCACCATGGAGAAGCAGCTCCAAGATCAGTCCGCCCTCATCCTCCAGTCTCTCTCCAACCAGGCCGACGGCGATCTTGCCGATCTTCAACAAAGATATCACGATCTCGCAGAAGAAGCCTCCCGCCACAAGCAGGACCTCTTCCTCACCCAGTCCAAGCTTCAGCGAGCCGAAGACGCCCTTGCCCACGCCACACAGAAACTCTCCAAAGTCGAACACGAGTACGTTCGCTACCAGAGCAACCTGCTGCGCGCCACAGAAGGCAAGCCTACCGTGCCAGCCGGTACCACCGTCGATGCGTCTGCACCCCCTCCAACATCATCCGCTCCGACAGACGTGTCCGCTGTCACCGTCAAGAAGGAGGAAGGTGAGGCTTCGAACGCAGAGGCCAGCGTCGAGCAGTCAGAGGCCCTGCAAAAGGCAACCGATCAACTTGAAAGCGCACGCCAGGACGTCGAACTTACACGGCGGGAGAGCGATTCGAGATATGCCGAGATTCAGACGCTCAACGAAGAAGTCAGATCGCTCAAGCACAGGCTGCACGAAACCCAGCTCAAGCTGGATCACCTGCCAGAAGACGTGCTCGTCCGCTCAGCGCTCTACCGCGAACTCGAGACGGCGTATCAGCACGCCCAACAAGACCTCCAAGGCGTCAGGGACTCGATGCACACGCTCGAAACCGAGGCGAATGCGCTTCGTGAAGAGCGCGCCGCGTTCCAGCAGACCGTAGAGGCAGAGGCCAGCGCCAGGACCGACGAGCTGGAGAAGATGGTCAAGGCCAAGGAGGCCGACGTCACACGCCTCCGCAGCCAGAGAGACGAACTCAATGCCGAGCTGACCGAGCGCCGGTCGCGCGAGCAAGTCAAGTTCACCCAGATCGAGGAGATGAAGGCGTTGCTCAACAGCAAGGAGGAGCGCCTCACGCTGCTCACCAGCCAGGTCCGACGTCTCCGCATGTCCGTCTCTGCATTCCGAGGTCAGTCGGCTGGCGTCACAGCACTGGCAGAGACCGAGTCCGAGGAGGACCAGTTCGAGAAGCTCAGCCGCGCGGCTCAGGAGGCGCAGGCACGCATTGCCGAGCTCGAAAAGCGCTTCACTTCAGCGGATACCCCCGCAGACGGCGCCGCCGTCAACGGAACCACGAGCGCTGATCAGACGGAGGAGGTGGAACGTCTGCGTCTGTCGCTGCAGGCGGCCGAAGCGTCGAGCAAGGCGGTGGACGACGAGCTGGAAAAGATCAGTGCCGCGTACGCCGAGTTGGAGAGGCAGGCATCGGTCAAGGTGACCGACGTGAGCCGCATGGAGGAGAAGGCGCTGCGCTGGGTGACGGAAAAGTCCAAGGCGGACAACAAGTACTTTTCCACCATGCGTGCCAAGGAAACTCTGGATGCCGAGCTGCGCGCGGTCAAGCAGGTCAACGAGCGTCAGCAAAAGACGATCGAGATGTTTGGCGAGGTGGAGCGCAGCTACAGCACGCAGCTCGGACAGCACGAGAAGGAGGTGACGGTGTTCAAGAAGGCCATCGAGGTGCACAGCCGTCGCATCGAGGCGTTGTCGCGCGACTTGGAGCAGGCCAACGCGCGGCTGGCCGAGGCGGCGCAGACGAGTGCGCGGGCGAGCGAGTCTGCCAAGGAGTTCATCGATGCCGCCACGACGGAGAAGGACCAGCGGAAGCGTGCGGAGGAACGCATTGCTCGGCTGGAAAAGGACCTGGAGAGCGCCAAGAGGCAGATGGCTCGGGCGGCGGCGTCGGCGGCCAAGAACAAGGGCAAGCGCGAGACGGATGCGGGCGACGGCAGCGAGAAGGACTTCCTCAACGCGCTGCTGCAGTGCTCGTCGTGCAAGGAACGCTACCGAAACCGCATCCTGACAAAGTGCTACCACACCTTCTGCGCGGTGTGCATCGACACGCGCGTCCACACGCGCCAACGCAAGTGTCCGCACTGCGGATTGGCGTTTGCCGTGAGCGACGTGCAGCAACTGTTCCTACAGTAGTACGGCATCGGCACTTTGTTGTTTCATAGCTGGTCTGTAGCCCCGACTCTCCCTCCCAAGATACCGCGCGCATCCTGTATACTAGCCAAAGCGGGGCTCCTGCGAATCCAGCATTGAGACGCATCCTTGCCGTTACCATGTTTCGAAACGTGTGTGGGCCTGGTCCGAGGCGATTCGAGTGGTGCGTGGGCGCAAGAGTGGATGAGCTCAGCTCAGAGATCGGAGAAGAGGATCTGGTGTCGTTGGTAGAGACGGGTTGATTGCTAGAATTACAAGGTGCAAGGGGCAAGGAGAGCGGACAAGTTTGAGGCGGGAGTAAGAGGTTCAAGCTTGAACCCTACGCTCGTGAACTGATGATACCAAAGAGGAGTTGGGAGATGTTGTGATCAGTCGGGAATGCTTGTGAAGCGAACGAAGTGCAGATGGAGCGCCTGAACATACTGTTGTAGTGAAGGAGCTTCTCGATGAGGTCGACGTGGGTGAGCACCATTCGGCGGCAGCAGTAGCGCTTGAGATCGAGCTCGGTGAGCGCCTCACCCTCGGTACGGCCGTCGAGGAGGAGGGCAAGGTAGGCGTTCCACTTGTCGCCAATCACCTTGCCACACGAGAAGCAGCGGATGGGAATGATCTGAGCAGCGAAGAGCAGGGTGCATAGCAGATCCGAGAGGGAGGTCAGTACATTCATGCTCGGTCGAAAGCGGGGCGGACGAGCTTGTCCCGTCGCTGAGCAGTATCTGCGGTTGTTGAAATGATTCTTACCATCTTCGAGACAGTTGTGTGAGTCTAGCTTGTGCCGAGGGTCGAGGTTGCGAGGAAGCCGTGGACGGATGTCCGTGCCAGCAAGGTTGCCGAATGGGGTGAGGATGCGCGTAGAAGTGTGGGACGGCAAGCGAAGAGACCGGAAGAGGATACGAGTGTAGGAGGCTTCGCAGGTGATGCTCTAGCCCGTACCGATCGAGACGACGAGGGCGGTGGTGTAGGATGAGATGGAAGAAATGTGTGTAGACTGAGCCAGAAACGTGCGATGGTGGAGAGGCAGCGGACGCTCAGGGTCGCAGTGGAGCAAAGCTTCGAACTTTTTGTTCACGAAATCGCGCCAACCCCGATCTGCGCCAACCTCCAAGTTTCGGTTACATTTGGGTCTAACACAAAGTAATTCGAAAAAATGACTCTCGCACGGCACGAATTTTGGATAGCAAAATCAACGAGGCTGCCACACTGGCGACTGACTGGCTTCCACGTCGCCGGAAGAGGAATGCAATTTCGGCACGCCGCCCACAGCGCACGACCCGCGTCCAAGAAGAACGGCTCAGAGAGAGCCAGGCGAAGGCAGAGGCAGAGGCTCCAGGTCACCGACGTCTGTCTGCCAGTGAGGCGCAACCAAGCCAATTAGAGCCCGCTAAACGACGTTGCCAGTGGCGCTTCAGAGCGCGAAGAACAGCGGAGAGAGGTGGTGCGTGTGCTCAGACCGCCGCTGCTGGCTGAGACTGCCAGCTTCTGACTGCTTTGCTTGCCCTTCCCCGCGCCGCGTGATCTGATCCGCAATCTCGAGAGATCGTCGTCGTCAAGAGTCCTTCTGCTCACCAACCATCACCGTCACTCTCTCGCTTCTGTTTCTTATTTGCCCAGTTGGGTCACATCTGCAAATATGAGCGGCTGTACGTATTCCGACCCTCACCATCCCAGCAGCTGTCGATCACTCGACGGCACTGTTGCTACGTTTCATACGGATCGCTAACGTCGCTGCTCCTATGTCTTGCTTTGTACGCTGCCAGTCAGGTTCTTGTCGCTCGTTCGGCCTTTCATGTCCGTGCTGCCCGAGGTCTCGGCGCCGGAACGCAAAGTACCCTTCGAGAGCCGTGTCATGTGGACCGCCATCGTGCTCGCCATCTTCCTCGTCTCCTCCCAGATCCCGCTCTACGGCATCGTCTCCAGCGACAGCTCAGACCCGCTCTACTGGATGCGTGTCATCCTCGCCTCCAACAGAGGTACGCTCATGGAACTCGGTATCTCGCCCATCGTCACCTCGGGCATGATCATGCAGCTCCTCGCAGGCGCCAACCTCGTCGAGGTCGACTTCAGCCTCAAGGAGGACCGCGCCCTCTTCGGCGGTGCCCAGAAGCTTTTCGCTCTCATCATCTCGCTCGGCCAGGCCACCGTCTATGTGCTCACCGGTCTCTACGGACAACCCAAGGACCTCGGCGCCGGTGTCTGCCTTCTGCTCATCCTTCAGCTTGTCGTCGCCGGTCTCATTGTCATCCTCCTCGACGAGCTCCTCCAGAAGGGCTACGGTCTCGGATCCGGTATCTCGCTCTTCATCGCCACCAACATCTGCGAGTCCATCGTCTGGAAGGCCTTCTCGCCCACCACCGTCAACACCGGCCGTGGCCCCGAGTTTGAGGGCGCCCTCGTCGCCCTCTTCCACCTCCTCTTCACCTGGAACGACAAGTCCCGCGCGCTCAAGGAGGCCCTCTACCGCGACCGTCTCCCCAACGTCATGAACCTCCTCGCCACCCTCCTCATCTTCCTCGTGGTCATCTACCTCCAGGGCTTCCGCATCGAGATCCCCGTCAAGTCCAACCGCTTCCGCGGCCAGCGCGGCACCTACCCGGTCAAGCTCTTCTACACCTCCAACATGCCCATCATGCTCGAGTCCGCCCTCACCTCCAACGTGTTCATCATCAGCCAGATGCTCGCCTCCCGCTTCCCCTCCAACCTCCTCGTCAAGCTTCTCGGCGTCTGGGAGCCTCTGGAGGACAGCGCTCAGCTTCACGCCGTCGGCGGCATCGCCTACTACATGTCGCCTCCCCACAACTTTAGGGAGGTCGTCGGCGACCCCATCCACACCGCCATCTACATCGCCTTCACCCTCACTGCCTGTGCGCTCTTCTCCAAGACCTGGATCGAGGTCTCCGGCTCGGGCCCGCGCGAGGTCGCCAAGCAGCTCAAGGACAACCAGATGGTCATGGCCGGCCACCGCGACGCCTCCATGTACAAGGAGCTCAAGCGTGTCATTCCCACCGCCGCCGCATTCGGTGGTGCGACCATCGGTGCGCTCTCGGTCTGCGCCGACCTCATCGGCGCTTTCGGCTCGGGTACCGGTATCCTGCTCGCCGTCACCATCATCTACTCGTACTTTGAGATCGGCATGCGCGAGGCGGGCGGCCCCGAGATGGCTGCCATGGGCGAGCTCTTCGGATAGATGTAGCGCGTCTGTCGGCAACCTATCCCTTCCCTCCCGCAGCATCTAGCAGCGATTGCCACAATCCTGCGCCATCACACACACTCCCTTGCACAACAAGCACGCTGGCGTAAGCCTCCGTGCAAAATCAAGGTCCTTGCCTCGAGGTAGGGATCCCTCCATCCTCCTCAACAACACACCCAAATCTGTACATACAACTCGACCGACTGGCGCCCGAAACATGCTTTCGATCTGCCCCCCGCCGGTCTGCAATGAATCGTCCAAAAAGAGTCGCGTCCGATGTCTGTGCCCACCACGGCCGTTCCCACTCATCTACTTCCGCTGGGCCCTCGAACGCCTCGCTCAGTGAACACTCCGCCGCGACCTCAATTTTGGCGCTGAAAAGCCGCGCACACGCGCGCGAGATGCTTGTCTGGAGAGATATGATTTGCCGTAGGATGTGAAGCGCCCCGCGTGTGGCGGCGCGGGAGTGCATGGTAAAAACCTACAAAGCTTTTGGTGGAGCTACACGAGGTCTGGTGATGGTTGCTTGTCATTACAACGCTGATTCCCAGTCAGACCTGAGGGACCTGAGAACCAAACGTGACGGGAGGGGAGGGAAAATGGGCTGCAAAAAGGAACAATCGTCAAAAGGTCAATTGAGACCTTGACACTTGGCCCTCTACATCCCCAAAGAAAGGAGAGATATGCTGCGCGGATCGCAAAATGAGGAGGTGGAAGAAAAGGAGAAAATGCCGGGATGGACCGAGGTGATGCATTTAGAAGCGGAGAGGGGTGAAGAACCACTTGTTCTTGCCCGAGGTGTACTTCTCCTCGAAGATGGCCTTGATCTGCTTCTTGGCCTCCTCGCGTTGCGAGGGCTCCTTGAAGGTCTCCTGCGAAACGGCACCCTTAAGTCCCTCGAGCTCGAGAGCGTAACGGGTGGGCATGAGGTGGTTGTACGAGATGACCTTAACGAAAGGCTTGACCTTGGAGCGCTTGGCGATCTTCTTGGCCCCCATGCGCTTGGTCACCTTCTGCGGGTATCGCTCGATACCAGCGGCAACAATGTAGGGGAAAGCCTTCTCCTTGGAGCCGTCATCGAACTGCTTGATGACGACAACCTATTCGTGGTGGAAGCAATGGATGCAGCGCGAATGTCAGTAAAAGCTGTTCTGTAGAGCCGGTGCGGGACGAGCGACGAAAGAGCATATCCATGAGGCGCGCGTGCTGCGAGGTGCCAAGTTGACCAGCATCAAAGAGGCGGGAACGGCTGGAGAGACTCGCTGCGATAGCGGATTGTCGGTGTGGCCCAGTTGAAGGTTGCTGGCACAAAATACCGTGTCGATAAAAGTACGGATGTAGGTCGGATCGTTGCTCTGAGAGGGTTGCAGACGCTTTGCCGAACATGAGATGGTAATTCGGTGGAAGAGTACTGATGTCCGCAACGGGCTGGCGACCAAGTCGAGTGATCTTCCTTCCGCACCATGCTGACCAGACGACAGATGCGAGTCCTATCAAAACCGTTCCCATGTCGTTAATGGTGAAGCGCGGTGAAAGCGTTGTGTTCGCTGGTACTGTCGGCAGGCCTGCTGTCTTTGCACGATCTGAATGCGACTTTTGATGCTAGTTGTAATGCCACCACGTCGATCGGTAACGTCGATAAAGCACTGCCCAACCTGCGGTAACGATGCGCTCTGTTTCCGCTAACTCCTCCTGCGTGATGTGCTGATGCCCCTAGGATATGCTCGAACGCTGCTGTCGATGTCCCAATTGCTGGGAGTGTTGATGTACTAACCTTCTTACCGGCGTGACGGCCGGTGAGGACGACGGCGACCTTTCCTGGCTGTTGACATCGGATCAAGGCACAATGGTGCGAGTGCGAGCGTCAGTATCCGATTTCAAACAGCTATCGTTGTAGCATGCAGCATCATTGCTTCTCCAACTTCGACATTGCGCGCCCTTGCGACGGACCTTGCCGTGTCTTTGGTGGATGGCGATTCAGGCTGCATGCTTGCCAGCACTCTGTCAATCGAGCGTGGACTGGTATCGAGCACGTACCTTGTAGATCTTGGGCATTGTGACGGATGGGGGATCTTGATGGAGGATGATGGTGACGAGGGTGCAGACGTCGAACGCTTGACTCTCTGGCTTGCTTCCCCCAGATTCAATTGAGTGTGCAACGGCCCGCTTGGTGTGCCTCGAGCTCGACAGGCTTGGAGAGCGCTTTGCCAGCTCGGGCTGCCTGAGGTCGCTGGCTGCAGCTGCCGAAATTCGAGATGTGAGTTCTTCGAGAGCCACTGCTCGGCAACGACAAACACTGGCTGGCCAGGCAGCGACTTGGGTATCTGGCGCAGCCTGCCCTCAATTTCGGGCTGCAGAGAGGCACATACTGCTCGTCTGAGCAGGGCGAAATTCGCTTCACGTGACCAATTTTCAAAACTTCCCACGACTCGACCTTGCCTCTGCGCAGTTCCTGCTGTTCTTTCTAGACCAAACAGCCGGTCAAGAATTTCTCCTTCTTCGGATCCGAGTGTTCGCGTCACGCTAGCCTCTTGCGATCGTGCTTCGGTGAGCTGCCAAAGAGGATGCGCGCCAAATTCAACGAATTCGGCTGCAGGCTGGTGCGATTCGGACAGAGCCCCAGCAGCAGAGCGCAGGCCCAGCTGGGAGTTGGGCCTCTGATTGAGACTGTCGAAATTCAGCCCCAGTCTGGTCGACACACCGCAAACCGTTGGCAGCGGCTGCGAGGATACCACAGCGCGCACGCCACCTTGCTCCTCTCCTCACCATCAAGACCACCGCCCTCCTCAGCAAAGTAGGTATCCTTTTCGGCATCGACGTTTCGACATCTGTACGTCGCAGAGGCTCCAGGCTGTATTCAGCACAGTCAGGATCACTACCTCGCAGTCTCCGCCATGATCGATCTCGCCGCGCGCCATCAGTTGCTGGATACATTTGACAAAGAGGGCTCGCAGCATGCCCATCAGCCTATGGCGACCATCATTAGCATATTGCAACCACTATCTGTCTTCAGCAGACGCACTACGACGACGTTCACTTCTACGAGAAGCAGGACTACATCTTCGAATGGTCTCGCATCAGCCTCGTATCCCGCTGCCTCTTCAGATTGCTGTCACTCCGGCCACTCGATGCAGAATCCGAGCGTCGCGCCCCCGTAATCGGCGACGATTGGCATCGTAGGGCATTCAGGCAGTCTCGTCATGACACAGCGACGATCAGAGGACCACCCGATGCAGTACTCTTCTCGCAGTCACAACCAGAACCGACCTTGCAGCAGGAATTTGAAGCGCGCGGCAGATCGACCACACGCACAAGCGAACTCGCAACAGATTGTCACGTCGATTCGACTGTCCATTTCATTCGCGAACGCTTTGTTCTAACCACCAGCACTCCCCCGTCTCTCTTCGCCTCATCACTTTGCAGTTTCTTCAAGATGGCTAAGCCTCGTGGACTTAACACAGCCCGTAAGCAGGTCTCGACCCGCCGAGACAACCGCTGGGCCGACGCTGCCTACAAGAAGCGCGCCCTCGGCAACTTCTACAAGACCTCCCCCACCGGTGGCTCGTCCCAGGCCAAGGGCATCGTCCTCGAGAAGATCGGCGTCGAGGCCAAGCAGCCCAACTCGGCTATCCGAAAGTGTGTCCGTGTCCAGCTCATCAAGAACGGCAAGAAGGTCGCCGCCTTCGTCCCCAACGACGGCTGTCTCAACTTCGTCGACGAGAACGACGAGGTCCTCATCTCCGGCTTCGGTCGTGCCGGTAAGGCCAAGGGTGATATCCCCGGTGTTCGTTTCAAGGTCGTCAAGGTCTCAGGCGTTGGCCTTCTGGCACTTTTCAAGTCTAAGAAGGAGAAGCCCCGCTCTTAGAATGGTTTTGACGCCGTCACGACTGCTATTTGCAGTGTAGCATGTACTTTCACCATGATCCCAAAAGTCGCCCGACAATATCACTCCACCTTCTGGTGGTGTTAGCAGAATCGTTGCTCTCGCGCGAGTGTGCACGCGAAATTGTCCGAGGAAATTTGAATTTCGAGAAAAAAAAGGACACTCGCCATTTGCCTTTAACACGCGCGGTGGTCCAGCCGAGGCTGCGGGTACGCGTGGAAATGCAGCAGCACAGCGCCATCGTTGGGGAGCACGCCTGCAAACCCTTCGACGTGGGCCCTGTGTAACATAGTGCAACGGCTGGCGACTAAATTTGACGATCATTGCACACACGCAGATCAGACACAAGACGATGCGATTCTTCACGGAGGGCAATGAGATGTGCACAAGCATGTGAATTGCGGCTAAAGTACGAGACAGTGAGGAGAGCATAGGGGAATCGCGGTGAGCCTGGAGTCAACGCAGAGGAGTGAGCTGGCCTTCGATCCGCTTGGTGCCATCTGGATTCGCAGAATACCATCGGTTCTGACACTGCCGACATCGTTCCGGAGCTTGGACTACTTTTTCATCTTGACCGTGAAGTCGTCCATGTAGCGCAAATCTTCAGCGGCCGTGACAGGCTCGCCCAACGAAAGTTTCTTGAACACTTCCTGGCCGGCACGATGATCATCGCGGAAGGGTTGAGTCGGGTCGTGCACCAGGCTGGTAGCGCCCAGCCACAGAGCGAGAAGCTCCTTATCGTCCAGCGGAGGGAAAGCCAGAGCCTGCGCCAGCTCGCTCGGGTCTGGCATTGGCAGTACGAAGGGGTTCTGCTGTGCCGCAGATGCTGTCGTGGCCTGCTCCGAGTCCTTGGGGTCAGACTTGATGTGGTCCTTCGTCTGTTCCGCCGAGCGCGACGCACCATCCGATGACTTTGCGGGTTTTCCAGACTTGGAAGCGCGCCGAGTCTTGGCAGCGCGCAGAGCCTTGGCAGCGCGCTCGGCCCTGGCAGCGCGCTCCTCGTTGGTGGTGGGAGGCGACATGACTAGTGATTAGCTGCTCGAAGATGCAACTGCTATGGACGCAGATGACGCAGATCAAGACGTGGGGAGAGAGCGCTCGAACGCTGAAGTGAATGCGAGTGGAGACGTCTGGATGTGACAATTGTTTCAAGAAACGGGGGGCCTCGTTCAGCGACTGTCTAAGTAGCTATCCCGAGCGAGTTCGAGACGGAGGGAGGGCCGAGGCAGCGACAAGCAGTGGGTTGCAAGAGGGCAAATACGCTCAGAGTACCTCAACGATGCCCCAACAATGTTGGAACGTGGAATGTGTTTGACACCGCCCCTTTGTGAAAGTTCCAAGACTCGTCTGCATAATACGATCGCATTCTTGCTACTCTTCCCCTCGCTGCTCCCCCTCCTCGCTGTTCCCCCTCTCGCTACTCCTCCTCTCGTTGTCTGTGACTTCCGCTTTGACTCACGCGCTCACCTATGGTTCCGCGAAACGTCCGAATTAACCTCGGAGATTTTTCCATCGCTGTGGGCCAACGTGAGCTTAGTTCGGTAATGCGAAGAACTTGCGCAATCACTGTGGGCCTCAGAATTCTGGCGCATCGCGACTGCGCAGGCAAAGTCAGAGTGGGGAGTGTTGCGCAAGCACCGCACGCACGGGCCCGATAGTGAAGGAGGAGCCGGGCCGAAAGCGCTGAACTTCTCACCGAAGATGCGCAAGAAGTGAGAGAACTAGCAGCGACCGAGTGAGCAGAGAACGCGAGTTTCCCTTTCGGGTGTGGGAACAAGCTCGCAGGAATTGCGCAGCCATGCGCGTAGCCAATCCAGATGCGTCGACACGCGGCGCACTCGAAAGTAGCCCCACCAGAAAACAAAAGTCTCAGCACGCGCCGTCTCGCGAGACTTCGACGCCCAGCCATTCTGCGCAAAGCCAATCTCTTCGCAAGATCAAGCTTTTAGCAAAGTCAAACTCTTCGCAAAGTCACACCACGCAAAGTCATTGTGCGCAAAGTCGTTCAGCACAAAGTCTCTGTGCAGGCATTCCGACGGGATCGATGAATCAATGAACCACTCAACGTCTGCGCAACCTCACATGCATGCGAGCTGCTACCCCAGGAGCTTTGAAACGTCGCCTCGTCGCCCTTCCTCCACGGCGCGGTGCGCAGATGGATCGACGAAAGCCCAAGAGGCAGGCGCCACGACGCTAGCAGAGGCCACGTGTCCCAGTCCGCTTGGTACCGGGCGCTTCGCTTGCTGCGTTTCGATCGCGGATGCCACGTCAATAGTCTGCGCAGTCTCGATGCGCTCACATCCACGGGTCATCGCCCGCCTCGTCACATTCTGGCGTTGGGGGCAAGTTCTGCTTGCGTTGCGAAATCAAATTGGCCACAGACGGCTTCACACCTGACAAGATGCGATTGCGCAAGTTCTGAGCATAGCCAAAGTTAGCTCGGGTTTGGCCACAGCGATGGAAAAAGCTCCGGGGTTGACTCGAAAAAGGTTGACTCGGACGTCTCGCGGAACTTTGGTTGAGCGCATGAGTCAAAGCGGAAGTCACAAACAGCGAGAGGAGGAGTAGCGAGAGGAGGAGTAGCGAGAGGAGAAGTAGCGAGGAAACGGTCATGTGATGCAGACGAGCCTCGGAGCTTTGACAAAGGGGAACACCGTCCACGTCCCGCCACTGTCGGGGCATCGTCGGACTCTGACCGCGGCTATGCTGAGAGGAATGTGTCTTGACCGAGCTAGGATCCGCTAACTTGGTCACTGGTCAAGTGCGTGATTCAATGCTGCCAGGTGCATGCAGCGACGAGCCGTGGAAGCCGAGCTGAGTTTTCCGCTGGAGATGCAAACAACGCTGAGGCCGGACACGAAAGATACTTAAAGGCCCCTCCGATACGTGCAAGCGCACTCACATTCATCCATCGTCCACCTTTTCTTCTTCTTTCAATCCCTCCGAGATGACCAGTGAACGCAAGTCGGCTTCTGAAAACCCAGCCAAGGAGCCTGGCCCCAGCTCGTCGGACAGCATTTGCGGCCGGCCCAAGATCGATCCTGACATCGCACACGCTGACCAGGAGATCTCGAAGGACGAAGAGCCCGGTACGTTTCTGCAATGATTGCCACGAGACCGCTTGCGCTACCCTTCATCTACAGAGAAGACTGACACCATCGAATTGACCCCCACGCTCTCTCAGGTCCTTCCACGAGCACGCCGAGCGCGGCCACGGATCGCAGACCATCGGCGCATCTGGACTCGGAGCATCCGGATGACCGCACGCTGCCTTCGCTCGCGCATCAGACCTCGACACTGCTCAACTGGTCCATCCTCGAGCAGCTGCGGCTGAGCAACGAGATTTATGCCGAGATGGCAAGGATGCAGCGTCTCCAAACCCTCATGCAGATCGGCGCGATGCCCGGAGCTCCTAATGGTGTCGGCGCAGATTACTACATGAACCTTCTGCGAGGTATTCCGCGAGCCCAAGCGCCCGACTCTATTCTTGGCCCAGAAGCTACCAGGAGCTGGGATCGACTTTCTTCGCCGAACCAGTATCTCATGCAGGCTGCTTCCGGCTTGAGCTTTGCACACGAGAGCATTCCCGCCCCTCGATCCAACGCTGTCACCGGGGCTTTTGCGGCAGCCGAGAAAAAGCTGACAGACTCTATCGAAGAATCCGCCGCTAGAGACCGAGCCTGGAAAGACGTGACGGACAAGGCCAGACAGGAGCTGCGCGACCGAAATCGCCATTCCGGAGCCGAAGCACGAGGAGATCGACCTGAAGCGCTCTCACCTTGAGCGTTGAAAGGCAAGTTCAACCGCACATGGGCGCGTCCTGCAGCTTCACACGTCTCTCCACCCAGAAAAAAAGTCTTAAATCCCAAAAAAAATAGTTGTTGATCCCGCAAGTTTGGCCTGTGCGCGCGTGTCAAGACCCTGTTCGAGTGTTGCTCTCACCTTCCCGCAGCTCCACCACGACCCTTTGCTGTGTGGTGCGACGAGCGAAGTCGTCCCTTCGTCCAGCCGCAGCCGCACATTATGTCGGAGGCCGGTACCTCGACAGACGCGGCAGCCGTCTCTTCTCCATTGACCCTTCGCGAGCAGCTCCGCCTGAAGGCGCAGCAGAAGCTCAGCGAGCAGGCCTCGACATCCGCATCTGCGGGCCGCAAACCCGCCACTTCCTCGGCCGCACTCGCGGTCGACGACGACGACGATGACGATGCGCTCGGCTCCCTCACGCTCGGCCGCTCCAAGCGTCAGGCGGCACTCAAGCGTCCCGCTACCTACAGCATCGATCCGACCGACGATGCGTCACGCCTGCACCGACATCCGGACGCGCTTGCAGGCTCGGTGGCGCACTATGCCTCGTCTTCAAAGAAGTACGCGAGCGTAGACGGTATGCTGCGCGAACGACAACGCAAGATCAAACGCGGCATCGACGCAGAGGGCTTCTCGCGCGCAGAGGCCATCGCCCGCAGCATGGAGCAGGAACGACTGGGTCGCATGGGCATCGCGTATTCCGACGACGAAGAGCTCACAGACATTCGCATCCCAGGCACCTCCAAGGCGGGCGCATCCTCATCCAGACCAAAGTCATCGGCGTCCTTTGAGCCGTCGCGCCAGGCTGGTCCTTCTGGCCACAGGACAAACGGGCATGCGCCGGAACCGACAGTGCAGGCGCTCTCCCCGACCATCCCTTCCTTTGTGTGGTCCTCACAGTCCGAGCTAGGCGACTCGGATGACGAGCAACACCGCAATTCAGCAGCGAAACCCGCGCTCGACGTGCAGAAGAAGCGATTGGCGGCTTCGCTCGCAGCCGTTGGTGCCGACGAGGACCAGAGCCGCGAGGCGCTCGACATTCTGCAGCGCGACATGCGCGACATGCGCGACGAGACGTTCCGTACTGCCGACCCGCACGGCGGACGCATCCCCCTCTACCGCCCGGGCAAGACGGTAGCTCCGGTCATCGAGGCGTTTTGCGAGGTGCCGAACTTGGGCGTGGCTGACGACGCAGCCGAAACAGCCAGCACAACGCGCGAGCGCATCTGGACGGCCACCTATCCGCACATCCTGTTAGCATGTGCGATCCCACCGTCGCTGCAGGTGCGATCGGCCGAGCTGACGCGCATCGTGACGTGGACCGCAGTGACGTGTCTGCTGGAGCGCGATGTGCTGCACAGCCAGCTGGCGTTTGGGCTGCTCGAGGCACTCGTGCTGCACCCGGACCAGTCGGCGTACCGCAACGAGCTACCGGGCGCGGTGGCGCAAGCGGCGGGTGACGTGCTGGCGCTTGTGCCGCGCGTGCTGCACCGCATCGGCGTCAGCGAGAGCGTGCTGGTCGAGTGCTTTCCCGACGACGCTGATGCGACCGACGGCCCATTCTTTGTCGTGACGCGCGCCAGGCCACGCACGCACGACCGACTGCCATCGTCGTCGCAGACCGCCAAGGTCGAGCAGGCGCGGCGAGCACCACGGTCGGCGCTCTACCTCACGCACGCGGAGTGCGACGAGCTGCTGGCGCACCTCGCGCGCGTCGTGCAGCTGGTGGTGCGAGCGAACAGCGGCGCAGTGCGCAATGGCGTGTCGCTGCTCGCTGGTTGGGTGGCAAGTATGGCGCTAGCGTGTGCGGCGGGCACCAATGTGGCGCTGGATGCGGCGGTGGGACAAGGCATGGAGGCGGTATTTGCAGCGGCGGCGAAAGCGGGGGTGTTGGGAGAGCTGCAGGAGGCCGTGGGCCGGCGCTTCTTTACCGCGCTCGAGCCAGAGTCGGTGGTGGTGAGGGCGCGCGTAGTGCAGGCGTTGCCGGGCGCAGGGCGGGGTGTACAGGCGCTTCGTGCGTGGCTGGGATGGTGCGTATTGACCGAGCATCTGGCATTGCCTGTCAAGGTCGATGCGGTGGTCCCGGCGGCCGAACCAGACGCAGTACCGTCGTCGGACCCGGTCGAAGCCGAGGAGGAAGCGAATGCGGCGGCCGCGCGTTTGCGGCGCGACAGTGCGTACTGGCGACGAGCGCGTTTCGGAGCATGGTCTCTCGACCTCTCTCTTCTTTCTCGCGCGGTGGATCCAAACGACCCCAAGTCGCCCTTCCACGTGGCCTCTTCCAGCGCCGACGACAGCGATGCGGGTCTAAGCCGTCTGATTGCAGCCGTCCATCTCCTTTCGCTCGTTCTGCGCGATCTGCCGGTTCACCTGTGTAGCTTCACGCACGAAGCACGCACGCCCACCAAATCCGACCCTCTCGGCCAACGCAGCAGCGCCAGTCTGCCACGAGCGCTCTCGCTCGCTCTGGCACCGTATGCCAGCATGAACCCGACGCTGGATGAAGGCCGCGTGCAGGAAGTGCGCTCCATCGTGGCGCGTCTGGACCAAGCCAATGCGAGAATCCGCGACAACCGCGCCGACGTCATCCTGCGCACACTCGCAAAGGACGCCCTACACCGCACCTCGCTTGCGCTCGAGTACCAACTCGCCTTGTACCACCCCGAATCCTCGTCCACCTCGTTCATCCAGTAATCTCGCAATGCAACCCGCACACACACGCAAAGGCGACACCCCGCATTGCGGCCACTGGAGCCTCGGAACGAAGAATGAAAAGGGGTTCCAGAGTGATCTGATTGAGAACGCAACGACGGTGCGTTTGCAGTGGGCTGGGTGTTCAACTGAACGAGCCGGCAAACATGGCGAGGAGGGTGACCCAGGCGCCCCTGCCGAGGCTCTCGATGCCCTCTTCGTCGACCATCTTGTTGAGGCAGTCGACGAGGCCGGTGTAGCGCGTGACGACGGGCGCGCCAAACTCGGCGGCGGCCTCTTCGGCGGTCTGCTCCTCGATGGGGCGCAGCGCGATGACGGGCTCGGGAGGCTCGCCGCCGGAAAACGAGGGAGGCGTGTAGCCCGAGTTGAAGCCGCCTGCTGCACTGTTGGAGCGTGCGGCAGGCTCATCGGTCTGCCCGAGCACGCGCGCGGCCTTGCTGCTGTTGGGCGCTTTGCCGTTGGCGGAAGGTTTGGCAGCCGGCGAGGCAGTGTCGGCATCATCATCATCGTCGTCTTCGATGGCGAACGAGGGACGACCGGGCAGCTCGCCAGGCGACGAGGGGAGTGGCTTGTCTGCGTTCGCCGAGGCGCTGTCGGACGACTTGCGCGTGGGGTCGGAATCCTTGTAGGAGCCGCCTGGCTGCGCCTGAGCGGCGGCAGTGGCCTGGTGCGAGTAGGGCGAGGGACCGGTGGCGTTGGATCCGTTTGGCACGCGTGCGTAGGCGCGGTGGAGCGGGTTCTGTCGCTCTGGACGCTGAGTGGAGAGGCGGATGATGGCGCACTCGAGCGGCGAGAGGATGATGACGCTGAGCACGTTCCAGAGGACAAAGATGGGCAGGCCGACGGGGCTGAGCTCGAGCATGTTGGAGTTGGGGCCCGAGTAGGTGTCCTGGTCGGGCGCGACGGGGGTGGCGCCGGGGAGGCCGCCGAGCGAGGGCACGGTGAGCTGGCGGACGATGCGCGTGGCGAGACCGATCCAGGCTACGTGGAGCACGTTGGCGGCGAGCAGACCGGGCAGGAGGTAGAGACGCCAGGGCTGGGTGAACTCGGTGTACGAGAGGAGCTCGCGCAGGTTCTCGCGCGGCGAGTGGATGGGCAGTATGCGCGGGTGCACGATGGTTCTGGTAGGAGATGAAGCGGAATGTCAGTACGCCTGTTTTGCATATAAAAAGGATGGCTGGCAACGTACCGGTCGGTGATGACGTTGAGCGGAAGCGCGGCCATGGCGACGAAGAGCATGTAAAAGAGGTTGGCAAAGAAGCTGAACTGACCGGGGCCAGCGGGACCGGCCTTGTATGCGCTACCGGGGGAGGAGGCGGATGCGCCGGAGAAGAAGATGAAGGTGAGGGTGCTGAGTGTGAAGATCTGGATGGCGACGGGGATGGAGCCCTTGTAGATGCCAGCCCAGCCCTCGAGGCGCTTTGTGCGGAACATCATGGAGAAGACGCCGGGGACGACGGGGCCGATCTTTGCGGTGGAGCGACGTTCGGAGAGGAGGAAGGAGGAGAGGGCGCGAGGCGCGGATGCCGAGGTGGCTGCGCCATCTTCGAGGACGTTGTCGAGGCTGACGGCCTTGGGGAGGTAGTTTGCGCGCAGACGGACGATGGCGCCGTTGAAGGGCTGCGAGATGAGCACCGAGAGGCCGATGGAGAGCGTGATGGCTATGAGAAAGACGACTGCGTCGAAGAGGAACATCTTGGAAGAAGGATGGTGCCGCGGATGTGGCTCGAGCTTGGGTCGTTGTTGTCCAAATAGGTCCGTGTCGCTTTTTCGAGATGCCTGCGATCGTCGTTGCTAGCGAATGACGGACGTTGTGGTGGATGTGAAGTAGGCGAGAACGGATAGACTCGACTCAGGGTTCAAGTTGGAGAGCCGCGTATCCGGATTGGATTGGAGAGTAACTTAGCCGCTGGGATGGCACGGTCCAGCAGCTGCGCTCCTCGCTCCTCGCTCCGTCACTCCGTCTGTCGGCTGAGTCGAGCGCGAGTCGAATGCAACAACCAACACAAAACAACACAGCCCGCCCCGATGCTCGACCTCGTCTTCGGCGCGTCGGCCGCCCTGAATTTCCACCCGCAGCCGTGCCGAGAGTCTCTGAGTGCCGGCTAAGAAAGGCATTTTTGAGCCTCTTTTCTGGCTTGCCTTTTTCGGTGCGCAAATTGATGCGCATCACAGTCTCCCTGCCCTTATGCATACTCGCTACCATCCTCGTATGCGACGCTTTCTTCATACCCTCAACTTTCCCATCGTTTGATGCTAGAAAGTATGCTCCCACCTGAGTCGACACAGCGAGCCGGGAAGAATGGCAAAAAAAAGGTCGCAAATGCGAAAAAAACGACACCAACAGGATTTGAACCTGTGCTCCCAGAGGGAATGGCATGTATTTGTTGAGCAGGATTTTGCTCTAGAATGCAGACGATTCTAGTGCCACGCGATAACCACTCCGCCATAGTGCCAATTGATGCTGGGTGCGGCCCGTACAGCGTAGATGTACACATTGAATTGCTTTTCGCTGAGAAGAACCAAGTATGGACGACACAGGCAAGAGCTCAACACGGGTCGACGAACAGCAGGAGAGCAGCTCAGTCATTGTCGGCAAGGCAGAGATTGAAGCACACTCGAAGGGAAGCGGGAAGCACCGTTTGATTGCGCGGATGGACCTACAAAAAGTACTCGACTGCCTCGTGCTTGCCGTTGGCGGTGGGGCCTCCGTTGAGGTTGTGCTGGTTGGGACCGTCGCGTTCGTTTTCCGGAGCGGCTTGGAAGGTGTTGAAGTGTTTGCTGCCGTCGGGGAATACCTCGAGGATGGACGCCATGTTGCCGCAGCGGTAGCAGTAGTTGGGTGCGCTCCATACCGTGCTGAGGCGGTCGTCGTAGAGTACGCTGAAGCCCTCCATGCACAGCTGGTGGGCGCGCAGGATGTGGTTCATGTTGTTGCGGTGCAAAAAGTGCTTGACCACCGACGCTCCAAACGTGTAGCCGGCACCGCGCGGAGAGATGGCAAACTCCTCCTTGTCCGGATCGGGATCCGACCATACCAGATCCGCCATGGGTCCTTCGTGCGGGATCTCGCGGAAGCGATCGATGATCTTGATCTGGTCAATGTAGTGCACCGAAGGCGACAGGCCACCGTGCACGCAGAAGATCTGGTCGTCAATCACCACGGACAGCGTGAGAAAGTCAAACATGTCGGTGAAGTACGTCCATACGTTGGCCGAGCCGTACTTGCGCTGGCACTCGGTGTAGAAGCCGTACGTCTGCGTCACCGCGCGCGACTCGTGGTTGCCTCGAATCAGCTGCACCCGATCCGGATACCGCAGCTTCAGACACGTCAACAGCGATATCGTCTCCACCGAAAACAGCCCGCGATCCACATAGTCGCCCAAAAACAGGTAGTTGGTATGCGGGGCGTAGCCGCCGATCCGGAAGATCTCTATCAAGTCGTAAAACTGGCCGTGGATGTCGCCTACCACCGTGACGGGCGCCGAAATGTGTACCACATTCGACTCGCGCATCAGAATCTCCTTGGTCTTTTCGCAGATCTCCTTGAGCAGCGCCTCGCCCAGCAGCTGCTTCTTGAGCAGCGTCGCAATGCACGCATCCAGATCAAACGCCATCCTGCCCTGCCCTCTGAACGCGCACGCACACCGTACGATGTGCTGGCCAACCGCGCAGCCCTCGCTCTTCTGTCGAGTCGCGACGCTGGATCGAGCGCAGGCAACAGCTTCGGCAAGCAAGTCGTTGGTTCAAGGAGCCGTCCAGTGGGATGCTGAAGCGGAGCTGCGTATTGATGTCTGCGGACCGTGCCTCGCTCAGCGAGTTGAAGCCCTTGAACGACTTCTTGTTGTTCCGCGCTTGTCGAGCCTTGCGTCGCGGTTCGTCTCCGTGGTATTGTGTGCGCGAGCCGTTCCAAAATGCTGGGGTATCGAGAAAGGCTGCACTGAAGTGGCCGGCTGTTCCGGTTGACTGCGAAACGAACGATGAACTGGTTCTGGCTCTTCCCTATGCCTGTCGTACGCAATATAATCCCGCTGTCGATGTGTGCCAAAGCTTTCGCGTCTGTCGAAGGGTGAGGCGAAGAGCGGCCAGCGTCGAATGCCGGCGATGCTGAGGGTGGAGATGGCAGATGCAAGAGTGGCGGCGCGTTCGGATCAGGTGTGGAGCGGCTCCCACACCTTCCGACCGCGGACAAGTGCAAGTCCGCAGCGCTCGAAATTCCGCAAACTTGTTACATCACGCTCTCGTACATCTCCCAGTTTTCGCACTCCATCTCCAACACGCACGATTGCCAGCGACACAAACACAGCACAGGATGTGAACTACGAGTCATGCTGAATTGTCTTCGGACGCAAGCGTATGAACAGCGCCAAGGAGCGTGCAACGCTCTCTACAAGGCGAAAGCGAAAAGACGAGAGAGCACCGACCCCGACTGCTCGGAGGTGCGAATGAGAAACAGTGAAGACAAAGAAGGGATGAAGATGCACTGAGAAAGGACTGTAAGCTGTCACGAGCGCCCGCACCAGCGCTTCCAACAGGCAAAGCCAGTCGGGCGCACATGGCACAGGCGCTGCGAGACGGGTATGTAAGAAGCACACGCCGCCGCTTGTGCGACGGCGTCCATGCTGCTTTTGAGGCCGAGAAAGAGTCGCCACATCACATGACGTAGGCGCTGGGCACGACACCGGTCTGGCCCTGCGTGTTTCTAGCGAGCCACCAGTGGCGGTCCTGGTCGTCGAGGATCTCGATGGGTTCGCCCGCTGTCAGCGGCAGCTCCGACTCGTGGTTGGGCACAAAGTTGTAGCGCGCGTGCGCGGGGATGCCCTCCATAGGCGAGTCCTCTTCGTCGCCTGCCGCTCCGATCGCCGTTGCAGCTACGGCGCCCGTGCCCACCATGCCGGTCGCGATGCCCGCCTCGGCGTCCGAGAATCCGCCGTCGTCGGTGAGGTACTGCGTCTGCACGCTCTGCCCGGTGCGGCCACCGTCGCTGTGGTAGTTGGACATGGCCGCCTCGTCGCCAAGCCCGCGGTCGTAGCCTGGCGAGCTCTGCCGACTGCGAGCAGCCGCAAGCGCAGCTGCACCGCCCGCTCCCGCCGCGCCGAATCCGGCTGCCGCACCGACACCTGCACCGTGCTCGCCCAGCATGGCGTTTTCCGTGGCGGCATTGAGCGTGGCGAGCAGGCTCGACGGACGCTTCTTCTCGCCCACACCGAGCGAGTCGTCGCTCGCCGACACGGGCACGTCCACATTGCGTGGCTCGGGCCGTCTCCTCGCCACCGCCCAGATGAGGCCGAGCAGCACGAGCAGGAAGACAATTCCAAGACCGATGGCGATCGAGATCAGGATCACCAGTCCCACCGCAAGGTGATGCAGGTTCGGGAAGCGCAGCACCTCGGTGGATCGGCTGAACGCACGCACGATACCCGACGATCCATCCAAATTGGTGGCGAGCAAGAATGGCGTGTAGCTCTGGCCGTCGAAGAATACGCTCGAGACGTTGCCGTAGTCCTGCGTGGCAAGAGCACCGCTGACCACGAGCAGACGGTTGTCCTCCAGGATGGCGTTGCTAGGATGCGCCTTGGAGATCGGCACAAACGTGAGCTGCGAGATGCCGGTCGCGGGCAGGAACTGGCCGCCGTCGACGGCGGTGTACTGAGTGCCGTCCCATCTTACGAGGTAGGGTGAGTTGCCGTCGGCAGTTCGGCCTGCGACAAAGATGGCATTCGCATTGAGATCGTCGACGCTGACTGCCGTCGCCGGGCCCGGAACCTGTCCAGAGCCGCTGCCAACGCTGCCGAGATTGGCCCACATCTGCGTGTCAAAGTTGTAGCTCGCAAGCGACGACTCGGCGCCATTGATGGTCATGGAGCCCGCCAAGATGAGCTGGTTGGCCTTGCTGCCGGCAAAGTCGATGTCCGAGATCTGTCCACTCAGACCTGCGCTCAACGGACTCCAGCGCATCGCACTGGTGTCCCAGAGGCACACGTTGAGGCAGGGCAGCGAGCCGGCAGAGGCGAAGCTGCCAGACACGATGACGGTGGTCGCGTCCGGTCGGTGATCGATCGAGGTCACGGAGAGCACCTGGCCAGCACTAGCAGTGAGTGGCGCACCATTGGTGACCCAACTCGCCTTCTTGAGGTCGTACGCCTCGAAGCCGCCGTCTCCACCCACATAGAGCATGTCAGAGTCGACGAGCAGCGAGCGAATGACAGACACCGCGGGGCGCGTCGCCGACACGGGCTGGGCCGGGAACGCGGTGGCCGCGCCGGTCGAGTCGTCGTAAAAGGCGAGGTTGCGAATGCCGTTGGTGGTGGTAAAGTTGCCTCCAAGGATGTTGACAAACGAGCCGTCGTCGCGCTCCCAGAAAGCGCTGGCCAGGATCTCGTTCTGGCCGCTCGACTGGAGCGAGGCAGGCACCATGATGTCTGCTCGCTTTGTGAGGGACGGCACTTCGGCAGAGAGATCGGCTTCACGCGCCTCGAATGGCGATCGCGGAAGCATCGAGAGCAGCCTTGATCCGATACCCGAGCCACTAGCCGCGCCAGCCGCTCCGTCTCGACGCTGCAGTCGCTGCTGCGGTGGCTGCTGCTGCGATTGATGCTGCTGCCTCCAGCCAGTGACGAGATTCCTTCTGCGCGCATTGCTGGCCGACGACATGGATGCGCCAGCCGATCCGGAAGGAGTGGCAAACTGGAAGTTGAGCGACTCGACAACAGGCAAGGCGCCCGACTTGTCCGGTGCACGCAGCTGCGCGGCGCCCGAGGCGGACTGTAGGCTGACGGCACGAACGCTGCCGGCGAGGAAGCTCTGCTGGGTCGAGGCGGAGAAGTCGGCGAAGGCGGCGGTCATCTCTGCCGATACAAAGCTGGACTGCGTCTGCCAGCTGTTGGACGTCGAATTCCACACGGCGTAGCCGCCAGACTGTCCGGTGCCGTTGACGGTCTCGAAGCCACCGGCCACGAGCAGCGTGTCGGAGCCGAGCGGGTAGATGGCCGAGACGGCGCCATCGGGTCCAGCGCCGAGTGCGGACCAGCTGTTGGCATCGGGGTCGTAGCGGGCAAGGTAGGGTGCAGCGACGGCGCTGTCAGCCGTGGCGGTGAAGCTGCCTCCGACGTAGATAGAGTTGCCAAGACTTGCCAGCGCCTGGACGGGACCGTTGAGACCGCCGTTGGCAATGGCGATGGGCGCCATGCCGGCCGAATCGGCCGCGAAGCCTGCGAGGTTGGCAAAGCTGACGTTGCCCGTCGAGGCGAAGGAGCCGCCGACGAAGGTGCGCGTTCCGACCGAGGCGATCGAAGTGACGGCGGTGTCGCTCGTGTTGCTTCGCACTCCGTACTGGAATAAGGTGGTGGCGAAGGCATCGAGCTGGGTCATGCTGGTGTTGGGCAGCAAGCCGGTGCCGTTGGCCTGGATGGCGGTCATGGCGGGATCAAAGAGGTTGTACTCGAGCACGCCAAAGCCCGAGGTACGGCCCATCTGGAGGGTCTCGTTGCTGTTGAGCAGGAGGAAGCTGACCTTGTCGGCAATGACGGTGAAGTCGGCGCCACCCGAGGGGGCAGGTGCGTCGTCGGGGATGGACAGGATCACGGTGGGCTGGAAGCCATCGCCGGCCTTGTTGACCTCGCCACTGTAGATCTGGATGGTCTGATCCTGCTCGTTGGTCTGGGAGACGCGGGTGATGTTGCCCTGAGAACCCTGGACGGCAAAGACGTTTGCATTGACCTCGGTTCGCTGACCACACTGACCGGAGGCGCGGCAGCCGGGGACAAACATGCTGATGGTGTAGTTGCCGTTGTAAGGGATGTCGACGGCCCAGGTGACGGTGGCGGAGTTGTCGGAGGCGATGTTGGAGTAGGCGTCGGTGAATGCAAGCACGGGCTCGGTGGTGCCAGCGAGGGTGGTGATGGTGCTGGTGTACCAGCCGCCCTGGTTGGTGGCGGAGGAGTCGGTGCCGTTGACGCCGCTCTGGTTGGAGTTGCACGCACCACGGTTGAGCGCGTTGTAGGCGTAGGCCCAGCCGCCTTCGGAGAGGAGCTCGAGGACGTGAAGACCGGCGCCAGCGCCGTAGTGTTCGGTGGCGGTGAACTGGACACCGGTCAACTGCTTGACGCCGCCGGGGGCATTGTTGGCGGGCGTGTCTGCAATGAGGAAGTCCTGATAGGGGATGGAAGCGTCGTGGGCGAGGGTGCAGTTGGTGGTGCAGGTGACGTTCTGGTTGGTGGTGGGGTCGAGGTAGATGAGCTCGAGCTCGGTGTTGTCGGGAATGGAGACGAGGCCGAAGGTGCGGGTGCCGCGGCCGTCGACAAAGGTGTTGCCGAGGCGAATGGCACGCACGTTGAGCGCGCGGAAGGCACGGGCTGTGAGACGACCGTCTACGCCGTCCTCGAAGAGGTAAGAGTTACCGCTGCCGTCGGGACCCTGCGGACAAAGGATCTGGGCCGGGTTGTCGAAGCCTGCGTTGTTGGAGCTGGGGCCGCCGACGAACTCGACCTGGCCGAGGGAGATGGGTGTGAGGGCGGCGGTGAGGGGCGAGGCGGAGGTGTTGGTGCCCGAGGCGGCGGCTGCGTTTGCGCCCGTGGAAGCGAAGCGGGTGTCGAAGCTGCCGCCGAATCGGACGAGCGAGTTGTTGCCGCCTGGAGTAATGGTGTTGACGGTGCCGTCGAGACCGCCAAAGTCGACGGGGTTCCAAGCGGACGCGGCGACATCCCACTGGGCGAGGTTGCCGAGGTATCGATCTGTCTTGCCTGCGACTGGACCCGAGAAGGAGCCACCTGCGATGAGCTGTTGGTGGTCATTGTCGCAAAAGACGGCGTTGACGGTGCCGTCGAGGCCGCCTGCCATGTTTGTGAATGCCTTGGTGGAAGGGTTGAAGGCGGCGATGTTGCTGACGGAGATGCCGCCTATGGAGAAGAAGTTGCCAGCGACAAAGACGGTGTTGGGTGGCGACTGCATCTGGCAGATGGCACGGATGGTGCCTCCCTCTTCGGTTGCGCTGATGAAGGAGACGGAACCATTGGTGGCGCGGGAGAGGAGGGAGGAAGCGGCCGGGTCGTAGGTGGCGTTGGGGCTGGCGGAGGAGCCGGTCTGGTTCCAGAGCTCGATGCCTGCAAACGAGCCAGCGATGCTGACTGCGCCGAGGAGGTCAAAGTCGATGCTGGGGAAGTTGGCGATGGAAGCGGAGGCGAGTGGCACGGCAGCGGTCAGCAGAAGAGCCGACTTTGCGACGGCACGCGCGAGCCGCGATGTTGGAGAGGATGCATGCCGGCGTGATGAGTGGGAGGTGGCGGCCGAAGCGCTGCAAGAGCTCGAGGCTGGCATGGCGATCGCGAGGAGAGGTCTAGACGGGGACGACGCGAGAGCACGGCTCGGCTGAAGGGAGCGCAAGGTGTAGTCGCAGAGTGATCAGAGCATCACAAGGCGCGGTGGAAGCTGGGGAAGGATGTGTGTTGGGGACGCTTGTTGAGCAGGTCTGGTTCGAAGCGATGACGATAGCTGATCAAAAGAGTGTAGAGGTGACGCAAAGACAAGGGCGAAATGTTGCAAGACAAAGCAAAAGATGCGTTCGAGACGAAGCAGGCCAAGAGGAACGCGCTGATCTCAAGATGGGCAAAGCCGAAGTGAAGCGTGACGGCGCAATGAGGCGAGACGTGCGAAGAGCGCGGAGAGTCGTGTGGTGGCGAGGATGCGGATGCGGATGAAGATGAAGATGAAGACGAGGATGAGGGTGGCGGAGGCAGGAGAAGATGATGTGGGACGGAGGCTAGAGTCGGAGGTGCTGCGGTGGATGGCGTTGGCGTTGAGAGCCCAAGTCGCTACTCGGACGGGTCGATTTGCAGTCCGCCAAAATTGCAACACACGCGAGTCAAAGGAGAAAAATCACGGGCAGCAGCTCGCGCTCTCCCTCTCGCTCAACCTCACGCTCAGCCTCGTGCAGTTCATGCGCGCTCTCTCAGCGTCCGCCTGGCTACTGATCCGACTTGGACTCTCCTCGGAACCAGTTCGGATGGCGATGGCAGAGCGGAATCATGCTCGCAGCTCACAACGATGTACTTTTCCTTCCAGCCTCACTCGTGTTCAATCACATCAAGACGGAGCGGATGAGATGCATGGGCGAGATGAAGTGTGCCGATCGCGCCCACTTGGGCTCGAAACTGTCATAGCTGGAGAGGAGAGGATAGGAGGAATGGGTGGGCGCTGCTCGCTCCTGCTTTCAGCTTGAGTGTAGCTAAGTTAGCTCGGGAGGGAGCCCGCGATGATGCTGTTTAGCGCGGTGCATTGGTCGAATTGCAGATCATAGCCAGCTGCAGCTGCAGCGAGCAGCGTTGGCAGAGAATGACCGAGTCGTTGCCGCCCGACGACTGCATTTCGCAGCGAGTGCGAGCGCCGGGCGTCGAAAGGAATCTTTCTCTTGCATGTCTGCACGCGCAACACGCAACAGGGGTCGCGCGCCGTAAACAGACTCTCTCTCTCTCGACAGGGTCTCTCTCGGTTCGCCTGACGAGCGCTTTTGTGCTGACATGCGAGCTGAGACCAACACGCGTCCGAGATTAGAGGACAGCCCCACCCAAACTTCGAATGGATCATTTCGAAATGTTAGGGCGAGCGAAGCAAATTAAACCGAATTTCCCTCGTTTCCGTGCGAAAGCAAGCCGATCACGGCTGGGCTTGCAAAAGCGCTCCAAATCATAGGCTGGGGCTGCATACGCTGGCGCTACAGAGGAGAGCCTGTCGCCCTCGGAGCCGATCGAGTGGAGTGTGGGCTGCGAGAAGGAGCCATGTCGACGGATTGATACTGTATCGCTCCTCCTACCTTGATCACGTCGACGACCGCTTCTCGCCCCACATCGCATCCGTCATGGTCGCCACACCCTCGCTCAGCATGGCGCTGCGACGCGCTGCCGCCACTCGTGCGTCGCTCGCTTCCGCTTCCGCACGATCGCTCCACACCACCCGCACCGTCCGTGCCGGCGCCTCGTCCTCCTCGTCCTCCGCCGCCGCTGCCGATGAGGAATACCCGTCCGAGGGCTTCGGCGCTCCCATCTGGCGCTACACCTTCCTCGGCGCTATCGCCGCTTTCGGCCTGTACCGCATCTCGACGCTGCACGCCGACCCGCACCCGTCCAGAGCCTCGTCGTCCGGCCGCTCCGCACCGGGCAACGAGTCGGAAGACAACCTGCACGTAGAAGGCCAGAAGCCCTGGCTGACCCGCTACATCGAACACTGGACCACCCCCTCCTCCGTCTGGAAGGAGCGCAATGCCAGGCACCTCGAACTCGTCAAGGAAAAGGCAGAGGAGCGCCTCCTCTTCCAGGACGCAGAACGCCCGCCCGTACACAGGTTGCGATACACCCAGTGCGTACCCGCCTCCGCCTTTCCCTCGCATATCGACACCCTTGCTGACCTTATTTGCCTTGTTGCGTCGTCTTGTGCCATCGTAGGATCTTCGAGCAGGCATCGCCTCACGGCATCGGCGCCGGCTCGCAAGTCGACCTCTCGGACCTCAAGATCAAGCGCGCATCCGAGTAGATCTCTGATATCCCATCCTGCCTCGTCCTGTTGTACTCCAGCTTCACTCGCTCACCATCGATGCGGCTGGAGCACGTGCAATAGAACAGCCTCTCTCTCCGACCTTGCATCGCCACTCTCTTCTGATGCTGATAACAAACGAGGGCACCTCGACACACTCGCATCACTTTTGCGCACCACCACAGCAGGCTTACAATTTCGCAGCTGGCTTCTGAGCGATCTCGTGCGCGGCTTGACGGATCTTGGCGCACAGTTCTTGCGCCTCGTCATCATCCAGCTCGTCGCGCCCGTGGCCGAGCCGCATGAGTGCAAGCACGTTCGTCGATGGCGTTGGCGTCGCCTTTGCGCTTGCGTCTGTACTCGCACGTGGTGCCGCAGGAACAATGTGGAAGTGCACCTTTCGACATCCCACAAACGGCATCGTCAGCGATATTGGCCGCAATGCGCTCGTGCGCCAACGTCAAAGCCGGGCAAACTCACGTGAGGTACGAGTTGAGCGTAGATCTGGTTCGTGATCACCTGTAGTCTCTCATCATCCAACGCTGTGCATGAGCGCAATCAAACTGTCAGCGCCTGTCCAGCAACGGCGATCCAAAGATCAGGGCAGTCAGGGGCGTACCTCTGCCAATGGCTTGCGTCGTGCGTACGAGCGCCTGCGATAGCGACGCGGCGGTGGCAGCGTCCAGATGCGACAGCTGCTGAACGTGCTTCTTTGGAATCACCAGCGTATGACCCGGTCGCAGAGGAAGAATGTCCAGAAACGCCACGCTCTCCTCGTCCTCGTATACGACGTGCGCCGGCGACTGCCCGGCTACGATGCGGCAGAACGCACAGTCCTCCTGCATCTCCCGGCTCGAGTCGAAGCGCGCCAGTGTGTGCGACGTCATGGTGTCTGCGAGCCTACACTGCGAACGGAGACGTATCGAGCTGCTTTGCGTGATGCAGTTGAGAAAAGCACCGGTAGAAGCACGTTCCGGTTGTTGTCCTCCGCACAGTTGCCGGTTCAGAGGTGGTGGAGCGCTTGATGGCACCGGATCGGGATATCTCTGTGAAATGCAGCTCCGATGCGCGGATCGGCCTCCACTTCAGTTCGCCGTGGTGGCACCCTCGACCCTGACCGCCTCCTACCACCACCGCACCCTAACCACACTGCAACTTGACTGCAAAGCTCGACTACACTGGCCATGGCGTACTACGGCACCACACCCCTCTTTGCACCCGGCCCCAACCCTCGTGCACCCGCGCTGCCGTGGCGCTCGGACGACTTTTACGCCGTCGACGATCGCGTGCGCGGCGGCACGAGCCACTCGCACATGGGCATCGTTCAGTACCCGCCCAACAGCCGTGGCGAAATCATCTTCTCCGGCTTCCTCGATACCACCACGCTCGGCGGCGCCGGATTCGCCTCCCAAGCGTCGTCCAAGCGCTTCCCCGTCCCGCTTGCCAAGGAGCGCTTCCACGGCCTGCGCATCGTCGTGCGCAAACAGCCCAGCTGGACCGAACCCTCGAATCCTCCCTCGGACGGCTCCATCCCAGGCGGCGGTAAGGCTCCCGTGACGTCGTTCGTGTTCGAGATCAAGACGCAGGAACCGCCCAAGCGGCCGGATGGCAGGCGGGAGAGCGTCGTCGTGTGGGAGTGGAGCTTTGCCATCCCGCAGCAAGACGGCGTCCAAGATGTGCGGCTCAATGCGCAGCTCACCAACGACGACTTTTGGGTCTTCGACTCCACCTGGGACGATTTCAAGCCCATGTACCGCGGTAGGCCTGTGGACCCGGATACCGCGGGCGAGTTCAAACCCGAGGAGACGTACGAGTGGAGCCTCATGGCACGCAGCAACTTCCAGGCGCAGAGCGGACCCTTCACACTCCAGCTGCACAGCCTGAGTGCGCTTCCGACACCGGATGAGCTGGGCGCTTCCAACGCACGCGCGGTGGATGTGCATGAGCAGACCGGCCCGGCAGATGCGGCGTGGGCGGACGAAAAAGGCTTGCCCGCACATTCCTTTCGAGCTGGCCCCACAGAGGGCGCATCTGTAGCACGAACAACCCCGTCATCAGGAGAGTACTATGGATTTGCACTCTTCATCTTTGCCACGGTGCTGTGGATCGGATGGGTGCTATGGGCGCTCCTGCCGGACAGCGTGCTGCTCGCGATGGGCATCACTTGGTACCCGAACCGCGAGTGGGCATTCCTGCTGCCCGCATGGTCACTGTTCGCCGTGCTGGCCATCTACGCCGTGTTCATCGCCAACAATCTGCGCAACACGCCCGAGCTGGACGACATCGCCAACGTCACAGGTAAGTGCGAGCCACCCATCCGCGCATCAAGGACTAGACACTGATTCGTTTGGCGGAACAGATTCGCATCAGAACGTGCTGCATGTCGATATGAGCCACAGTGCGCACACTCACCTATTCGAGGACCAAGAGAAGTTGCGACAGTCCATGCACGACATCTACGACCTTCCACCCACCTATGTCTCGCGCCAAACTCATCTCTAGCCTCGCAATCCTCCAATTGGTCACAATTTGTCCCGCACGCTGTCGTGTGAAGTGTGGTATCAAAGTACGATTCGGAATCCGCATGTGCTGTGGGAAGCGCAGGGTATTATCAGCGGAAGAAAGTGCGGGCCATTGGACCTGGCTTGACGAGCTTGCTCGACGCTCTTGGCTTGACTTTTTTGCTCTTCGCGTTGGCAGCCGGTGCTGGGGCTGGCTTGGCATGGTCGATGGTGAACTCGGGCAGATCGGGGATATCGTCGTCCAGCCATCCGTTTCGGAACGAGTCGTGTTCGCGCTCGTACATGGGGCTTTCCACGGCGTCGGATTCGTACACTGCCAGCCACTGGTTCTTGGCTTGCGGTGGAAGCAGGCTCGGTTTGGCACGCGGCGTTGTGTCCGGTGCAAGCGCTACGCGCTGTGCACCCGAATAGCGCGACTTGGTTCTACGCCCCGCCTTGGCCGGCAGTGGAGTCGAGTGGGCAATCGATCCAAAGTGCGCCGTTAGGGCAGGCACGTGCGAGGTCTCATCCGTCGCCGTCCAGTCCGCAAGCCCGTACGGCGAGGGCGAGGGGAGCGCAGCATCGAGCAGCATCGCTCCTCCCGGTGTATCGATGCCGGAAAAGTCGACGATCGAGCCTAGCGGAGGCGTCGATGCACGCACGATCTCCGATACACGCCGCGCCTTGATCCCCAGTGACGACGTGGCCAGACTCGGCGTTCGCACCGCACTTACACTCGCAGCAGCCATGCTGTCCACCTGCGTCGTAGCAGCCGCAGGAGCAGGAGCAGGCATCGAGGGTGCACCACCGACGCGCAACGCTCCACTGTTGACCAGCGTCGCCCGCGGCGCATTGCGCTTCGCATCCCTCTTGACAGCCACCTCGTCTGCCTCGATTTCGACCGCATTGGCAAGCAGCGTATCGTCATCCACCGCCTCCTGGTGTTCAGTCTCTTCCGCCGCTGCATCGTCCGCCTCGATCGCGTGTACAGACAGGTTTCCGTACGAGCGGCGCTTCTTGATGGAAAGCCCCGTGTGCACGGGCAGTGGCGGGTGTGCCAGCGGCTCTGCTACCCGCTGCGGCGCCTCCTCCTCTTGCTTGCGCGCCTGCTTGGGCGCTGCCTCCACCGCCTTGTGCACTTCCGGCAGCAGCGGCTGCGCGCTGAATCTTGGGCGCGCAGCGGAGAAGGGCGTCGCGTTGGTAATCGGCGCAAAGTTCGTCCTGACCGGCGTCGAGACACGCTGCTCCGCTCTGGGCAGCTCCACCTTGGCTGCTGGTGTCGCAGCTGCAGCCGAGACCTTGCGGAGCAGCTGTGCTGGATCGGCGGACGCCCTGAGCACGCGCGTGACTTCGGTCCTGGGTCGCTGGCTCAGCGGCACATCGACCGCCCTGAAGCTGGCGAGCTCGCGGCTGAGCTGCGCATTCTCGTGCTCGAGGCGCTCGATGTGCATGCGGAGGCCGACGTTGTCGCGCCTGGCGTCGTCGAGCTCGTGTCGCACGCGATCCATGTACATGATCTTCTGGTTGGGGTTGTTGTGTCCCAGCAGCTCGGCATTGAGCGCCGACAGCGTAGCCTTCTCCTGCTCGGCCAGCGCGTTGCGCTCGACGAGATGTTTGGCCTGCTCGGCGAGCTCGTGGTAGAGCGCTTCGAAGTGCTCGGCGTGGTCGAGGAGTGCCGCCATGCGATCGCGCTCGTCGCGCCATGCCTCCTCGGCCACGCGTGCATTCTGCAAAGACGCAGCGATGGATCGTGCGGCTTCGGTCTGCGCCTGTGCCTCCTTCTTGGCCGCTGCTGCCTCTTCCAGCGCGCCCGCAAGTCGACGACGCAGAGGCTCGAGCTCGGCGAGCTGCGAGACGAGGTTGTCCACCTCGCGCGTCTTGGCAGCCACCGAGGTCTCGAGCGTTGCGACTTGTGCGCGCACGGCTGCGAGCGCTTCCTCGGCTTGCTTGGCGTCGTTGGAGCGAGAAAGGACGAGCTGCTGCAGCTCACTCGCCTCTTGCTGAAGCATGGCGTTGTGCGACTGGACGTCGTCGAGATGCACACGCAGCAGCGCTGACGACATGTCGCCTGCGTCGATCTCTCCTTCCGAATTCGAGTCGCTTGCTGAAGTCTGCTGCGTGCTCTGACGCTGTTGCTGATCCTCGAGCTGCTGTGCGATGAGCGTGTCAGCGAGGTGACGTTCGGCGTGGAGCTCTGTTGTGATGCTGACGAGATCAGCCTGTAGCGTGGCGGCGAGACGCTTGGCAGTGTCACGATCGTCCTGGACCTGCTTGACGACGGCGACGAGCTCGTGGATCTGAGCTGCGCGCTCGTCGGAGAGCGACTCGAGTTGGATTTGCTGCGAGGCGGCGTGGTGCCACCTTGCCATCCAGGATTGCGTCTCTGCGCGAGAGCCGAGCTTGACGGCATCGATCTGCTCCGATACCGCCTTTGCGATCACGGTGAGGTTGTGCGCATACTGTTGCTCGGTCTGCTCGAGCTCGAGCTGCAGCTCCTCGAGCTCGTCGTGCATCTCGGAGCGCTCCTGCTCGGCTGCGGCCTGTTGGTCACGAGCGCTGCGCGCCGCCTCGTCCGTCTTGGCATCCAGCTGGGCCTGAAGCTCCTGGATGCGTGCGTTGAACTCGTTTTCGATCTTGCGCGCGTACTTTTGCGAATCGATCAGAATCACCTTGTCCGAATCGCGCTCTGCCTGAAGCTCGTCGATTTGCTTCTGCTTTTCGGCCACCAGATCGTGCGACGCGGAACCTTGCAGTTTGAGCGCGTCGAGCTCGGCCTGGAGGGCGGAGCACTTGGTCTGGTATTGCTGCCACTTTGCGCTTTCTGTGGCAATAGACTGACGCGCTTCGTTGAGCTCGTGCTTGCGCCTGTCCTGTTCCTTGCGGAGCCTTTCGGTGAGGTCATCGATCTCGCTCTGTCGGCGTGCCTTGGACTCCTCATGGACCTTGTGCAGCTCTGCGAGACGCGCCTGGAGGTCGGAGAGCTTGCTGCTCTTCTCCTTGAGCGATGCATGCGCCTTCTCCCACTTCTCGATGCCGTGCTTGAGCTTGGCTTCGCGCTGTGCGGCGAGACGGAGCTCGGTCTGCAGGTCGCCGAGCTGGTTGTGCGCAGTATCCTTTTCTCGCTGCAGGTCTTGGATCTTTGCCTCGGCTTTGGAGAGGCGGTCCTCGAGCTTGATCTGTGCCTTTGCGGGCTGCGCTGCGGCAGTGGATGCTGTGGCCGGGGCGATGTTGGATCGAGCGCTGGGAGCGAGTGGGCGTCGAACGACGCTGATCACCGCGGGCGGTGCACCCGTTGGAAGCGGTCGTTGCGACATGACGGCGGTACCTGGCGCTACAGGCTAGTACGCCGAGCCTAGCCGTCGTCGGATGATATCGAGTGGATGATGGAGGTGAGAAGTAGCTTGATTTGCCTCCACAAAATGTGCACGGCAGCGACCAAAGTCCAACACCTTTGCAGGGTCTTGCGCCTGTAAATACGGCAACGCGCCTCCATCCTGCAGCTCGCCCTTCATCGGTGTTGAATTCCAGTCAGCTCATAGCTTGGCGCGAGAGGGTCACGTGCTCGAAGCCAGCGTGACGGCCTAACATGATTCGAATCTTGCCCGCCGAGCTGGAAGGCGTGTAACACTCGACTGCCTCCACCGCACGAGCCGCTCACCAAACCAGCAAGTCTTCGACCACCATCGTCTTCTCAACACCACAGCTTGCTTGCACTGGACTGGACTTGGAGTCATGGCGACCCTCTCGTCCGCTCCGGCGCCAAAAGATGCGGCCGTCACTCAGCTGCAACCGCCGCGGCCCCCGTCGAAACAGCCTACACCACAGCTGCCGCACGACCTTGCTCTCCAGATCGACCAAATCCTGTCCAAGCCCTCGGCGCAGCAGACATCGTCATCAACACACTCGCTGTCCTCCTCTTTCAGCTTGTCGGACCGTTCTTCACTCGCAGCCCAGCTCGACTCGCTGCTTGCCCAGTCGCTCCCCAAGGATGAACCCATCAGTCTGGCTGCCATCGACCGTGTACAGGCCGTGCTTCGACTGCAGATCCAGGCATGTCGAGACCGCATCGCTCAGCTCACCGCCGAGCTCGAGTCCGAAATCGACCAAGACCGCATGTCTCACGTTCAAGACGCCATCGCCGCCCTCCTCGAGCAGCTCCTCCTCATCCGCGAAAAGGCGCGCGAGTCCGAAAACGTCGTCAAGGAGATCACTCGCGACATTCGCAACCTCGACATTGCAAAGCGCAACGTCGTCTCCAGCATGACCGCACTCAAGCGCCTCCAGATGCTCGTCAACGGCGTCGACCAGCTCCAGCGTCTCGCCGAGTCCAAACGCTACCGCGAGGCCGCATCCTCCCTCCAGGCCGTCCGCTCCCTCCTCGACTTCTTCCAGGCATACCGCGGCGTGGAACGCATCGCTGCCGCCTACAAACAGGTCAACGAGCTCCAGTCCACCCTCCGCACAAACATCACAAAGGACTACGAAACCTTCTTCCTCCACGATCCCAACCGCCCCGTCCGCTCCACCAGCCTGCCCGAATCGGCGCTCGTCATCGATGCCATCGGCCCGGACGCCAAGGCTTCGCTCATCGACTGGTACTGCTCGCTTCAGCTCCGCGAGTATCGTCGCATCTTTCGCGCCACCGACGAGGCCGGTCAGCTCGACAACGTCTCGCGACGCTTCGCCTGGTTCCGCCGCATCCTCAAGATCCACGAAGACGAGCACGCACCCGCCTTCCTCGACCACTGGCATGCAGAGAGGTGGCTCATCCGCAAGTTTGCAGACGTCACAAAGGAGGACCTCCGCAGCGTTCTCATCCGCGAACAGTCCCGCCTCAACGTCGCAACCCTCATGGAGGCGCTCAACTCGACGCTCGAATTCGAGGCCGCCATGGCGCGCAAGTACAACATGCCCTTCGAAGAGCTCATCGCGCCCCCTCCTGCCTCGACCGGTGCCGGCTCGCAGCCGCAGTCCCAGCCGCAGCCGCAGGTGCAGACGTTGTCCGCCATCTTTGACCCCTACCTCGGCGTCTTTGTCGACGCCCAAGACCGCGCCCTCTCCGAAATGTTTGTCCAGTACCGACGCCAGGGCGCTCGCATCTCCCACGATGGCTTCGGACCCGATGCCAACCAAGCCGCTGGGGGCTTTGGCACAGATGGCGTCTTTGACCCTTCCAGATCTTCCGACCCTACCGCTGCCAGCTCCAGCGCTAGCACCACCGTGCTGCCCTCGTCCACCGAGCTCTTCTACTTTTACCGCCAGACGCTCGAACAGTGTGCTAGGCTGTCGAATCGGGAGCCGCTTCGCGACTTGTACCAAGTCTACCGCAAGTGGCTACGCGTGTACGCCGAAGACGTGCTGCGCTCAGCTCTGCTGCGGCCCGAGCCGGCGCGCCGCTCCATCGACGTGCGGCCCAACATCGCCGAAATTCAAAAATGGTGCCTCGTGCTCAACACCGCCGATTACTGTGCCACCACGGCCGGCCAGCTCGAAGACAAGCTGCGCGAAAAGATTCACGCCGACTTCAAGGATACCGTCAGTCTGGACGACGAGCGCAGCATCTTCAACACGCTTGTCGCGTATGCGGTCCAGACGCTCGCTAGGGAGCTCGAGCTGTGTTCCGAGCCCATCTGGAACTCGATGCTGCGACCCGCGGTGCCGTGGAATCAGCTGCAAACCAGGACAGACCGGGCGCACGACGCCGGCGCCGCTTCCCCCAATTCGCAGTATGTGACCGACTTGGCGAGCCTGCTCGAGCAGATCGGCGTCGTGGTGCGTCAGGATGTCGAGAACAAGCGGTACGTGCGCAGCTGGTGCGACAAGGTCGTCAGCGTCGTCACCACTCGCTTCCTGCAGGCCTTGGTGAGGCTGCGTCCATTGTCGCAACCGATGGCAGACCAGCTCCTGGCCGACGCCAGTGCACTCCGCAAGAGTCTCATCGATCTTCCTCGGTACCCGATTGATGAGCTTGGTGTGGGGACCGACGGCAGTGTCGGAGCGACCGAGGCGAATCTGTCGCACTGGACGCCTAAGCTGTCGCCCGAGCAGGCGGCGTTGTCGAGCCAAGCGGCTTCGTACGTGCGCTACGTCCACCGCCTCACGGAGCGCATCGACGTTCTTCTCCGGGTTGTCCTTGCGCCCATCGAACCCTCCGATAATCAGGGCGATTCACAGCGCGACCTCATCCACACGTACGTTGCGCTGGTGGCCGACCGATCGTTTGCCAACTTTCAAAAGGTGCTCGAACTCAAGGGCGTGCGCAAGCTCGACCAGAATGCGCTCATCGACCGCTTCCTCTCGTCCACCTCGGCACACGAGGCCGAGGCGGCAGAGGGCGCGAGGCAGTTGGCGGACCAGAGCTTCTTGAGCCAGCTCGACATGGATCCGCCCACTCAGCCCGTGCTGTCGTCGCCTTTTACGCCGGCTACACCCTCGTTCCTCGACACGAATGCGAGGACCGAGCAGAATCCACAGCGATCCACATCGCTCTTTGCTCCAGATAGCTTGCGCAGTCCCACAGTGGGCTCGGCCGCGACGTTTGAGAGTCAGTCTCAGCCGGGTGGCGCGGGCAGAGCCTTCTCGGACCTCCGCAAGTTTGGTAACTTCTTCGGCGCGTTGGGCCGCAAGGACTCCAAGCAGTAGCCGCATGCAATCGAAGTGTGCAATTCACAACACAATGCGTAGAGGCGACGAGGATTCGTGCACCGATTGAGACTGGTACGCGAGCGAAGCTGCGACATCGCTGTGACGCCGACAGCATGCGGAACCATTTTGTCCTGACGTGAACATGACGACGCTTGGTGTCGTTGAGCTCATCCAAAGGGTCGACACACTCCGTTGATTCTCGGATCTAGACTAGCTCCGATACTCGAGTCTTGGAGAGGTGCGTGGGAGTGGATTGGACTGGTGGCATATCATTGCGTGGTTCCGCTCTCAATCGGCGCGCTGCTTGCGTTGCAGGCCGACCGAGCAACCGACCTCGCTCCGTCCCGCACCGCAGGTGTTGCCAGCCCGCATCTCCTCATCAGTTCCGCACTCTCTCTTCTCTTTGGCGCCCGTCACTGCTTCCGCACCTGTCACTGTTTACGCACCTGTACATACTCAAGCAACGCGTATAAATCCCCTGCACTTTCAAGATCTCCTCTCATCGTTGCTCCATACCTCTCTGCATTCCTCACGCTGCTCGATATTGAACCGAGCAAGCTTAACACTGCTGCCTCCCTCCTCTGCGCAACTGCAAGCGATTCCTCCCTGATTCAACTATGTCGACCCTCGTGCGTTCGATCCAGACGACCCCCACGCCGTCGATCCAGACGGTGAAGAGCCTGCGTGGGCTCAACATGATCGCAATTGATGAATACATGTTCGTCCCCGCCATTAAGATCACTCGAGAGGGGCTCATGGAGTTCTACTCCCGCGTGACCAATGCTTTGGCCCAATTGCAGGATGACTTGCTCAACGAAGGACACCACATGAGCGATGGTGCCGAGAAGCTCCGTTGGGGACTTTGCATCCAGGAAGTCCACGAGGCCGCTGGATTCATTCGCGACGTGGGTATCCAAGCAAGAACAAGTCTGCAAATCTTGGTCGCCGTACTGACTCCCTTTTTCTGCCACAGTTCAACAGCAAGTTTCGTCATTGAACGGCACTTCATGATGGACCAGCTGCGCATCCGAGCTGGAGTACGGGCATGTGCAAACTTGCCCGCCGCTACGCCTTTGCCAGCCGCCCGCCTCGTCCAACACGTGCCTACAGCCAGCCTCGTCGTAGGCTCAGCCCTTGCTAGGGCACCATCAGCTTTCATCTTGCTTTGACAGTTCTCGCCTTCAATCCTAGCCACATTGTCGGCCTCTTTGCTCGTCTGCTCCCAATCCGGTCACATCCTCACATCAGCTGCTACACACACACCGGAACGAGTCGGTTCGACATTTCAAACTGCATTTGCGCGGGACTGTTCTACCTGCGGCTACCGCCTCTTCCGCCGCCTCTTCCGCCACCCCGTCCTCCTCCTCTGCTGCCGCCACGTCCGCCTCCCCTGCCGCCGCGACTGGCCCTAGGTCGACCCTTTGCATCCTTCCTAGACGGCCTGGCGTTCTTTTCTCGCCTCTTGTCCTTGATCTCTCGCTCCTTCTGGATCTGTCGTGCGCTCTTGACCTCGTCCCTAGCCGCCTGTCTCTTGTCCTGGCCCGGTCTGCCTTTGCCATACACCTCGGCCTTGGGAGGCACGACCTTGTTGTGCCTGAATTTCTTCAGCCCCATGACCGAGTCCACGGCTGCGTTGCTGTTCGACTCGAGCTCGCCGGTCTTGGGCATGTCGATGCGCTTCTCGCGCTTCCAGTCCTCGAACCTTCCGGACCTGAAACTCGCCGGGAGACGCACACCGGACTCGGTGCGGATCATCTTTTTGTTGTCGGCGCCCACGGCGCCCTGGATGAACTTCTTCTTCTTCGAGTCCCATCGCGTGACGTTGGGACGCTGCGACTGGGTACCCATCGTGGCGTCGTCACCAGCCAGGTCAAACGACGCCGCAGAGGCTTGCTGGACGAACGAGTCGATGCCAGACCGCGGGTTGCCGAGCGAATAGCCGCGCTCGGCACGCGAACCCTCCTGCTCATACGACAGGTAGAAGTTCGGGTCGCGGTACGATCCAGCGGCCTTAGACTTCTTTCCAGGAGCTGCACTGCGCGTACGCTTGGCCGGTCGACCTTCGCCATCCGAGTCGGACTCGGCTTGCGAGTCCGACTCATCGCGTGCAGACATCTTGGCGGACATCTTGTTGACGCTGGACGAGCCGGTGTCGAATGCAGCCAGGATATCGGCCTCGTCAGCCTGCTCGAGGTCGACTGTCGCATCGCCAGCGCCATCCTCGTCATCCGCAGCCGCCTTCTTGTTTTTCGACTTCTTGCTCGCAGCCCCCTTGACTTCGTCGTCCTGTGCGTCCTCAGGGCCACCCTCCATGGCGCGCTTCCTGGCCTCGAGCGCTTCGGCGCGCTTGGTCTTGACGTCCATCGTCTGTCTGCGGCTGCGCATAAGCGCACCCAGTGGCGTTGCGTCTCCGCGAATACCGATCTCAAACACGGTCTCCTGCGGCCTGAAAGCATTGACTTTGGCGAGCAGAGCCGCGCGCGCCGCCGCTTCCTCTGCCTCCTTGCCGGCCGCCTTGCCCGTAGCGCCCTTAGCCGCAGCTGCACCGAGCACGGATCGCGCCGACTCGGACATCTTGGCGCCGTTGAGCCCGTACACGCCGGGACGCTTGATGACGTCGTGCACTGCCGTTTCCTCGAGCGGCGAGCCGGCGAGGGTCCACTCGGGCACCTCGCCCTCGGCGCCGTTAGCAGTGCGGATGTTGATCTGCTCGATGCTGCCGAGCTTGATCATCTCCTTTGCGCGGCGGTGCGATTCCTGGGCGGCCTTTGTGATGGACTTTTCGTACTTCTGCTGCGCCCTCTCTGCGACCTGCTTGAGCGCGGGGAAGTCGTGCACGGTGGAGGACGAGGTGTTGGTGAGCGACGAGCTGATGAACTCGGTCTCGAGGTCGAGCGCCTCGCGCGGGAACGTTCCGAGCACGAGGCTGTCGTGCAGGCCGAGCGAGTCTGCATCGCCAATCTCCTGCCCATCGGCAAGGGCGGCGATGGCAGTGTGGGACGAGACGAGCGGACGCGCGAGGAAGAGCTGCAGATCGCACAAGTAGGGCAGCTCGGCGTTGGTGCACATGCTCCACGCCCATCCATTGCGACCGGCACGCGCAGTACGGCCGACACGATGGACAAACGTACGCGGCTGCGGTGGGAAGTCAAAGTTGACGACGTGCTCGAGCACGGGCAGATCGATACCTCGCGCTGCCACGTCGGTGACGATGAGCAGACTTGTTTGGCCACGACGGAAGCGCGACATCTGGATGCCTCGCGTGGCCTGGTCGAGGGACGAGTAGATGTGGGAGCAGGCATAGCCGGTGGTGGTGAGCAGCAGCAAGAGGTACTCGACGTGGTGCTTTGTGGCGCAAAAGATGATGGTCTGATGCGGAAGCAGTTCGAGCGCGCCACCGCGCTTGCGCTTGGCAGCGAGGTCTTTGCCCTTTCCTTTGGACTTTCCTTTGAAGTGGTGCTTCTGATTGGACCACGCCTGTCGCTTTAGCTGCTCGCCCGCGTCGTCGCTGTTATCCTCGTTGAACTGATCCTCCTCTTCGAGATCAGGAGCCGCCTGCTCGCCGAGGGGTACGCCAATGACGTCGCGCAAGAGCAGGAGCAGCGCCGCCTCCTTCTCGGAGGGCTTTACGCTGAAGAAGGCCATGCGAAGGTCGGCGCTGATCTTGCTGTCGGCATCGAGACGAACGAGCTTCGGATTGGCCTGAAGGCCGGCCTTTGCAAACTCGACGAGCTTCTTGGGCAGCGTGGCACTGAAGAGGAGCGTCTGCCTTGTGGGCGGCAGGCGGAGGAGCATCTCCTCGAGCTGTTCTGCAAAGCCCATTTCGAAGAGACGATCGGCCTCGTCGAAAACGACGTACTCGACCGACTTGAGGTCGAGATTCATCTCTACGGTGAGGTGGAGCATTCGACCGGGCGTGGCGATGACGACGTCTGGGTTGTTGGACATGATGGCAAACTGCTCGTCGAGCGACTCGCCACCGACGATCATGGCCCAGCGGATGGCCTCTCCGCGGCTGTCCTGGCCCTCGCCCGGATCAGCTTTCCAGCCACGAGCGATCTCCTTGCCGACACGAAGGATCTGCACGGCGAGCTCGCGGGATGGGCAGAAGATGAGACTCTTGATGCCGAAGGTGCGCGAGTGGCGACCGTTGAGGCGGTTGATGAGCGGGATGAGGTAGGCGAGCGTCTTTCCAGAACCGGTGCGCGCCATGCCGACGACGTCTCTGGGAGGCTGAGCCATTACGGCCGGGATCGCCTGTCGTTGAATGGGCGTGGGAGTGGTGAAGCCGCGGATGAGAAGCGAGCGGAGCAGGGAGGGGTGGAGGCCCATGCTCTGGAAGGAGCCGCCACCGGTGACGACGCCTGAGCCGAGCTTGTTCTTCCCCTTGTTTTTGCCAGAAAGCGCCTTCTTTGCTACCTCTACGCCGGCCTTGACGTTGGCCTGCTGCATGACCGAGGCGATGAACTGGGCCTCGTCGAGGTCGTCGTCGTCTTCCTGCATAGTGTGGTCGACAGCGCGAGACGGACGTGCCTTGACCGGGCGGGATGAGGACGAGGCTGCAGATGCTGGGAGCGTGCTGGATACGAGCGAGTTGGTGATATCAAAACCATCGTCGTCGTCGCTATCGTCGTTGTTGGCTCTGCTGCGTTTGGACGATGGCTTGGCGGTGGTGGAGGAAGGAGTGGCGCGCATGCGCTTCTGCTTGGACGGCGCGGGTGCGAAAGCGACGTCGTCTTCGCCGTCCGAGGCGAGGAAGTCGATCGTCTTTGCCATGATGAATGCGTTCGCTGCGGACGGTATCCAGGATGGTGGGTGGAAGGACGCTAGCCTGAAAGGGTGGTGCGAAGAAAGTGTGCCACAGAGCCACGCTGAGTTGCGAGAACAATTTTGCAGGGTTTCAACTCAGAGTGGAAAAAAAGTGCGGTCGAGTCGGAACTCGGAGCGGACGGAAATTTAGTATCATTGTTAGACTTGTAGCTTGAGCACCATCACGTGCGGCAAACACGCTTTTTTGGCGCCACACCTCCACTCTCTCAGAGAGCCGTGTAGAAGCGCCAAAAAGTGAGTGAGTGGAGTCGACTCCAAGCGCACGGCCAACCAAGAGCTAGCCGGCCGATTCGGATGGAGGGATTTGTGCGATTTTCCCGACGTGACTTACGTGTACGGCCGCACATCATCTGCAGTGCTGAGCCGTGCGTGGTTGGGTGAGGAAGAGCGAATGGGAGTGAGTGGGAGTGGAAGTGGGCGTGGAGTGGCGAACTGAGCCCGAAGCCAAAGGAACTCACACTGCGTGTCGCTCTTGCCCACGCATACACGCGCTGCTGCACCGCAGTGCCCTCTGTGCACGGCTCACACACAGCAGCAGCTGATGCGAGAGCTTCCTGCTGACAGGCTCCTCGTCATCCCTCTCCCCCCCACCTTTGCACATCGCACCTTCCGATCCTTCGCCACCCTCGCACACCTCTCTCGCACCTCCATCTTTTCTCCCCCTCCCTTTCCCTCGCACATTTGCACCTCCGTCTTGGCGTGGTGCTCGTTCGAGGTATAGGCCCACCTTCGTTTCTCCTTTGCATCCCGGCTCGAGCAAATCTCGTCGGCTTCACACATACTCCGTCTTGCTTCGGCGCCCACATCCCAGTCGACCTCACCAACAACATCGCTCGACCAACCCTTCCTCCTCCTCCTCGCAACGGAACCAACGCTCGCTAGCACATCATCGCCGCCTCGTCCGCCTTGCATCGCCTTGCCTCGCTCGCGGTCTCTCGCTCCTCTCGCTCCTCGTCTTTCCAGCGTAACAAGCTCTCGCCTTCTTCCCCCTCGGCATCCTCGCCCCGGCTCTTGAAGCATCATATAGCATAGCTCTCCAACCTCGCATCGTTCGTCTATATATACTCGATAGATTTCTCAGTTCTTTATCGCCTCGCCACCACCACCAACAACCACCTCTCCTCAGCACACCTTCCGAACCATCCTCTCCTTGTCCAACTCGCCTCCTTACCACCTTCACCAACACTTCATCCCAAGCCACTCTCCACTTCGCCCTACCTTCCGTCCCTCGGCAACTTTGCTCTCGTAGTCTCATCGCCCAATCGCAAAGGTAAGTCCCCTTCGGCCTCCTGCTCCTCGTTCTCCTTTCAAAGGACTAAGAAGCTGACCCACCAGTCCCTCTCGCTTGCTGCCTCTAGTCTCTGCATTCAAACCTGCACATCTCAAGTAGCTGCGTTCAATTCCTGTCCGCCATGGATCGCAACGACAACCAGCGCGATCTCGGCGCCGCCAACAACCTGCAAGGTCATCTGCAGCAACAGCTCAACCTCAACGCTTCCGGCCAGGCACGCAACATGTTTGCTTCCCGTCCCGTCGGCCTCGCCAGTCTCGGCGAGGATGCTGAAGCCACCACCGACTCCGCTCATCCTCAGCAACCCTCCAACTACAACCGTCAGCAAGCCCCTCGCTTCGCAGGCAACGCCGCCTTCCAGAGCGCCGTCGCTCGCCACTCCAACCAGTCTGGCGCCGCTTCCAACTCGTCCTCCGCCGCCGACTTCCGCGCCAATCTCTCGCACCAGCGTCAGCTCAGCCTCCAGAGTCGTTTCGCCGACCTCGGTTACAATGTCGGCGGCTCCGGCATCGGTCCCACCCCCAGCGAGGCCGACGATATGACCGACGACGGCGCCAGCTCCGTCGGCTACGGTGCCTCTGCCTTCGATCCCACGCGTGGTCAGCGCGGCCACGCCTCCGACTTCAGCTTCGGTTCGTCGGGCACCGCCTCCCACCGCCGCACTGGTAGCGACATGAGCGGCTTGCTCTCCAACCGCTCCGGTCACCATCCTGCCGCCAGCGTCGGCGGCAACGCCAACTCCCTCTCCGCCCAGAGCCAGATGCTTGCCGAACAGCAGATCGCGCTCCAGCAGCAGATCGAGATGCTCCAGCTCCAGCAGCAGCAGCTCATGCAGTCCGCCGGTCTGCCGCGTGATGGCGCCTCGGCCAACCAGCTCAACGGCGCTCCGCACGCTTTCGGAGGCCACCGCCGCATCCAGAGCCACGCCCCTCGCTCCGGCCCCATGGGCAGCTTCTCCACCGGCAACTCTTTCAACGCCGGTCTTGGCGCCAATGCCAACTTTGTGCCCAGCCAGCCCGTCTCGCAGCCACCCATGCTTCCCCGCGGTCATGGCCGCAGGCACTCGGTCAATGTCGTCAACAAGGCCAACCAGCAGCACCAGCAACAGAATCGACAGCCAGACGCACAGCAGCTCCAGCAACGTCGTGACTCGCCCAACGCCGACGCCGCCCACTCGACCGGCCCAGTCATGCAAGCCAACCCCGATTTCTCGTTCCCGAGCACTGCCAGTGCCCAGCGCGCCGCTCAGCCCGCCTACCAGCCTTCGCAGCCTACCGTCGGTCATTACAGTCGCCCTTCGGCTCAGCTCACCGACCTCTCTCAGGACTACCTCATGGCCGGAGGCGGGTTGGTCAGCTTCAACTCCTTCGGCATGGCCGGCTCCATGAACGAGCTTGCCGATGGGTTTGGAGGTGCCGGCGCTGGCGGTCCCCGCGGTCACGGTCGTGCCAACAGCACCCAGTGGCGCATGAACGGCGCTCAGGCTCCGCAGCTCGTCGACCTCGCCCAGGCCCAAGCCCACCTCGCCATGCTCCACCAGTTCCGCGAGTCGGCCGCCGTCACTGGCCACTATCGCGCCCCGTCGCTCGGTGGTGGATTCAACCCCATGGCCGGCGGTTTCGGCGGCAACCAGTTCGGCGGCGGCATGGGCGGACCTGGCGGTGGACCGGGCGCCGTCCAGCGCAAGGCTCTCTTTGGCAACTATCTGCCGCAGGGTACGCTGCCCACGCTGCTCGCTCACGGCAAGATCGTCGTCGGTGTCCTGCGCATCAACAAGCGCAACCGCAGCGACGCCTACGTCTCCACCGAGGTGCTCGACAGCGATATCTTCATCAGCGGTTCCAAGGACCGCAACCGCGCGCTCGAAGGCGACCTCGTCGCCGTCGAGCTGCTCGACCCCGTCGAGGTCTGGACCGTCAAGCGCGAGAAGGAGGACAAGAAGAAGCGCAAGGAGGAGCAGAGCGGCCAGTTCTCCCGCAAGCCTGACAAGGCCAAGGACGACCTCGAGGTCGAGGGTGCGCAGCTTCGTCTCATCGAGGACGAGGAGGAGAACGAGCAGAGCCCTCCTCCGCTTGCAGGCCACGTCGTCGCCATTGTCGAACGCTCGCCCGGTCAGCTCTTCTCTGGCACCCTCGGTCTTCTCCGACCCTCGTCGGCTGCCACAAAGGAGAAGCAGCAGGCCGAGAGGGTTCAGCGCGAAGGCGTCAGCGCCCTTGCTCCCGAAGTCAAGCCGCGCCCCAAGATCATCTGGTTCCGTCCAACCGACAAGCGCGTGCCTCTCATCGCCATCCCTGCCGACCAGGCGCCCGAGGACTTCTGGGCCGAGGAGGGCCAGGAGAGCTTCAACTCTCGCCTCTTTGTCGCCTGCATCAAGCGATGGCCCATCACTTCGCTTCACCCGTTCGGTGCCCTGGTCGAAGAGATTGGCGTCATCGGCAACGTCGAGGCTGAGACGCAGGCGCTGCTCAAGGACACGCTCAGCTCCGCCACCGAGGCTTTCACCGAAGGCGCGCTCAAGTGCCTCCCCCCTCTCCCGTGGAAGATCCCCGAGAAGGAGTACGAGACTCGCAAAGACTTCCGTTCCAACCGCGTTTTCACCATCGATCCTGAGACGGCCAAGGACCTTGACGATGCCGTCCACGTCGTGCGTCTCGACAATGGCAACTTCGAGGTCGGCGTCCACATCGCCGATGTGTCGCACTTTGTCAAGCTCGGCTCGAGTCTCGATCGCGAGGCTCGCAAGCGCGGCACCTCGGTCTACCTGGTGCAGCGTGCGATCCCTATGCTCCCTCCCACCCTGAGCGAGGAGCTGTGCTCGCTGGTGCCGGGCGTCGAGAGGCTCACCTTCTCTGCCGTGTTCACGATGAACAAGGATGCGCAGGTGCTCAGCAGCTGGTTCGGCAAGTCGATCATCAGGTCGTGCGCCAAGCTCGCCTACGCCGATGCGCAGAAGGTCATCGAGGGCGGCGAGCTGCCCAAGGACAAGATCAAGGAGCACAAGTCCAAGGACATCGCCGACGACATCCTCGTTCTGCACCAACTCGCCCAGAAGATGCGCGCTCGCCGTTTCGAGGGCGGTGCGCTGCGCATCGACAACGTCAAGCTCAGCTTCAGGCTCGACGAGGACGGTCTGCCCACCGATGCAGGCATCTACTCTTCGTACGACGCGCACAGGCTCATCGAGGAGTTTATGCTCCTGGCCAACTTGTCTGTGGCCCAGCAGATCGCTGCGGGACTGCCAGATCTGGCGCTCTTACGCCGACACGAGAAGCCGCTCGACCGACGCCTCGAAGGCTTCGTGCGACGCGCCAAGTCGATGGGCTACGAGATCGACATTTCGTCCGGCGGTGCCCTCCACCGCAGCCTGCGCGAGATCAAGGACGACTCGGCACGACAGGCTCTGCAGGCGCTGGTGACCAACGCCATGATGAAGGCCAAGTACTTCTGCACGGGCATGGTCGACATTGCCAAGTACCAGCACTATGCGCTCAACGTGCCTGTGTACACGCACTTCACCTCGCCCATCCGCCGATACGCCGATCTGATGGTGCATCGCCAGCTCGAGACGGTGCTGGCGGGGCAGGACAAATTCAGCGTGGACCGCGAGGCGATGGCCAAGATCGCACAGCAGTGCAACGTCAAGAAGGATGCGGCCAAGCTCGCGCAGGAGCAGAGTGCGCACCTCTTCCTGTGCTTGCTGATCCACGACCTCACCATGCGCTATGGTCCCGTGGTGCGACCGGCGACGGTGATGGGCGTGCTCGACGCCGCCTTTGACGTGATCGTGCCCGAGTTTGGCATCGAGAAGCGCGTGCACGTCGACCAGATGCCCATCGAGAAGCACGTGCACGATGGCGAGACCAATGCGCTTTCGATCCACTGGAAGCCCAACGTGGACGTGATTGCGTGGCTCGCCGAGACGTCGGACGACGTGCACGTCAAGAAGCTGCAGGAGGTGGCGCAGCAGCACCAGATGATGGAGATGACCTCGCAGTCGCAGACGGACGAGGCGGCGCTGTTTGCCGATGATGACGACGACGAGAACAACGAGAGCTCGACGGCGGCCTTGGTGCGTCAGCACAACATCGAGGCGGCCAAGACGTCGCAGCAGCGTGCTAGGAGCCTCAACAAGCCGGCGCTCCAGTTTGAGGGCCTGCACGAGACGCCCGGCGGCCAGAGGATCCAGACGATCCAGGAACTCATGCAGGTGCCTGTCATTGTCACCTCGGACATGTCCAAGTCGCCGCCGGTCCTCAAGGTGTTTTCGGTGAACCCGTTCGCGGCCACTTTGCAGGCGTCGAATGCGCTGCACAACTAAAGATTCTCGCGCCAACAAGAGGGGTGGCAACGATGGGATCCGCTCTGCGCCTTGCAGAAGTGCGATCGCCCTTGCCATTGCCCCACTAAATGGTCTTGTTCTGTTCTTCTTGCATAGGTCGGTGAGCCCGGCCGCCATATCAAATCATGTCTCTCTCATGTGCCAGTCTTGTTGAAAAAAATGTCGATGTTCATGTGTCCAAGTTTGCGTGTGTGGCGTGCTTGGCTTGGCGTTGAAGCGATCGTGTTGGTGTTGCGAAAGGAGAGGAGAGGAGAGGGGAGGAGTCTACCTGGCGGTGCGGCTAGGTCGGCAGCGTGGCAGCGGTTGTTGCTGTGGTTCTTCCTGGGGGTCGCAATCAAGGTGCACGCTATACACACACCTTTCTCGCTACGCATGCAGGGAGTTTGACCAGGACGAACGTGTCGGCCAGCTGCGATTGCTCTCGAGCCGGCGCAATGAGGCCACGTCAACCTACGCCACCTCATGCCTCCTCTGACGCTCCTATGGAGGTCTGGGAGGTTGTTTGAGTCTGCACAACACGACGCAAAAGGAGAAAAGGGCTGTGTTTTGTCGTCTTGGTTGAACAAAGTGCAGCAGCTTGTCGAGTTGACACTGAAAGGATTCTATGCATCTTGGTCTGTCATGGCGGGTGTGTAAGACGGCAGAATCCATCTTCTCTGCATGGACTCAGCACAGCTTGGTGGTCAACACAGCCTGGCGTCAAAGCGATAGCTGCAACATCAAATGCTACACCTTCATCACTCATCACCAGCTCGTTTGGCAACACCCTACCCCCCCATCCACCATCGCAAAACACAAAAGCTTACATTCACACAGCCAACCCCCAACGCGTTCCCC